TATCAGGACTCAAAGTAAGCCCAGATCTATTTTTTTTTCAATATATTTTTGACAAAAAAAACATTTCAAGATATTGCGACTGAACAATTATTTGAGCTTTCAAAGCCCCTGTGCTATGATTCATCCAGACATGAGCAGAAGGGAGTATTAATTACGTCGCAATAGCGTGCATTGTTTAAATATTAAATAACATTTCATTGTAGTATTTTACATTTCATAAAAAAAAAAAAATGCTATATATTTATACTGAAACAATTTAAATTTCAATTACATAAAAATTCACGAGACTGTATTTAAATCGATTGATCGAAAACTACTATATAATTTATAATAAAAATTTATTATTAATATTTATTGACAATCCTGTGAAAAAAAAACAATGAGTCTATTGACAAAAGAATGAGTAATAAGTTAATGGAAAACGTATGTGGTTGAGTGTCACAGAGACAAAGGAAGAAGACGCAACAGAATGTAGTGCCCTCAACGTTTCCATAACAACAACACATGTAAGTGTACATAGAAATATGATGGGCAGTGTAACCAATGGCATTACCCTCTATCGTGCAGTCTCTCTATCACCCTCTATCAAGGGTTGGATAAAGGTGTAGGTGTTATCATTACTGAATACATATGATTTCAGTACTACTATTTTTTTTTTTTTCATATACTTTGACTGCAAACAATCCCTTGGTGCATAAATGTCATGAATTCTCATCATGTTCACACACCAGAAGTGGTGGATTAGTTTAATTGAAAATATTTGCTTGTCATCTATAAATCAATACCAACTTACACTTGGACTGGTTGATAGTTATCATTTTTTTTTTTCCATTCTGTTGTTGTTATTTAAAAATGCATGTAATGTGTGGAATGAACTCTGATGATTGTATCTATTCTAAGCTTTTTTTATATCGTGATAAAAGAAAAATGAGTGAAATTACTTTCCAGTGACATGCACTCTTCAAACGTCAATGAAAAACTTACAAGTGCAAGAGGTTATTGACTTTTATTGTTTTTATATGATTTTTCATTTTTCGTTTAAAGAATTAATGCAAAAAAAATTATTATAATAATAAAAATAATAATTACCATTTAAATGATATGTTAAAGCTACTAAACATGGTGTAGAAAAAATAATTTTAAACTCCGAGAGCGAAGGAAATGTGACATTTTTATGATTTATATATATATTATTAATATTTATTGAAATTTATTTTTAAAAAAGCGCAAAAAACAATCGCCCGACGTGGGGCTCGAACCCACGACCCTGAGATTAAGAGTCTCATGCTCTACCGACTGAGCTAGCCAGGCATGCGAGTTGAGCAATATTTTTTAGCACATAAACAAACTAGCTCGACACCATTTTCATTTCCTTCTCCGTCATTTAAAAATACTATTTCACATCAAAATTTTTATTGTAATTTATTTCTACCATACAAAATATTTTTTAGAGCAAAAAAAAATTTGCACTCTAAAAAATATTTTTACTCCAATGATTACTCCAAAAATTTCGATAAAATAAATTGAATAAAATGTTTGTATTGAATTCAAATATATAATGAGGTACGACTAATTATCCGATCATTAAAGCATTTGATAAGACAATGAGTAATAACAAGATAGTTATAGATAAAAGAGTCGTCGAACTCACTATCTATTGCATTTAAAGTACAGTCAGATAGTTTCATCTTCGTTGCACTTTCATTCGAGTGCATCTTCGTACATTTAATATTGCCTTGAACGTCTGCAGCACTCCTGCAGGATGTCCCGTACACCAACGCATGATTCCATCTCTTAAGACTAGCATAAAAGTAGTGTAAATGTATGAAGCGCAATAACCTCAACCAACCCACGAGGTGCATAGAATAAGGAACGTTTTATTAACGTATATTTAATAGGTATAGTGAGGTAGTCCATTAATATTCAGAGCAGTCAAAAAATGATTGGAATATTAATTCTCTAAATGATGATTTACTTTTTTTTTTTATTAACTCTTATATAAAGGGCATTTAAATAACAGTAAAATATGATTAAGTAAAACTTGGAAAACTTGACTGAATGTATCAAACGGGTACTACCGGTTCGACCACATGCGACTAAATAAAGTGAAAACCTGGTGCTCGATTAAACTCTTATCTTTTTTTTTTCTTAAAGTTTATTCTTTTTTCTGTAAATCACTGAGAATGAACTCACTCGTTACACAACTCTGCTTCAAACACAGTTGTAATTAAGTTTATGCAATAATTGTAATCATTGATAACAATTAAGTTGTATCGTTTATTGTTTACATTTGTTTTTGTTCGGTGATACTTGGTATTTTGCACCATTTTTTATAAAAAAAAACATGTGTTATGAATAATGCAAAAATTTATTTATCTTTTATCATGGATATTTTCATAACATTCAATATATTTCCTGCTGTGTTGAATGTAAAGAATAAACTCAAGATCGTAAAGAGACAAGACACATTACGTATCCGTAGACATGACATGCGATGTCAAGTTACGCCATTTGAAATAAAGTGACCATATAAATAGTGCAAAATGACGGTATTTACTGAACTATGTACCAATAAATTCCCAGAAAATTAACAATTTAACACTCTAATGTACCATGAAAATTTATTTACATTTAAATAATAATTATTATTATTGTTAATATTAATTTATAATTACTGTCAGTATGAAATAAATAAATAAAAAATTGTGAGTAATGAATGTCAAAGCTGGATTGATTATAAAAAAATTACTGCAATCAAACTAATTAAATTGATGATTCATTTTAATTAACCACATGTTTAATGAATTAATAAAATGTATCAAATAACAACTATCTGTAATGAAAAAATTCTATGAAACAAATAATTTATTAATCGTTAATATAAATTTTAATTTATTGATCGATAAGTAATTTTTTATTTTATTATTTATGCTTAAATTGTTGTTATTATTTAAATTGATAAAAAAATGTTATTTTTACATTATGAGATATCGATTTTCAAATTATTTTTGCTTCTTAAATTTCAAGGGGAGACTATACCCTTAAAGATAATTATCTCAATATTACAGTAATTCGAAGAAATCTACATTAAATTTCATCTCAATATTTAATGTGATATAACAGTAATATAAATGATAGGTGGTGTGTGTAACAATAATTGTAAAGAATATTGTTCTTCTAATAATGAATTATTAATTTTTATGAATAAAACATTTTCATTATTATTTAATGAAAGTACTCATAATCTGAGTCAGTGTCAAACTATCTCTATATACATGGCAGGAAAATAAATGAGTATTTTAGTTATGTACTTCCAGTTACACTCTATAATAATATCTTTAAGAATACATTGAAAAAACGTGTCACGCAAATATGCTTAGAAAATTTTTTTTACGTTAAATAACTTGACGTTGAGTTGGAAAAAAAAAAATTTGAAAGAAAAAACCATTGGTCGTGTCGACAAACAGGCTGTCTGGTCAGGTGTCGCGTATAGTCCAAACGGGTTTCTCAAATAACCCAATACAAGTGTCCACACTTGAACGATCCGACGGTATAAAAACCGTACGTTCGATAATAAATGTCTCGTAACCTAAAATCTGAATGACTAACTTACCGGTTACTTATTGTCATTCAACATTTTTATCTCAAAATAATATCTTAAATATTGCGAGAAAAATCAAGTACTTGATATATCATTAACCACTTAAATTTAAAACGATTGATAAAAAATCAAGGATCCAGAAGATCAAGAACATTCTATTGGTAAGAGAGAAAAAAAAAATGTAATGACACTTGTCAAGCGAATAAAACAAAAATTCACGGTCAACAACAAACGATAATATTTTGCAACAGTTTTATTTTACAGCATGCCCAGATCTGAGTCAGCATTAGAATAATCTATTGCGCCATTGATATAAATGTAGCATGAACAAAATCATACTGATTATCGATAAGTATTTATAAAGGATATTCAAATAAACTTACATAACAGGAGAAAATAATTTTTGAAGTGATTTTAAAAGTTAAAGAGAAAGAAAGAGAGAATGGTACAGGTGGAGTGGGTATTAAAGAGAAAGCGGATTTGATTCATCCTGTATATCTATTGCTTATAGAGGAAGTCAAGCACACCAATGTTCGTGTTCTATTAGCAACATCCCCTTAAATGCGTAATCAAGATTATAATTTTCTTAACGGCCCGCGAGGAAAGAAAGGAAACTGTCTCTTCTCTATCATGTTTCGTGATACTTTAAAAGAAGGCTTGGTTTTTTTTTTCTTTTTTTTTATTTACTGAGAAATTGTACGAGAAAGTACGGAATACATTAAAACATTAGCACTGATGATGGAACATATTAATAATATTCTTGACAGATAATACATAATACGAAAAGTTCAAAGGATCATGTATCTCTAGGTATAATAAAGCAAATCTCCAAAGATGACTTTGTCAATTTCGGAGTAAAAAACAGTTTTCAAGCTAATAACAATTGGTATGATGAATTGTCAACAAAGAATGATGTGTAAGGATGGTATTTATCAATAGCAACAAGTGGTGTACGTTATTAAATCGGAGCCTAGTGATTATAAATCAATAATTATGGTAAAATAAAAGATAAAGCATAAGTCATTTGATATTAGTTTAGATTTGATAAAGGTAAATACATGAAAATAATATTCTTGATAATTAATAAATTCACCGTACTACATTCCAAAATGAAACAAAAGACATCTCAAGTTTAATGGCTGCCAACTTATATTTTTCGTGGAATAAGCGGCGCAAATTACATGTATATCAACAGCGCCACGTTTTCTTTGAAGCTTTTCTTTCAACTCATACGACTGAACTTTTAGAGATCATAAATAAAATTAGTTATTATAAAGGATTACATGTATGTTTCATTTAAAATTGTCCCAAGTCCTCTTAACCTTATTTTCATTTCCCACTGTATCACGTTCAAATTGCCTACATGTATGAGATTTGTTTTTGTTTGGCTTGTACTCACCCTGAGAAAGATCCGATGCTGATTCTCTTCTTTCCGAGATTCACTATTCTCACCACAATAGCACTATCACGATACGCGTCTTTGTATTTTCAAATGTTCGTAGCATTCGTTTTCACGATTAACACACGTTATTTATCGACACGTTATCTAATTAACCACTTTCATAGATTTTTTTTCAAAATTTATGCTTCAGTAAGTGGTAATAAATTTTTATTAAAACGTTTCACACACAATAACCAACTTCGATGACAGCCTCCGCGCGTCTGATCCTGGTGGTCAGGTTCTGCACAGCAGTAAGGTCCCGCCTTTCTCCCTTCCATTTTGACTTATCCCCTCTACACCATACCTATATAGCTTCATCAATCACCTAAGTGCCTTTAAAAGCGGGAATATATGAATTGAAGAAAGTCAAATTGGTTTTTTTGTTTAAAATTTTTTATTTTTATAAATTAATCATTATTCTTAAAATAAAAATCTATTATAATACTAATTGATATAAGTGATATTTAATAATGAATAGATTTAAAATTATTTAATCAAAATAGAAAAAAAAATTTTTTTTTTTTGATATATTTAATACTAAATATAGGTAATTAATTACTGAATGAATATATTCCAGTTGGCCAGCTTTTGAGAAATATACAATTTATATTGTCTGACCTTCAACAAAGCATTAATTTTACTTTGACAAAAGTAATGATGTAAAATATTGTATGAATATATTTTTTTCTTGAAATACACTGTTTTTATTAACACCTGAATATATCATTACGTCTCTAGAAGAAATAGCTGGGGATTAATTTCAGTAAATACTGTTAATCATGTTGAGTAAACGTTTCTCTCATAGAGAGAGACTCTTAAAACCTGGTAACTTACTAACATTATTATGAATTGCCATTTTTTAAAGTCAGTTATTTTTCAACGCTGCACACAATTGTAATACCATTTTCATTTTATCGTAATAAAATAATCCTATAACATGTTTTAAAATATTATAAGACTGTACTTTTCATCAAAACGTAGGCTACTTTACGTTATCAAGTAATATTAAACTCTAAAAAGTCTAGTATGTTTTATACAACTTCATAAATAAAACTTAAGTCTAGGCAACCTTTCCGAGTTTGTTCTCAGACACAACATCATCTTTGCGGAGAACAATAGTGAGGTCATCAGAATTGATTTTTGTATTATTAATAACATTAGCACTCGGTTTATCATTGGTGATTTTTATAGAACAGAGATCTTCCTCAACAGGCTCTTTTAAAAGAACTGCATCAAGATCATAAATAAAATCTTTGTCTTCAAATTTTGTTCGATTTCTTGTAGCTCGAGAATGCCGGCTATCACTCTTTAATGATTCATTATTCTGATTTGTATTCGAATTAACACTGGATGGTTCAGAGTCTGAACTTGAATTACTGCGGTTTTCACTAGATGCTCGATTCATTCGCATTCTCGTACTCTCAGAACTACTTCTGGGTTTCTCATTAACTCCAACTTCAGTCGAGCCGAAAATTACTTCCATCACCATTCTACGAAGTTCAGGATCTTCATCTAACCTTGCTTTCTTCGCTACTTCACTCATTTTATCTGGAGTTTCCGTATCAGAATCAGAACTTGATTTATCATCAATTTTATTATTTTTTCCTGCCCTTGAATTCACTTTTGAGACTCCTGAAATAATACATCATATTTTGTTAATAATTTATACAAAAAGAATTTCAAAAATTTTACTAAGAATTGTTGTTGAATAACCTACCATTTTGCATGGAGCCCGTTTCCTGGTTTGTATTTGCACTTTCATCAGTTGATGTTGATACAGCAGTAACATCAATAACTTCAAGTTCAAGAGGTTCTTTTTGTACATTTTTTCTCTTTAATAAACTTCTAGAAGAGTTTGATGGTTGATGATTGATTGGTGTTTCACTTATCATATTTGCAATACTTATTCGACTATTTTTAGCATTGTGAATTTTGTTACAGTGAGCAATTGAATCAATTTTATCAATGCATTTGAAATTACACAATTTACAGTGATAGCGATACCAATTTATATGTTCAGCCATGTGTCTTCGTAAAGCTGGAAGATTGGAAAATTTTCGTTTACATGGTACACATTCAAGTTTATGTAGATTCGCTATATTTTCCATTTTCCTTTTTTTACTTCCAGTACTCCCTGATATATTAGTCTTAGTCTTTTCGATTTTAGTAAAAATAATCTCTGGATCATCTGATTTGTCTCCATCATTATTATCAGTCTGCATACTTTCAGATGGGATGACTGAAGGAGTAGGATCAGGTACAATATCGGACATTTCAGTTCCAATTTTATCCCAAGCATCTTTAGAAAGAGAAGATATACCTTCGACTCGTATTGAAATTCCTGTTGATTCTTCTTGGTTCAAAGGAGTAATAGTGACAGCTGATGATATATTAGGTATACGAAGAAGACTATTAGATTTTGGTGGTGAAGTAGCAGGAATTGCTATAGGTTCTAGAGACGGAACTGAATTGTCTTTCAATGTAATACTGTTATTTTCCACATTTGCATTAGCTAATGAAATTGCTGACGCCGGAGTAGCAGCTCGAGGATGTTCAGGTATCATTTCCGACACTGGTTTTCGCTTAGACTTGATAGCAACATCTCCGTTACAGGCTGCCAATCGTCTTTGACACGTTTGAGAATGGGATTGTAACGCTGCCTTTCTATCGAATCGCTTGCCACATCCCCCGCAGCGTTGAAGCTCTCCATCAGATTCCAGATGTGCCATCCATTCCTAAAACAAATATTTTATTCTTATAATTTAAAATTACTCATAATCATTATTCATAAGCTTTCATTGGAGTTTTTTACTCTTGATTATAATAATGGATAAAGTTTTATTGATTTTATCTCTTATTGAGGTTAACTAACGTTTAAAATATCAATCAAATTAAAACTACATCTTAATTACAAACCTGAGTTTGATTAGTTAAAGATTGAGGTTCACTCAAGTCATTAAGTTTACTTTCAGCACAGTCTTTCTCCATATCCTGAGCTCTGGTAGTTTTCCTTTTATGAGCTTTGGCTTGGATTTCAGTTCTCAATTTCCTTACTTGAGCATTACTCTTTCTGTGAACTACAAAGAAAATAATAATCATTGTTAAATGAAAGTCTTGATTAAACTGGTGGAAAGTTAATAATGAAATCTTGCATTGAAATAATTACCTTTAAGTAAATGTCGATAAACTCCCCAACTACTTGGGAATAAACTTGTACAACTTGGGCAAGGGTATACTAATCGATCGGAAGTATGAAGTGATTTCATATGAAATTTAAGGGTTTTCTTGGTAGAAAATCTTGTATTGCAAATTGAACACACTAGGTTATCATTAGATATAATATCATTGTTCAATATATTCCCTTGTCTTTCAGAAAATTGAAGAGGATCATCACACTTTTCATCAATACCTACTTCTATAACTTGACCATCAGGACCAAGTATTGCTGTATCACGACTGAGGATGGTTTGCAATTCCGTTGTCTGAACAAAAATTATTTTATCATAGCATCATAACCACAAAAAAATATTTCAATGTGTAATAAATCAATAAATTGAAAATAAAAATTACCTGTGCCTTCATCAAATCCTCTGAATCAATATTTTTAACAGTAGGCTCTAAAACTGTTTGAAAAGCAGCCTTGTTGGATTCCATGACTTCTAAAAGTACTTGTTCAGTATCTGCAATAATATGCATCCTATTATTTTGTTCTTTAGTTTCATCATAGTCAGGATCCTTTTGTTTCTGTTGTAACATAGATATTACTGAAGTAAGATCTTTTTTTGGAAACTTTTTATTTGTATCTTGATTTTTAATTGGTCTTTCATTCTTGCAGTTTTCCTTGCTTTCAGGATCTGTTGTATCAATACTCTAAAATATTCAAGAAATTCATTGTTAAATAATAATAATCTTTAAATAATGAATAATAATTTATTCATTATTGATTCACTACTTATTGATTGAATACTTTTAAATAGTTACTAACCATAGTTGGGGGATTAATGGCACTTTTGTCGCATAAAATATTGAATTTCTCAGGACAATATACGCGTTTGTGGGAAATAAAATTCAACAAACTTCTAAATAAACTTCTACATATTTTACATTCATAAATAACGTCACATTCGTAAGTAAGAATGCACTTAATTTCTTCACTCCCAGTCTCAAATAATTTGGTTACTTGGCGTAAACTACATAAACTTGTATCAATAGGTTTACGTAGACTAGCCGAGTCACAAGTTGGCGTCTCAACAATCGGTGGATCCTTAGCATCAAATTTGACTCTATTGAATTTCCGATCATTCTTCTTCGTTTTGGTTTTTGCCTTCATTGTGAAAGCTATAACAAAATGAATTTTATTAACATTAAACAACATATCAAAGATTATTCATTATATAATCTCATTAGTATTTATTACAAAAAATGACTTATACATATGTTAAGAACTTGATAGATTGTTGGTAAAATAATTGTAAAAAAAACGTTTTTATTTAGCAAAATATTATGAAAATATAAATAATCAATCCAAACAAAGCAAACTCATCCCTTCATTGATTACAAAATCCATATTATTTCTTATCATATTATGACCATATAGCAAACAGAACCTCTTATTTTTCAAAGTGATTTTCATAATTTTATTATTGTAATAAACATCAAATTCTTTAAGTTACTTCATTACTCATACTAAACTCATTTATACTCAATGCCTTACAAAAATCAAGTTTCAGGTAAAAGATATTTCTTTCAGATCTATTGTCTTCATATATTGATATTAATGCTTGAAGCAAATCATAAGTATGATGTAGCTGCAAATACTTGAACTAAAAACAGATATTTGTAATCTTATTAATAAATTTATCGAAAATCTATGTATCAAGAAGTATTTATTTCGAATAGCACTAAAAAAAAACTATGGGAAAAAAAGAGACTGAATAACTCAAAATTGAAGAAGTAATGGGAAAATTCTCAAAAATATCGAAGTAGTGTGTTCTCTAGTATAATGAATAATGCTTCCGCAAGGCCAAGTCTCTCCTTCATTTTACAATTAGATAAATAAATTAAAATATAGACAATTATTATTTTCTGTAAGTATTAAAGATGCGCTTACCGTTTGTAATAGTTTATAATAAAATATCAGTATTGTTGATAGAAAAATTATTTATAAACGTGCTTCCTGATTTATGGACACTACCACCGGGTGACCTCCATTTTTCAACTGAAAGTTCGAGCGTTTGCCGTACGGAGAAAGAATCTAATGGGCAGCACTTTTCACATGATTTTTCATCCAAATCAACAGTATTAATATTGATTAATATTCCATAATTGCTTTATTTATAGAAATTATTTAAGTTAAAATATATTATTGAACAAATATGCATCAAATTAAAATAATACCTTTTATGAGGGTAAGTGAGAAATCTAGATATTTCACCAACTTTCTTAACCTGTGAAGACAATACTATTTATGTCTTATTTCTTCTTTAAACATTTTCAAATAATATTTTTTACTTAATTTATTTATAACAATGACTATTTTTCGTTTTAGTTATCAAATATTATTGTTCAAAAAAATTGGAGTTTAAATAATAAATTTTCGAATGTTGTCAATCCACGTGAGCTCCTTGCACCATCCTTTACGTTATCCTCTATTCAGAAAAGAGCAGCCCATGCAAGACCAAAGTCAGCAATTATGACACGATTTAAAGCTGTTATTGCAGATAGATATTATTCAGTTAAAGACAAAATTTATTATCATGCAGTTCGGAAGTATGTAAGTTTATTATAATGCTGAGAATTCAGTATTTTATGTTATGGAAAACATATTAATTATCTATTTATTTTTCAGCTTTACAGAGCCAAAGGCTCGCTATTGTACAGTTCTTGCTTTGATAACTTTAATTACATAAGATTTATGACAGGTATATAGGAAATATAAGATCATGTTTTATTTAATTTAAATTGGCAACAAAAGTAGGAAATCATAAGAATCACAACACATGCTGAATTTTTCAGAGTATAACATGCCAGATACGTTTTATTCGTGGTTTTTGGTTACTGAATTACATGTATGGATGATAATGGTTAGATTAATGGCAGCAGGAACGGATGGATTTCATATAAGAAGCACTTTCGTCGCTGCTCTTTGGCAGGATACGGACCAAAGAAAAAAACAACTTGGAGTAAGTTCACAATGAAAGTATTTCAAATAAATGCATACTACAATAGTATTTAATAATTATCTGAATGAAATTACATTAGGGTGTTAGAGAGTCAAAAGTACAACATCACATTGAAGAATTGGGAAATCAATTTAAAGCTGCAATTGCAGGCTATGATGAAGGTTTGATGGGAAATGATGCCGTTTTAGCAGGAGCCGTGTGGAGAAGAATTTTACAAATGCAATGTGATGATCCTGAAATTGTTGAAAAATTAGTTAAATATATTCGCATGACAGTAAGTTAGATGTTTTAATATTTATTAATATAAAAATACGTGATTTTATGAAAAACTAAATATTTTCTAGTTACATGAGTTCGACAAAATGCCACATGAAACTTTTATATTAGCATCAAAAATACAATGGCTTGATTATATGAAACCTGTTCAACAATAATATTTTAGTAGAAAACATGTACAGATTATAACTATAATTTTGTAAATAAAATAAGTTAATTTTTTTCCAATTTAATGTATTATACAAATTATAAGATCATTGTAACTGTTGAAAGTATTGGCATTCTTTTTTTTCATTGCTGGAGCTCGAAACAATCCTACAAACATATGCATCAAGACATAATTTGTCACATCCTTTATCTAATTCCGGTGCTGCATGTTTGAAAAAATTCCTAGAAAAAAATTTTCAATCAATCTTTAGTAATTTTGATTGCCACAAGTAACAAGAAATTCTTACTTATGATATGTTTCTAATGCTGATGAACCTTTAGCCATGCCAACAATTAACTGATGCAAACTTTCAAATGATAAATCATTCAAACCATACTCTTCTTTAAAAGAGTATAATTTATACCAATTAGGACGTTTTTGAGGAGTTAAATTGGCGTCAGTCAGATTGTAAATCCACATGTCAATCTCTTCTATTGCCTAAGAATTATATAAATGTTTATTTATTTTATTAAATACTAAATCATGCCCATTTTATAGTTTCAAACGTATTGGCATTGCGCAAACTTACGTAAGTGTTGGCATCTGCTACGTAGACTTTATAGTTTGGATTAAGATTGGAATAAGGAGTTATGCTACCACCATTCCAAGCAATATTGATGATTTTATTGATATCTTGAGGATCGTAAAAGACATTAAATTCATCATTATGAGTATGTCCATTAAACTGAGCAGTAATTATATGAGAAAATCTGCTAATAATTCTTCTGTATTCACGACTCCATGTATGTTGACATTGGCTGGCCCCTGCTGGAATATGACCTAAAATATGTACAAATTCTTGATTTTGTTCAGCTTCTAAAAGAGTTTTTTCCAACCATTTCAAGTGTCCACTTGGATCTTTTGCGTCATAAATAAGCCACCTGAAATAATTGTTTTAAAAATATCGAATATCTTGGATAAATATAAAATTTGAACATTGAAATGTTACCAATTATAGATGTAACAAATATTATTATTGATAGCAATTATCCGGAAGCCTTTGGTCGGCGATAAAGTATAAAATCCACCTCGTAAAATAGTTTCTTTTGTTGACTCTGGCAACCAGCCAGCATCTATCCAAGTATTTGCCATTAATTCGTACAGCCAACGTGTTGATAAGCTGTCATCTTCAATATAATCAGGCGCAAATCTACAATTTTACATTAAATTCATTTATTAATTCAAATAAAAATATAATAGATGGAAAATAAAATAATTACTGATTTAAAGGATGAGGTTCATGATTTCCAAAGATTGGATATACTGGTACATCACCAAATGTATCTTTAATTTTCCGAAAACTTTTTAATAAACTCTCGGTATTTCCTTCTTTACTTGTCGCCCACACTCCATGATCGATTATATCACCAGTAAAATAAACATAGTCAATATCACTTTGATAATTTTTCAAATGATCTAGAGCATCAACAACTGCGTGCCAAGGAGAATCACAGTTATTAAAGTCTCCCCAAAATCCAGCAAGCTTAGTGATTCTTCTTGTATTATTTTGGCCTTGCCGACAACATGTGGGTTCTTTACATCCAGCATTACCATTTGGCTCATAGAGAGGATCATAATGAATATCTGTTATTTGAAGAATCTTTATAGTATCACCTTTTGAAGATTGAACATTTATTAGTTGAGGTGGATTATCATCAATATCAAGAGTCCATTGATATCTACTTGGTGGTTGACAGCATGGTTGATTTTGCAAAACAAGTCCACAAACTGCATTCTCATCTATTGTCGAATCATTGTCAACAATGTAAAGAATTATTGGCTGAAAATAGTAGATAAATTTCATTTTTTCGAAGATTAAATTTATATCTTAAATATCATAAGTAAAATCAGATAACTATTTTTATATAATCTATATCTAATATTAAATCAAACCTTACTGTATTGATTTTTACGACTCCATCACAAACTTCTTTTGTTTGTAAATTGAAAAGAGTACAAAGTTTAGCTATAGATCTTTCAATCACTTCTGGTGATGTACCAGTTCGTCTAAGATTTATGATAACTTTAGTAAAAGATTTGCAAACTGTACAAAGAATTGTAGATGCAAATCCATCAGCAACAGACCAATCGGCTCTTTGGTAGCTTGAAGGAAGAGCCAAGTCATTGATAATTTTTTTGAATTTTGGTGTTTGTCTTCCAGTCTTTACCCACTTGATTATTTCATCAGCTACTACTGTAGCATTATATCGATTATCTGTAATGAAATTAAATATTATGCAAATTGATTATTAATTTGAGTTATTAATAAATTAATCATACCTGGTGTACGTGAACTATAAGTTGGAGTGAAATAAATACTTATGATTATAATGAAATTTAGAAGGGCGAACTTCATACTGAAGCAGTTAGAATTAAACTGCATAAAATTAAACGTCCACACAATTTATTAACCCGTCTTTTATCTACCCTACTTGGTATTTACTTGTTTTACGCACAGCGATTACCTCATAGAAAATTTTCTTATCGATTATTTACCAAATTTCGGACATATCTCTCACAGATAAAACATCTTACAATGATCAAAATCAAATCGCTAATATTCATTGATTTATCTTTCTGTATCTTATGCAAAGAACACTGAAACTTCTATACATTGATCGAAAAAAACGAACACGTTTTTCATTTAAAATTAATTCAAGCTAATCAGACAAGAAATGAGGTCGCAGTTTTTATAAGTGAGTTTCACTTGATCTGATTTTATGAAATAACAAAGTAAATTTGTACATGTTCAAGTTTGATTTATTCAAATAATTAAATAAGATAAAACTTATTCAAAAAATATAGAAAATGCTTTGTAAAGATTGATTAAATTATTCATGACACTCAGCCATGTCATCATCTTCAATAACAAGATCATCTAGCATCTCCTCAAGACTGATTTGTGGCATGTTTGGATCTACTTCATTAGTATCTACTGGAATTTGTTTAGTTGGATCTCGGAATATATTTATATTCTGTCGCATTTCAGGATTTTCTTCCAACTCATCCAAGAATTCATTGTACTCACTACAAAAGTAAAAAGAAATGAATGTAATCTATAACATCTATAAGCTGCATTTTCTTAAATAAAATTAAAAAAGAAGAAATACTAACTTGTTTTCAGTATTCATGCTCATAGATTCATCTGCTAGATGTTTCAGTTTCCATACTCTTACCCTTCGCCTTGCAGCTTTATCATATCCATAATATTTCTTGACCAAAACAATATCAATCACGTTTTCCTGATTTAATTTCTCGAAATTAGGGTCATTGATATTACTATCTGCGATAGCATATCTGTAAAAATTGATTTCATTCATTACCATTCTGGAGTTCACCTGATGCAAAACAATTGTAAAATTATCTACAGTATGATTAGATATTCGTACCCTAATGCGGAGTCACCCGGTTTCAAAATGTGGCCCAAATGTGTACGCGCGTGAATTGGATTATCATTAATGCCAAGTTCGGAAGCTTTTACTAACCACACGTCAGCGATAGTGTGCTGAAATATTGATGTTTATTTTTATCTATTTAAATGCGTGTTTTATAATTATTATTTAATGTGTTTAATAATTGTTTACCTTATGGGAAATTGTACCTTGACCTGGAAATACCTTTATTTCATTCGGCTTCAATGGTTCAATATCCATTACGATATATTCGGTTAATTGTTTAGGATTACAGATGCTGTTAAATGGTGTTCGCCAATAAGTTGTAGCATTTACTTCAGCAACTATGTAAAAGAGTTTCTAAATTAGTTAAGATTATTAAATAAATTATTTATTTTCAGGTTTGGTTTTAAATATAAAGTTCTCACGTTGACCAGTAGTTACATCGATAAGATGAATAGCACTGGTAGTTTTGTAGACAAGAGCAATTGGATTCAATCCACCTAGTTGATGAGTCAATTTCTTTGGAAGACATACCACACTGTCTTTCGAAATTGGTACAATTTCAACACTAAAAAAAATTAATACATTAGTAAATCAAGGTTCTTGATGATCAACATGATGAAGGGGAAATTCATATAAAGTACCTGAATGTAACTTTATAGTTGTAAATATTACTATGAATATCATGAGATATCAATTTCTGTGACTGCTGGTACCGACAAGGTAATACAGCCGTGATGAAGTCTACCATTTTTCTTGCATTAGCGTCAGTGGCAAAATAGAAATCCAAACCCTCTATAATCCGAAATAGAATATTAATAAATGTTTAAATAAAGTCGGCGGCTTTCAGTAATCTTTGAACATACCGTGAATAGGTTTAATTCCTAAAGTTTGTTCATGAGCTTTGTGTTTCAATATAAGTTGCTCCAAATAATAAAATGTTTTTTTATTAATTGCTTTTTGCCTCACTTGTACCTGTTATGTTTAAACAATTATCATTATTAAAAAGTTTCTAATAAACTTTTATTTTCAATCAACTTACACATGCACGCCAGTAATCTTTAGCTTCATTGCGATGGCAATCATCGCACATTTGATGATTTACAATAAATTCAACGACAAAAACTTGTTGGAGAACTGTTCCACCCATGACTTCTGCATGGACTGTCAACTTTACCTAAAGAAATAATTATATATTATGCTTAGATAAAAATTAATTTCTAAGTCATAAGTTCTCATCTTTAGAATCATACTCGAATTCTTTTTGAATGTGGTTCAGTCCAAACAAATCCAGCATCAACGAGTTTTACTTGATGCAATCCTTTCAATTTCTTCAAACATAAAGTCAAGAGCTCCCGAGACTCTAAAGCAGCATGAATCCAATCATTAGGTGGTTGAAGGTATCTAAATTCATTTTAAAAAAATAATAATTGTAGTTAAAGAATATACCAAAAAAAAACAAACAAAATACCTTTCACATCCTCGACAGAAATGTATCGTTGCTTGTTTAGGAATACCTTCTGTAATATCAATTTCCGCTCGTAAACATGCTACACACATATTGGCAGGGTTAGGTTCTATGACGGTTCCACACCGACAACAGAGCCTAAATAAATAATGAACAATTAATATAATCAACAATAACATTTAATAAATACTCAACAGTAATATATAACGGCATTAATATGATTTATTTTTAATTATTAGTAAAAATTATGTCATAAAAAAAAACTTATACTTACACTCTGGCAACTGCTTGTGTAGTTTCATCAAAATTTTGTATGTACTCCATTTTATTTCCAATGAAAATAACTAAATTTAGTACCTTATATTTGATTACTTTATTTATTAAATACTTTTAAATGAAATAAATGTTTTACATCAATAGATGCAATGTGACAATTAAACACGTGTTCCTCACTATTATTACTCCATCAATTCGATTGTTCATAACAATGAAGTTGTTTAGATTAGAAACTCCATTTTGCACCTAGAAATTGAAATCAGCGCCATCTTTAAATTGCCTGTTGAATTATTTTGGCAAAATTATTTAAAATTGAATTTGAACTTACGTGTTTTATATTTCGATAATAGTGGAGTTTATTACAAAATTCTATAACCAAAGACTTTTTTTTAATGATTCATTGCGTATAAAGGTGATTTAAAATTAAAATTAAATGGCCAGTTAGATGATGTAATGCAACAACATACTTTATGAACAATTATGACCGATGGATTACGGTCAAAGTTCTAAATAGCTGTAATCCCGGAGTAAAACAACGCACATTAATGTAAGTTAGAGAGAGAAAGATAGAAAAGTGTGAAAAACGTATGCATGGGGCGCTGGTAGTTGCTGCCATTGTGGCTTACGTCAATGGTAGAGATCGTCCGTTCGCTTACGTTAGCTCGTTTGGGAGGAGGTACTGCACAAGTTTGACCGCCATTGTTTCGCCACTTTCTAATATAATTTTAGTGTACTGAGATTAATTGTACCCAAAAGAAAGTAAGCCGATACTGCTTACGTTGAGAAGTGAAACGAAGAGAAAACCGTCAAGATCACTTGGTAACGAGAGTCCAAGATCGACAGCCGTGAAGGGAACGTACGGAGAGGGAAGACGAGGAAGAACGCCTCCGCCAACGTAGCATGTCCACAATGAATCCTGAGTAGTAAGTTAATTCATTTGATTTTTATTCTTTTCCAATATCTTTTCCGTGTCGCGTATATTTGTGTAGTTTATTGATGACTTTTGCGCATATTCTACGACGATCGACGTCTTGTTTCTCTTGCCAACATTGGCGTCGACGGGTTTTTACGATCAGAAACATATCAACGACGCAGATTACTCACGACAAGGTGATTGGTAAAAAAATGCTGCTGATTCATAAGATGTATATACACCCTTTTTGATTTTGCTTCTCTTGAAAAAATTTTATTGCTCTTTCGTTATCATATGTGTGTGGAGTTTTTATCATTTTTTCTTCATTGCGCCGAGTAACTCTCAATCTCCCCACCAATATGACAGATTTCATTCCACTGTCATCGGTACGTCCTCCACCCACCTGAATTTCCTTTGTCTAACAAATAATAGTGTTTCATTTAGCTATTTTTCTTTCTTGTAATTCCTCATACTCTCAAATGTAAACTTTTTTGACGTGTTCCTTGTGTTAACTCGAACAGCTGGTATATCTGAAATTATTTTACAAATCAGCGCCATGTTTTTCTCCCGGGAGATTTGATTGACAAGCTGAATTGTATTATTAATTACCATAATTATAATCAATACTTATTTCAACTTATGTAGATAAATTGTCTAATTAAATTATTACTTTTTCAGCGATTACCTTTTTAAACTCCTCTTGATTGGAGATTCTGGTGTTGGAAAGTCATGTTTGTTACTTCGTTTTGCGGATGACACATACACAGAGAGTTATATTAGCACTATCGGTGTTGACTTTAAAATAAGAACCATCGATCTTGATGGAAAAACGATAAAGTTACAAATATGGGATACTGCTGGACAGGAAAGATTCAGAACTATTACAAGTTCATATTATAGAGGTGCTCATGGCATAATTGTAGTCTACGACTGTACAGATCAAGATTCATTCAACAATGTTAAAGCATGGTTAGAAGAAATTGATCGCTATGCCTCCGACAATGTTAACAAATTATTGGTTGGCAACAAGTGTGATCTTACCGCCAAGAAAGTTGTTGATTATGCGATTGCAAAGGTATGTTATTTATTTAAACTTATTATTGTTTACATTGATGAAATGAATGTCATAATTGAATTTATATAATACTTATTGTAATAATGATAGGAATATGCAGATCAATTGAATATTCCATTCTTGGAAACGTCGGCAAAAAATGCCATGAATGTTGAGCAAGCATTCATGACAATGGCAGCAGAAATTAAAGCAAGAGTTGGGCCTCCATCTGGTACAGAAGCTGATCCTGCTCATAAAGTCAAGATCAATCAAGGCCGTGATGTTGATGCTCCAAAATCTGGATGCTGCTGAAACTCAAAATATTTTCACTCTCAATTAACTAACCAAGTGAGTTTGATAATGAAGTTGGAATTATTTGTTGGAGTTGCTTTGAATATTGATTACTCAATTTACGTTGTTACTATCTTCAAGTAGATAATACAATTGAAATACATTTTCCAGAATAACATCGTAAAGCATCAACAGAACCCTGGCAAATGGTTGAATAAATCAATCTACGGGGAGAGCATGACGATGTTGGTCGATGTCTTTGGTTGACAGATTGATATGCCGAGGAAACTCAAGAAATGGTTACAAGAAAAAAAGAGAGCGTGTGTGTGTTTGATAGAACGAAATCACGAAAGAATGCCTTCATCATCTTCCCCAAGGACCACCAATTTCATTGTCGGGTTGTACAAATTACAGAAATCTTTTTAAAATTATTACTTTGCTCTTTAAGGATAAATATAAATTTAAAACAAAAAAAACTTGAACTAAACTCGTGGATAAACTAAAACTATTGAATTATTATTATTATTAATATAATTATCATCACACTAAGGTAGCAGTGGAATCAAGTAATTGTCTATTCTTGATTACATTAACCCCGAGAATTATCGATCGTGTTATATAAAAGGTGCGATTGAGTGATTAAAAAAATTTGATAAGTAAATAAACCAAACTTAATATTTCGTGTATGATTGTGAATAAGTTGTAGTGGAAAAAAATTGCAAGCACCTTTTTTTTAGCCTAATTATAATGTGTATAGATAGATTTTTTCAAAACGCAGTGGCAATTTACATCCTTCGTTTGTTTTTTTTTCAATCTTATGGTTAATAATAATTAACTTACATATATTTAATCTCATCCATGTCCTTATTATTTTTATTTCTACAAACGAACGGATGTGAAATGTGCGTTGTGCGTGTCGTGTGAAAAACAACAAAACGGCAATCTGCTTTTTAAACATTATATATATATATGATTTAAAGACGCACGTAATTATAGAGAGTAAATATTTGTTTAAAAAACAAAATTAACATTTTGCAAGGTCTCTACAATAATAAATGAATTTGTTCTGAATGAGATCATAATACCCCTGAGAGTAAAGAAAAAATTGATTTTTCTCCTGGACTTTGTTTAATCCTAGACTTGTTCATCAATGACGCTAAAATAATGGATTTTTTTGTAAACATAATAGATTTACAGCCTTATAGCTTATATTATTGCTATTTTATATTTTAAAGTTAATTAAACAAATAAATTAGCAATTTGTTTATGATTATTTATAGTTATAACATCTTATAATGCCTTGAAGATCACAAGGGAAGTATATGCTAAACTTTATTTGCTTTTATCGATAAAGTTGAAGGGATTTATATATATGAGCATTTTTTATTTTTCCATTGTGCACGTCTTTCAATTGTGTTGTACGAGTTATGGATAATATATTATGCATTATAGGGTCATTCACGAATTATTATATTACATGTATGATAATTGTAGTTAGTATACATAGCCAATAAAAAAAAAGAAAAATTACGAATAACGAGTCATGAGGAGTGAAAAAAAAAAAGTAAGGAGTTTGAGATAAAGTAGAAGGGAGACTGAAGAAGATAATTCTCGATTAATCCATCATCCTCTCCGATAATTCCTATACATAATTACAGGAAATCTTATTTATTCTATTGTTTTATTATTATATTATATTGCAATACAATGGAGATAGATTACTATAATAATATAACAGATAATTAATTAATTCATTCATTGATCGGATAATTTAAAATGAATAGTGTTTACATTCGGTAGGGTGGGATATCGAATAAAAATAAATTCATAAAATTAAAAAGTTCGATACAAATTTTCTTGGTATTTATAATAAAATGTTTCAAGCCATTATTTAAAAAAATAAAGACACAATATTTTTTTATAAAAATTATACCAAAATAATCACCATTAATAAATGCACCACTTTTTCAAGTGCAATCAAAATTTATTAAAATAATTCAATAATTAGAAAATCCCAAATAGTAATTATCCGTAGTCATTTTGATCCACAATATGACATACAAACATAATTCATTATATTTCTTGAATATAATATAATTTCATGTTGATTATTTAATCAACGTATTCATTATTTATTCTATAATCTTATAATATTTATCAAATATAAAAAAAAGAAATGATCAATACCAATGAAGTAATGATACAAAATGCACCATCAACACCGTTTGTAATCATTTAATTTATACGCTCTATTATAATTGTTATGCGAATATATATATATATATATATATATATATATTTATATACTATTTATTTATGTCATAGAATGAGCTATAATCATTAAGGATTTTCCTATATTGATTAGTGGATATTATAACGATAGTGTTACTATCTGATAGACTTAAAAAAATATACATTAAAATGACAAACAATAGTGTACAAAAATATATAATAATCACGGATTTCACTTTTCGTTGATAGATTAATCGGTGCTGCCGAGGATTTCTAGTAGTTCAGTGCCAGGTGAACGAACATTTGTTGAGTCTATGTAAGTAAAATCGTCCATATACTTGGACACTGAGTTGTAAATGTCGTTGATTGAATTAGAAGATGTAACACTGTCAACAAGGAGCTTCTTAGGACTCGGAGAACTTGGATTGATTGTATAGGTTGTCAGATACGGAGTTTTCATAGAAATCTGTTGATCATCATCGACATTGATATGCAACGGCATACATAGCTTTTCCTTCAGCAACGCTGGCAGATCTACACACGTTTCCTAGTCGAACAAAATAATAATGTAGTAATAATATAAATAATAATAATAATAAAAAGAATGATCTACTGCGTTTCAAAAGAGGTTTTAATGACGACTTACGCCCGGAGGAGATAAAAAATTTAGTTAATTGATGATGAAATAGGTGTGGAATGAGCATTGATAACTCTAGGTTACTCTAATAGTTAATAATAGAATAGACGTTTGTATTTTTGAACCAATTTTCTTTAATATTATACTTAAAAATTTTATAAATAAATATGATGCAACTACAAATAAGATAAAAATATTACAAAAAAAATTTAAGCAAAAGGAATATCTGAGGAAATGGGATGAAAGATAATTTTTAATTTTTTGTTGATAAGTAATAAATAAAAAAAAAAAATAATTTAAAAATAAAGCAAGGTGATAATGGCTATTGGGGAGATATTGAAACGCAGCAGACCAGATATCCCGGTAATCAGTATCCACATATATTTCAATAATTTTTCTCAACAATTTTCATAAATGATTTTTAATATTTACACAACACGATTTCAAGTCGAATCATTGTTTTTTAATTTTTGTTTTTTTTCATATATATTACCGCTCAACTCTTAAATAGAGAAACAACAGAAGCTTCATCGCTTCACATTTATACTCAACGAATATTTCTTTTTTCTACGCTCACAATCTAATTTACTTAAATCAATATCCCACACGCGTACCATTAAATGAACAATTATGAGATTATTAATGTTATCTAAAATTGTTTAATCTACAACGCGTTGGCCGTGTTTTTTTTTGTACAACTACTCTTTTAATCTACTCATTCTTCTTTAATGTAACTGAATTAAATAAATGGACGGCCCATATAAAGAAAAAAAAAATATTAATAATATTTCGTGAAAACATTGAATAATTCTTAATTGTATTATTGCTAGCGCGATATTAATGACAATTTTATTTTATTATGTCTCACCGGATTATTTTTTTGTTTCTCTTTTAAACTTTCTCATTATAGAAAAAAGTTGATAAAATATTTATAACTATCATTCATTTACTCGTAATAATTTTTGAAACAGATTTTGGTTTAACAAAACAAACATAACCCGCACTCACATCGCAGCCAGAAACTAGGAGGTTCATAAGAACACTGTTTGACTGGCGTTTTTGTAGCTTTTCGCCACCACCACCCGCGTCATCTTCTTGACAACTATGTTGATCATTTGACAGAATCTTTTGCCTTGATGATTTCACCGCTGTTGAAAGATCGTGATCTCCAATCAGCTGCTGAAGCAAGAGGGTTTCACTTTGCTGTGTGTCGTTAATTTCTTTCTCATTAACGCGAAGACTTGAGTGATTGGTAACCTCTTCCCTCAACGACGTCGTTCGTAATAGCTTAGTCGCATCCACCTTAGGGACTTCTGTGGCAGTGATAGTGGTTGGGGATGTATCTATTTTCGATGTGTCTTGACATCTGATGCGCTTACTCTCACCCCCCGCATTTGGCGAAGTTGGTCCATGAAGCCGCTTATTCGACCTCTCCAATGTTCCTGGATGCGAATGAGGGAATGGGTAACGAATGGGAGTCTAATGGCTTTTCAATTTAATAAACATCTGATACTTACCTTTCCTGCAAGTTTGACCAAGAACCTGAACTGGATTTACTAGAGAACCATAACTGCGTTTGTCCAGGTCATCATCACTCTTTAATAATTTGGCCAAACTGGATTCTTCATAAGAATTCGAATCTTCATCCTTCATGTCCCTATTTATTTATAATAAATAGCAATAAGTCAATTTTAAATATTTATTAATCCTTAAAAAATAAATAAAACGAACTCTTACCACTTTTTTCGTTTGTCTGGAGGTTGTGTTGGACCCCACATAACCATATCATCACTAATAAGAAGCTGTAGAGCTTCATCTTGATCAGACATTGGAATATAAGGAGCTCGTAGTGCTAATTCTTCATCAGCTATAACATCGTCGATACTAAGCATAAGCATATCATCTTCTGAGATTCCAGATCCAACTGCTGGACTATTTGTATCAGGACTACGAAGAGAATCTATACTCTGTGAATCAGAACCTTTTCCCAATACCGGAGAAAGAAGATTTGAGTTTTGTGAAATATTAGGACTTGGACTTGTATCTCTATAAAAGAAAGGATCACTTTCAAGAGATTCTCCAAAGCTATCACTTTCTTTAACTGATTCTCCAGTAAGATCAGAATTGGGTAATTCTGCGGGTAAACTTGGACTCAACAGAGGGCAGTAATTTTCATTGCCTAAAATAAATTCATCAAGCATGTCCGAGAGGAACGGTGTGTCTTCTAGAGGTACACAAACATCTCCTGGAGTTGGTGCCAAATGAGTAAGGTCTTCCGGCTCGTCTTTTAGCACTAAAAAAATTAAATCAATTATTATCTTGATAGAATAAAGTTCAAGATATTCTAGATAATACTAACTTGTTAGACCCGGTTGATCTTCACTGAAAGTAAGGAAGCCTTTGTTCATATCCTCAGTACGAGGAGCAAAAATACTAGCAGTTGCTGTCTGCGGCGGAGGCCGGCTTGTAGGTAATGGCAGTTGCGTCTCTTGACCTGTTAAAGTGGATCCAATAGTAGAAGTGAATAAGTTCCTCGTAACTGCTTGAGGCCAATCACCACGATGACGTATTGGATCGTGTTCCACGGCTGGTTTATCCTAGGAAAATGATCTCATATATAAATATTGGTTATCGAAAATATGTACTTAAGAAAAGCTAATTGATCTTTACCTGAGTCGCCCACTCAATTTTATCAGAAACTCGATCTTTGAAGACTAATGCTGTGACAGATAATGGTCGACTACTTTCAGAAATAACTGGCTCTCGAATGTACACGTCTGATGTACTATCTTGTTCTTCAATCGACTCTATTGACTCAACCAGGACCTTTTCTTTGACTTCAGGAACCTTTGTTTCTGGTTTCTCCGTATTTACCTCGACTTCTTGATCTTTCTTCAGCTTCTCGCTAGCGCTTCGCGCTTCCAACTGGCGTACACTGTACACCTCATCCTCACACTCGACCTCACTGAAAAAACAATTAGATATTTAGTTCAATCATCATACTTGTGTTATATGTTTTATACGCACTTAGATGTATAAATAAAATTAATTTTTACTTGGAGATAAAAATTTTTTTTCAATTCTCGTATACATATAAAAAAGCTTTTTTACTAAAGCAAATGGATCTCGTAACGATTCTGACATACATATGTACATAATATTACACGCAGTTGATATACGTCACAGTAAATGATGCCAATAGATCCCTGAGGTAAGAACTATTGGCCCGGTACGATTGATTCGCTCGGCCGTGTATTCAATACGACGCAACGTGATACTACCTAGCCAATACATTGCATTGTATAACATTCGAATGCGATTTGTGGGCGTGTGTCGATGATGCTACTTACTAAAGGTATTCACATCCAAGGTTCACTTGAGAATTAAATAAATAAATATTCCATTACTTGATAAAATTCATCATGCATACTCGCACGCTGATAATTTAAATACTAACAAGAGCATTATAGTCACAAGTTGCTCCGATAGTTGTGACTGTCTCAATCTTATCACCAACAGCCTTCCCTCTCTTCAACATCCAAACCATCAGAAAAATGTCTTTAAAAAATACTAAATCCAGAGGTCGTAAAATTAAATATCTTAGTTATTGACTGGACTATTGGCTCATATTTTATGATCTTAGATAAATAATAAGATATTTTTTCTTAGCAACAGATTAAATAGGAACAATAACAAGTGAAAGACTTGATGAAAAATAGCATAAGCAGGTGGAACATTTTAGCGATACATATAGATAAGGAAAACTATTGTAGATATTTTTTAGTCAACATTATTTAATGACTGTAACCGTCTTATTTGTGACAGATAGATAGAGGTTAAGGCAGGTTAAATATGTAGCGAGTGTCACTAAAAATAGGATGACGGCCACTGCGGGTGATTGTTCTTGCGCAATCAAGCACGTGCAACTAACAAAAAAAAATAGGAAGGAGGTACGTTGCATAGAAGCAACATTCGCATGGGTGTTGAAGAGAACTTGGGAACGCTGCGTGGGATCTTGAATTGTTGGTGTTCAATACTTGCTAAATATTTGTCACGATAAATCTTGCAGTATTCACTCAACATTGTTGATAATAAGGTCCATGTATGATTCTTGAAATCAACTGTCTGCGATAAATAAGACAAGCTTTAAATTTATAACAGATTCATATATTTTTTTTTTTCATGATGCTGATCAATGAATGATAAAGTGCTGGATTAATCAGTGACTTTATATCCTGTCCTTGGAGAATAACTTTCAAAGGATTAGGAGTAATATATAAGAGGATATAATTGAAAACTTGAAGTGTAATTTTTTTTTGGTAAATAAAAATTCCCTTTTCTTCATCTTACCGGTTCAAAATGCTTTTGAACTTCAATGTAAACTTGTATGAAAGCACACACAGTAGGAAGACACGTATACGTTTTCGCCTTGTGACTGTTTCGTTCATAGAAGTGACCAACTACAAGCCAACCCTGCAGTTGTGTCGACTGAATTGCACAACAATATTTTCTCACTTGTCTCTGTTTCTTAAGTCTCTCCTACTCCTTCAAAAATCCCTCTTCACGTCGACTTTTCTTCTTCTCCGTCTTTTGATGTCGAAGCTGTTGGGAATACGACAGCGAAGACGATCTTTGGCGTATTTATATTCCAACGCACGTGTACAAGATCACCAGAAAGCCAGTGCACAAGAGTTGCTTTAAATTTACCAGCTAAGAAGTTGGTAATGTACGATTAAGAGAAGAGAGATAGAAAAATATTTTTATTACTGTGGTGGGTGGTTGTTGGATCAAGTTAATGGCAGAGAAGGCTACCATCAATGCTATCAAACTCTTGTACCACTACAATAATACTTTTGCAAGATGTATATCATATATTATTGTAGCCTAAAAACTTCCCAAATCTCCGCCATGTTTACGATTATCGTTTTCTTCACGTCATCATAATGATATTCGTTCTTCACTTTATGTCTCCATACATCCAATCAATTGAGGTCCATATAGATATAAAGCAGTGTAGCTTTTTATCTTTTTATTAATTCCAATCCCAAAATATTTATCAAAAAACACTTGCACCTTTATTTTTGGTCGTTTTTCTTCTAATTTGCGTGTCTGTTTAGCAAACAAAGTGTACCGAGGGCAAAGAACTCAGTTGAGAATGAGTTTAAGAAAATTTATCCGAGTTGCTACGCAACGTCGACGAAGTGTAGAAAGAAAGAGGACAAGAGAAACAGAGCGATTATGCAGAGTAGCTCATCTTGACTGATCTCTTACGTAAGTCGCGTGATTTCTATCAGGGCGATATGTAAAGTTGAGCCAATGATCGTTTCAATTAGCTTCTTGCATCCTTTCCAGACCACCGTGACCATAGTAACTATAAGTAGAAGCAGGTAAAACAACAGACAATAATCAAGATGTTTTAATAAAATTTTTTTTTATCAACACTTCATATCAAGCTGTGGTCAACGAGTGTATCTATTGTTTAACTCTTCCCTCTTCACTTTCCGCTTCCCTCCTAAACTCTTCAACTAACTCCTTTGGTTACTTTAGGGGAAGTGGGTCACACGAAAATGAACGTACGCGCACCAACGCGGGCACGCACTGTCGCTCGATCGCACCAGAGGAAACTCACCATCCACCCTCTCGTTCTCCCTTCCTTTCCAACAACTAAACCACACTACAACCTCCATCTCTCTTACTCTTTAAAACCAGACTAACGTCCAATACGTCATGATAGTCGTCACAATCGCTATTCCCCACCATTTGAATATTGCAATTGCTTCTCCTTCGTCTATTTTATTCGTTAGTGTTGCCTTGACAAACTGCGTGACACTGTAAACATTGTTCTAGATGATTGAACACACACGTCTGTATTTTAAATTCTTAGCATTTCCTCTACATCAACAGTATATAAATATACATACTCACGTATTTATTTTTTACTCGTAAATATGTTTTTTCAAGTTGTGACAGTAGGAATAGACTATTAGATCATTTTGAAAATTCATCTTCTACATTTCATGTGCCAAGGCAAAGTGATGTGCTCTAAGAAAAGAATGCTTCAACATCTCCAATAACAGCCTACTGAGCTTCCGGATATACCACACAAAGTCGTATCATATGCTTCGGCAAACTGGAACAATCCTTAGTTGAGTTGGTAGAAACTGTAAAAAAACTTTAAGCTGACAAGTAACATGAGTAGAATCTTCTTTCTTATGGTATTAAATGTTCCATTGAAACAGACTAGTAATAAATAAAGTGCTTATAAAGTTAAAGAGAGAAAAAAAGAATAAATTTGATACAAAGTTTCATTGATTTTCTCCTTTTTCTATCACTTTCACTCTCGTCCTAGAGAAGTAGAGGACTTTCCCTTTCAACTACGGTCGGGGTCGAGGTCGGATATCGCGTTAGCATTCCAGAGGATATCGACCCAACTCGCTACATGTGGCAAGGAGGCGGTGGTTCTGCCTCGTAGCGTAATCACCTTGCGCGAACCTTCTTCACGCAAACTCTTCCTCTACTCCCTCCCTCTCATACTCATTCTCCCTTTGTTCATTTCTTATTATTCGCTTTATATTTTTTTCTTACTCTGCATTTTTTCAACTTCATTGGATAAAACACCAGATTTATTTTCTCTTCGTTCAAGTCCAAGCCCAAATTGAATTAAATTCAATAGACGTATCGTCATTACTTTTATTTCCTTCTTCACTTCTTGTTCGTATTCTTCTTTCTTGAAATTAAAATAAACCATCAATAAATCAATTTATTCTGAATTACTAGAATTATTAGAGTATGATGAATGAATATTTTTTTAATTATCCAAAATATTCATTAAATAAAATAAAAAGTAATCAATCCAAGACAATGTTACTTACACTACACTGCAAAATGATTAGAACTAACAACTCAGCAATTAAAATTTTTGTTGCACTAAGATGATGTCATTCCAGTATTTTGTTTCATAAATAATAGCAATGGGTGTGAGTTAAAAACGTGTAACACAGTTAGAAGTATTACTTAATCTGACGCAAAGTAGAATAATTAAAAATGATTAATATTAATTAAATGAAAGTATTGGTAAAAATATTAATATTGAAAATAATAAAAAAAAAACACACTTATAAAACAAATATAGATGTGATAAAAAAATTAATAATACCATCAAGATTTTATCAATCAATCCAATATTGTAAATCAAACGTGAAAAATGTGATTATTTAATGGAACCACTGGGGAAGTTCTAAAATTATCGCTGTAATACTTGTCAGATCAAGAGACTTACATGTTTGCTCAGTTATCTATCACTTCAATCGCCCGATACGTTCAGCTTGGCCGCGTTTCAACTAAGAGTGATGCGTAAATACAAGAGTTCTAAAGGACAAAATCCTCAGGTCTATCCCACCCTGAATTTGTTCGTCACGGCGGCGCAAACACACTTCCCATGACGCAACTCCCCAAAATTTCTCATATACAAGAAAACAGGGTTTCCTCTTATCTCCAACGCATTTGCCAATTCAAAATTATTGCTACATCTCGTGATCTGTCATCTCCTATTCCAAAATCTCATCATAAAAGTTATTGCTCGAGGTCAGTAAACTCACAATCAAGTTTCAATGATGAAAACTTTCATGCTTCCTTCATCATTACTAGAACTGAAGCTTATTCACTACAACTTACCTCAGTATGTGATTTACACAGACTACTGATAAAGGCTTTCGTTGCTTAGAACAGTGAATGAGTGTCGCCTGTGTCACTACCCACGCATATCCACCTGTTCTATTGAGAAAACGGTATGCCATAGTTTCACATTGTCCCTTACTGAACACTAGAAATAGTTGAATGGAAAACTTTGGTTAATATTACATCACGCAATCTGCATGCCAATTTTTTTAATAAATGTTTTAGAACGCACGTGACGTGGGAATAAATTAACTTTAGAGTATATAATTTTTAAAATTTAAGTTGTTCTGCGAAAATGAAAAGCAAAAAAAAAAAGGGATATTTTCAAAAGTATAGCACAGAAGTCTCCATAAAATGATGCAGAAAGAGAAAGGATAGAAAAAAACTACTGTTGACGATGCCTCGTAAAATTGTTGATACGATCTTGGAATACGAGGAGTCTCGAAAGAGAAAAAAAAAAGGCGGATGAAGAAAAGAAAATTATAGTAGAACGATAAAAATCGTACTTTCATTCGAAGCACTCTTAAAGCTTTAAGACCACCACGTCTATTTTTTTTTTTTTGTATTTCTTTTAGGTGAAAAAAAAACCTGAGATTCTTAATTTTATTTCCGAATTACTTCAAAGTACTTACGAGATTTGAAAGATTTGTCGAGAGCAGAATTATCAAGAGCATGATGAAATTCAAAGACTGATTTGCCAACTAATTCCTTGTTGCTCCAACCAAAGTGTTCTGACAATCTGGAGAAAGAATTATTATTATGTTAATGACTTTTTTTTTATTGATATTACGGTATTGTAAGACAAACACTGAAATACTAACCTCTCGTCAGCATATGTAAACTTCATATTAAGACTATGTTTGGATAAGAAAGTATGACGACCAAGTGGAACTTCAATATTACTAGGGTGAGGTATAGGACAACCAACAACGACAAGCGAAGCTCCAATCGATTGGCGGATATTTTCTTTGTCACTATTATCATCCTGGCTATCTTCAGATCCCGAACCAGTAGATGAACCGCTGAATTTTCCTTCGTCTCCGTTGTCAGTCACATTCATTACAAGATTTTGGCTCACCATTGGACGTCCAGTACAATGAATTACCTGTAATTAAATTTTACATAAAAATTATAATTCATTTGCATAAAATAACACTTTAAGTAACAAAATAATCAGTCTTTTAAAATTAGAATAAAATAAATAAACTAAAGTATTTATGAAAAATATTTGATTAAAACTTGATTGAATTTATTTTTATTTTAAAATTTCATTCTAATCCATTTATTTTTATGAAGATAAATATTTCTTTTACTATTCGAAGGCTAATGAATTAAGTTGATTTTTTCAAGACAGTGAATTAACCTCATTATTTTTTTCTTGAATAAATATATAGATAAGTAACCTGATTAATTATGGTAATGTGCGCCTGAAATTTGATATTATTATTACTAAGATAAAAAAAAAAATTAGTATATTATTGTTATTACTAATTATATAATTTTTTAATTAACTGCTTTTATAATTAATATAATTATTGACAAGTTAAAATATTCACAATTTGTCATGATCTATTTTAGAAATTCAGAGAAAAAAAATTCTCCCAGACATAAAAATAAAGTAGTCGGAAATAGCTTGTTTAATGTTAATCAAAAATATCATAATCAAAATGAAGATACCAATAAATTTAGTTCCAAAAAACAAAACTAAATTATTGCTGGTTAAAAATAGCATTATCTAGCTATGTCTGGCCATCCTTACATAATAACACTTAATATACCTTAAGTGGTTTCAAATTTAAAAGTTAAAAAGAGTTATGCTTACCTTATATGATGCACTTTTGAGATTAACTTTCCTGCCCTTACTAGTTAAAGTGCATTTAAGACGAATAAAAAAACTACAGGGGCGTTTTTCATGTACATCTGTTGGTTTCATCAATAAACATTCCCTGATTTCATCATGGTCACATGGATGACTGTACTCATAGACACTTTGCCCCATCATGTCCATCTGGGAAATTCCCAGATAATCACTGACGTTCTCCGAGAGGTAGACCATATCTCCATTACTTGCAAGAACCAACATAAAACCATCAAGTGCTTTTGGATACAACGAGTCCACTTCCGCTACGATTTCCGTCTTCGTAAGTGGTTCAGCCAAAGCATCAACAACACTCCTGACTTTGAAATAAGCAATAGCTAGTCTCATTACACTTGCTTTATCCAAATGGGCTGCTTGATCAGAAGAAATAGGTAGAGCTGCTGCCAAATCTGCAAAAATATCTGTTTCTCTGCTTCTTCGACATCGTGCTGCATCTCGAGATTTCTCCTTTCTTTTCTCACTGTTCCTGGAACATAAAAAATCTTTTATTAACATCACGTTGTTTTACACCTTAATACTTTAATTGCAATTATGCTTGAATGTTTTATATGATATAGCCTCTATAAAAATTTACAATCATGCTTAGGAACTTTTGTCAAGCACATACAGACTGTTTGTCTTTGATAAAAAATTTTACAATGAATTATTATATAAAATGGCAGTGTTGAAACGTAATTGAATTTACGTCAAGATACTTTAATAAATGACAAAAAGGTTGATTATTATCAACAGTAAGTTTAAAATATCTGCAACCTCTTTTCTAAGTGGTCTACCCAGTTGACAAAATAATAAATTTATTTTTGAATCTTCAATACTAATACCTCTTTATGTAACTCTGTAATGTAATAACTTTTTTTAAAAATAATTATTAAAAATTAATATTCAAGCTTAATGCCATTTTTAAAATTCCATGATATAGATGGTATAGATATCATGTTAGAAAATATATGATTATAATAACATATTTTACTTTTTTAAATTATTTAATACCTTAAAATTGGTATAAATGACTCTACTAAACAAATATTTCCAATAAAACGCTCAACAAACTCGACTATAAAGTTATTTTTAGATGATTTATTCCATTTAGTTATATTCCCATACCCAAGAATGATAACGTAAAAAACTTATTGCTTGCCTTTCATAAAAAGACCTATAAATATTTGAAAAAAATCTGATAAACAGGATAAAGAATGTTATTGATCAAATATAAAAAACTACAATCAATAACTGTAATTACATATTCAAATAAGTGTTTACATTCTAAATACAAAAGCGAAAATGGAATATCATGTATTTAAACTGTTTGATTAATCAATTCTTCATTGGATTTTAATAAAAACAAAAAACAAGAATGATTCATAGAGTAGAAATAGGTATTTATAAATAAAACAACTTAAGGTTAATTATATCAATTAATTAATAATGATATTGGACATTATCAGGACAAGTATGTATATGACTATAGTCAACCATAACTAACTAGCATGCAAATGCCTAGACCTTGCATGAAAACTTTAAATTTATAACGAAAAAAAAATAAAGAATAGCAAATGAAATAAGAAAAATTACTTATTTCTCTATCATTTTTATCAACTTTGTGTTGTTTGCTTATTCTATTTATTATCGATAATAAAACAGAAAGATAAAGTTCAAGAGACTGAAAAAAAATATAAAAATGCGAAAACGACATCTGTTTACTCTTATCATAAAGTATTCTCCTTTTGTTTCAAGGAAAGAAATATTTCTACCAGATTGAACTTACAAATAATCTTCCATGCATTGTTGATCTTCATGGCCCTGATAAAATGGACAATAATTTGGAAAGTGGTCCTGATATAATTCAAATTGATTAGTCAATCTATCAGAGCATAAAGGCTGCTGCTTATCAAAAGCTTCATGAATATTCCAACTTGGATTATTAACCCAGGATTGTGAATTTGGAACAGTTGAACCGACATTGTCATAGAATGGACAGTTTGAAGTGGTACATGTTAACCATTGAACTTCTGAACAAGGTATTCCAAGAGGAGTATTAGAATTATTGATTGTTTCACGTACGATTGAAGGCGAATTGTTGAGAAAAGTAGTTGGATCCTTGTCTGGATGAATCAATTGACCAACATCATAGCAATTGTAGTTATTAATAAATTTATGAGATAAAACTGTCGTCTGAGGCCTCGAGAGATGATTGTTGGATGCTCTAAAAACTCGATGATGTCTGGTGTGTTGGATCTTTGACTCTCTTGGAGATGGGAATAAATTGATAGCTTTTTGAGCAAGATCTTCAACGTCAATGGAACCATTCCACATACAGGCGCCACCTGGTTCACCATTTGAGTGACTTGCAACATTATCATATGCATTGCAAGATCTATATACATTATAATCTCTCCAACGAGCATTCATGATGCTTCTAGGGTTCAATCAAGTTCCTTACATTTGCCAGATAGTTTCACATAAAATCATCACAAGTCTCACAAGAATATTAAACATCATAATAACATTTAAAAAGGAAATATTGATTACTTTTTCCTTATCAGATTGAACTTCGGCACTGGTAAAAGTTAAAAAGTAAAAAATATTTTTTTTTTTGGATATAGAATCACGATAGAAATAGATTATAGGCTGCTATCAGAAGCAACAGCACGTATATGACTACAATGATCAAGTTAGGCTATCTATAATAATTCCAACATCAGGTTTATCTCTGTTAATGATAAAAAAATTGATAGATGTTCCCCCCTAATAATTGTCTGTCTCTAATCTTGCATGATTGTTATAATTATAGGGCTAACTTTATCATCATTCAATTCCTTCAAACTGACACTATTTCATTATTGTATAAAAAATACAAACACGTGTCACCTTGTTTTATTCTCAACAACAATTAAAATGTTGAGATTGATAAAAGACATTTAATGTAAATAAATAAACAAATATTGATTTATTTATTTATATTGAAAAATAAACATACAATGTTAGAATGTTATTCTCTGGTTCTGATACAGATATTTATTGGAATATCAATATTACCCAAAATAGTTTACTCTAGAAGATAACTTCATATCATCGATTGCCAAATTTATTCAGTATATATTGAACTAAATGATTGCGTAATATACTTTGGAAGTGATATGAATATTGGTAATATTTTTAAAGAATTAAAAAAAAAACATCTATTAGAATAAAAGAAGATTGTGTGTCTGCTTCAACAACTTTGTAAATGATTTTTAGGGAATAAATTTATTTGTTTAATTTTAATTTTAAATTTCAATCAGAATACAAATTAATTTATCTATAAACAAATATTGATTTTTTCTATATTAATTTAGTCGATGGAATCTTCTAGTTGTGACTAATTATTCATTAGATAAATTTTCAGAATTAATTGATATTATAATGAAGCTTCTAAGAAATTTTATGTCTATTATTGATGATATTCATATTTTATCATTTATTTCAACTGACTAGATTGAGTAATGAAAATTTTATTGAAATATTATATAATTATTTATAAAAATTATTTTAATTATTAAGTACTTAAATGATAAAATCTATATCACTTGACATTCTCTTCAATTATTAATTGTAATCCTTTTTTATAAAATAATATTAATTATTAAACTTGCATTTTATTGCATTTTTAAAAATGTTCGATTATTTATTCAATCTCAATTTTAATTAATGTAAAATCAGTAAATTTTTAAGGAGAAAACAATATGAAGGTAAGTTTAAAAAATTAATCAGTATAAATGTGTATAATTAGCAATGATAATTATTTTATTTAACAATCAGATACTTTTTATTATCATCAGAAGAACCAGCTTGATTGAATTCAAGAAGTTTTGAAAAATAAATACTCTACAGTCATAAAACAGGCATACAGTTTGTGGCTATTCAATATTCTTCATAGCTACAGCCTATATTAATAGATTCTAGTAATTAAATGTAATAACGTTTCTTCTTTCATGATAGATTTTTATTGCTACAACTATTTTATCAAAGTTGAACACAAATATTGATTTTATTAAAAACTTAAAAGTTTCATGTGGTAATAAAAATGAAAATAATTAAGACAATTGAACTAAATGAATAATCATAACTTTGATTAAATTACTACGAAGAAAAAAGAGCTAAAAATTATCCAAGACTTGGTATTCAACTGGACCACTGAACCATATCCTAGCCCGTATGATAATAAAAGTATAATTTTGTCATTTGCGTCACTCATGTGCGTCAACGATGCAGAATCTGTAATATCTGCCCCTATGACCAATGACCTCCACATCAAATAGTGAATATACATAGATAGTCCCTCTTCAATCTTTATTTGATATTCAAAAATTTTTTAATATGATAACAAACTATTTCTAAATTTACATAACTTGAAAAATACTTCTTTTTTTTATTCAAATTTTATAAATAACTGTATTGATAATATTTTTATACGTTTTCAATACAAATAATGATAAGACTGACAAAGAAAGAAGCTGGAAATGACGTATCTATTGAATGATAATAAGTAATTTCCAAGAATTAACATAATTTTAATGAGAATTAAAATCAGAAGAATAAAAAACTTCTGTCAAATTGTAATACATGAGATATTATATAATCAACTTTGATGATAAACATTAAAATGATTAAAAGTAACTTATTTAATTGTTAAGAAAATGCAACATGCTTCCTTATTACTATGTCATATGATAATTATTTCATTACAAGAATTATCATTTAAATGTCAATAGTTGGAATAATTTCCATAATAAATTATAAAAACTCTTCATCAATTGGTTAGTATCATTTTCACCAATAAATGGACATTCTTTCAGGAAAGTTGGTTGATAATAACAACAAATGAACTCTTGATTCATCGATAAAAAGAACAGAGTGTTTTTTGAATAAAGATGTTGACAAAAAAACAAGGAACTATCAATGTTATATACGTGACTAGGTCATAATACATGAATCAAAGTTGAATTAATTATATGTATCAAACTAGGTACGTGATGTTGGAATGGATAAACACAAAACAAGTCTTACTTGCTATTTTTATTTATCATAAACTTTTTTTCAATGTGACCATATGGAAAACGTCCAAGAGACTGGTGATCTACACAATGTGATTTAACCTCCAGAGTTAAGTCACCTTGAACTCGATATGTAGGAATATAAAGTTAATTGTAAGATTTGATCAGCTATAAAGTGTTTAATAGTTTGGAATATTTCCATTAAATCCGTTTTAAATTGTTAAAATGTAATTGATTGTAAATAACAACAGTCATGACAGGTTGGTTATTAATTATTGTAATTTGAATAATGCGAAATTAATGGTCAATTTGATGTTGAATTGACTGACATACTAGTTATTGCAGAGAGACAAAAACAGGAAGCAGAAAGCACATGCTGCGTAGATATCAATGTACTTGGTGTATAATTTTTAAGTATATGAAAAGACCTTCAAATATTATGTAAGGTAGATTACATTCAAAAGAGAGAAGTCTAGAGCTTCTGTGTTGATATTATAAAATTCCGTTTGAAGAATGGGATTTGTTTAGAATCTTTGATAAATTATTTTTTTAGTTTCACTTTTTGGAAAAGAACACATTTTTTTCTTTTGAAGTATATAACGTTAAAATATGTGCTCTGCTTGAATATCTGCAATTAATTATAGCTTATGAGATAATGGAGTAAGCAGTTAAAGTGAAAAGGTATGCAGAATAAGAGAAAAAAATGAGAATGAAAAATATGAAATTTAATTTTCGTAAATGTAAAGTCTCTTCGAAAAACATTCGTTTCATAATACCCATCATCTTGGTTCTCTTATACATACGTCACAACTCCATGTTAACATAGATACGACAAATACAATTGCCAGTAATTGTAAATGTAAAATTTCAGAGTTATGCTTCATATGCATTCATGGAATAAGTGAATGCTGTTAGATGAATAAAATTTTTTAAAAGAGTTTTTTCAAATGAGTATAAAATGTCGAAAATAAAAATTGAGAACACATTAAAGAGAAAGCGTTCAATTCTATTTCACCTTCAGAATGTAAAGTTGCATCATCGTGATATGAATTTAAAATTTAATCAAATTAATAAAAATATCCATTCTTATGTGTCCTTCATAATGTGTATGTAGATGTAAGGATCCAATAAATTTTCAAAGACTGAGTGCAACGCCCTCGTGTAGATATACGACTTGCACAAAGCAGAATTGTTACTCACACATACAAATACTACGGGTTATGTGTTGAATATTAGGTTATAATTTCTTGAATAATAAAGATTAAATTAATTAATTAAAAAAATAGTATTTAGTTTGATAATTAATTGTATTACCTTCGTTTTTCTTTAGATTTTTTCTCCTTAATCTTCTTTTCTTTAGGTTTTTTGGACTCCATTGTGGGGAAAAAGTTGTTCTCTAACACAAACCAAAGCCGAAATGCACACGCGTTTCTCTTTTTTTCTTGCCCTGAGGCAATATTCTTTCTTCTCTTAACTGTTTATTATTTTAAACTGTTCTTTCATTCAACTTAAATGACAAATACACTAATAGTGTATTCACGATGTCTTTATTTTCATTGGATGTAGTGACGATTGCACACAAATTACAATTACTGATTCACAAAGATTACTGATCATCGTATCACTGTGATTTCCAGTTGGAATCACGATAGTTGCTTTTTTATAAATCACCAAATGGACACAACAATTAGATATGTATAGTATTAGAAACTCACGAAACTTGCTGTTTCTCTGTTGATCGCGTTCTAGGGCTAGACACTATGGCTGCAGTAGCAGTGGCGACTTCTGGTGGGGGAATTGAAGATGTGAAAAAGGGAAGATACGACAAAGGATCAAGCCTTTAACACACATTCGTAACAACTGCTGTCTGTGATACTTCCTTGTCTAATGTGTGGGTCGAAACTGAGGACGATGTCGTCAACTCAGCTGACAAGAATTAAAGAGCCGGCGACATCTAGTGAGGATTTTTTGTTCTTGAATAATTATTTACCAATAAATAATTACTAAATTGTTTCTACAAAAAAAATTTATGGATTTTCTAGAATTTAAATATACATAGATACAAGCATATAATTATGTTAGAAAAGGATAAATTATATAATAAGAATTCTACATGAACAATAATGTATTTTAATAAAATTACATAATTTAAGGTATGTTTTTAAATAAAAATATACATTAACCTTTTTAAAAATGTCTTTACTTTGTTGTTATTCGAAAACACCACCTGATATTCTTACACCTAAAATATTTTCTACAAAATTAGGTAATTATCTATTTATCACCAACTCGTTCAACCTGTGCTTCATTAGAAGATGCTTTTATTTGCGTAATTCGATCCTGCGATGATTCTTTTGGTTCTAAATCTTTTCTATCTTGGCTTTTTTTAGAATCTAAAGCTTCCGCTTCATCCATGTCTAAATCATCCATATCAGTATCTTTGTTTCCATAAAGTGCAGGATATTCAGACATACACGACTGCATTGTTTTAAAGGCTTCATAGCAATCAGATCCTTTTGGCTCAGCGCTGGAATAGTGAAAACAAGAAAAAGCATCTCTGAACTCTAGACCACAAGGTCCAGTTGCCATTCCTCCCAAGCAAGGACAATTCCAGTTAATTTCTCCATTTGGAAGAAGCAATCCAGGACTTGGTTCTGGTTCTGGAAGGGTAATTGTACTTGGTGATGCGTGGTCTTCTTTGGTGGCAAAGATAATGGTGTCTTTTCCTTCCTGTCGAACTATGGACATTTTGTATTTCTAATAGTGATTATATTTCAATGTTGATAATCTCTTCCGTCTGATAATAAACCAAAAGGGCTTGCAGATGCTTTATGCACGGTAAATACACAATCGTCGTCGTTGTAAGTACTTGCTAGTGTAAGTGATGATCTCAGTCTCACGTAATCCTTGTCTTCACACCGTAAAATAAACCTCCTTGATGTATGATTAAATCGAAGTAAATCGACTGAACAGTTTGCTCCTTCTTCGCCAAATAATTGTTTTAACGATTGCATAACATGATTCTTCAAAAAAACCTCACTAATATCTCGATGGGGATTATTTGGAAATTCTCTGAAATAAAAAAACAATTGATTTATTTATAATTCACGAAAATCAAGTTTAATGATACAAAAATGATCGAGGATGATCAAATTTTAGTACTCGAGACCTTTGAGCTTTCTCAATATATAGAGGTTATGTATCTCACATGATATAATGGTTTGTGACAACAATAAAAAATGTAATAATAATTAATAAAATGAAGTTTGAAATATAGTATCGTATTTGTTTAAGTGATAATTCAATTAACAATGCACTTATTCGACTTTTGAATAAAAAATTTTTATACAGTATCACGTGAGTGTTGATCGGCGTGGTAGCATGACACGAACATTTTTTCTACGTTGAATAATTATTGATATTAAAATAAATGAATGTTAATTAATACTAACAGAGAAACATCCAAATATCGCATTTTTACAATACATGAGCACTGATGTTAATAATAATAATGTTGTTAAAATACTAATTAAAAATGAAGAACAATTTGTCGAATCAAACAGCGAGTGCACAGGTTTCGAACTTTTATGAAGGTATAAAATTGATTATTGATCAAGTAAACTATATTAATATTATTTCATTGAAAGTTTATGGAGTGTAAACTTGTAAAAACTTAATGAACACGTGTAAATCAATTAGAAAAAATATAAAATTACCGATAGTCAAATGCCTGTTCAGAGTCAACAACACAAGCGGCTTCGGATGAGCAACTGCAAGAAGTACAATCTAGCTCCACCTGGCGTCTAAATAATTAACCTCTTTGGAAGCTTTTTTTTCTCAATTATGATAAATTAGTTATGATTCTTATCATCTAGTGATCATCGAAAAAAATGAAATTTCAACAGATAACTCCCACCACTCTACGAGCACATGAACTTGATGAGAATGTGTGAGAATATGTAGGGTATGATAAGAATGTGTTCGTCTATTGAATGCTTGCTTTCACTCGTTCTTTCGCACTCATCATTTTCTATTGGTCTTCTTCTACTTCACTTGATTTGCTCTTTAATTCCCCACTCGTACAACCAGACCTTCATGACAGAGGTTTTAAATCTCCCTTACGAAAGAATACCAGTAAGGATATTAAAAGTCCCAATTACACCTTGCTCATCGACGTATACCTGAGTCCTAAAGAGGGTGGATTTTTCTTCAATGACTCTTTTATTCGCCGTTTCTTTTGTATTTCCATAGTTACACATTTTTCAGGCTTTCTATTTCGTCCCTCGTTGCATCCGCTTTTCTACCCTCGGACTTTTTGATAATGCACCATACATCACAAGCGTTCTATTCTAGCAATGGGGCCAAACCCAGCTTTACAGAAGACCACATATTCAATATAGATAAATACCAATATTCACATGAATGTACATTCTATCTATGTCTATGTATATTCACACACATGTGCTATATACATGACCACATGCTTCCCATCTGCATCTGCGATTGAACCTGTAAAATTACACAGTATATTGTAATCTGTAATCAATCTGCGATGTATTTGAAGAATTTGAAACGAAGCAAACAGACCAGTAGATGCTTTGTCAGGCGGAAAAGATGAATGGAAAATCATAAAATTATAATAAATTCAAAGCATACCATTTAAAGTTAAAAAATGAGTTTCTTTATGTGAACTCCAAGTGTTCCTAGAATTTCATCATCCTCCAGTGGAACCAACAGTGTTGTTGCTCCAGTTGGCTGCAAGTAAGTGTGATAATGATTAGAAAATAAAATTGATCATTGTCAGAGGTAATTAAAATATGATAACAAAAAATACTCACAGATAAAATAGAGTTTTTCAGTGTAACTTTTGGTATTATAGGATGTAGCAGGCGAGGGAGAGTAAGCAAGAGATAAGAGGTCGGGTGGTCCCGAGAGTCAACTTCCGCAGGATAACCAATTAACTCTCAGCAGCCGTCGTTCTTCTATGTATATATGTATATATATATATATATATTGTCTCTCTCATAACTATATACCTGAAGATCGCGCAGGTCCTGACTATTGAAGCTGAGTTTATAGCTGGCGTAGTACATGAGACATCTGAGCGTGAGAGAATGAGACAGAGGGAGGAAAAGAAGGAACGAAAAAAACCATAAGGCCCTCAGAGTGAGGTTCTGACCGACATGGTCGAAAGCCCTTAGGTATAAAACGTTGAGAAAGACGAGACGAAGTAGGGAGCTTACGTATGGGGCTCTCTTCTTCCATGCTTCTCAGAGAACACAGTGTGAGCACTGCTCTTCTACTTGACGTGGGTATATTATTCTCGAGGGATCACGGGGCCATGGGGCCACAAAAAGCCAGCCTCCACCTCCGGGTCCCTTTCGGGGTCTCACTCGAATGTAATCCCATACGGTGTGTTCGTTGGAGCAAGTGAGAAGGGCTTTATAAGAGAAGACAAAGAATGAATGATAAAAAAGAAAAAGGGAACTGACGGTCATCTTGAAAATGTTGCCTAGCACACTCTATCCGGCTGGTGTGTACTTTACTTGGATTCTTGTCAGTGCGTCTGTTATGTATTGAAAGATGTATATATGTTATGTATGTATATATAAGAGAGTTAGCTTGCACACATTTTCAGCATACACTTGGACCTTTACCACATCAACCAAATGCTTTCAGAATCTGTCCATGTATGAGAGAAGTATGAGCATGAGAGTGCAGAAGAGAATGTGCTTATGTACTAGAATGAGTACAAGAGAGTTGAAGATTTTCGCGAAAACCTTCAAGCTTTCGACTTGAAAGAAGACAACCAGGCTGGTAGAGGATTGATGACGGCTTCCCCTGCTGTGTTATTGGCACGTCGTAAGAAAGGTCGTTAAGGATTTTGCCCGGGCTCAATACCAGTTGTAGAGGAGGAAGAAAAATAGTAACGTGAAACGAGCAAGGGGACAGACACTGTTGAGACTCTCCATTGTAATGAGCGTAAAGCGCAAAGCCGTTGCAAGTCGTGCGCTAAAAGGCTCCCCGGATAATTCTTCTATACATGCGAATATATAGCCTGTATGTAGAACACACTGGCCCGGTCTGTCTCTCGGTATGTATCTAACTGTGGCACTTATGTATGTATAGAACACTATGTACATTAGGCATGTACGGATGTCGCCTCTCGTCGATCCCAGATCTCTTTGTGCGCCGATCGTGCGCACCTACATGCCAGCAAGGTAGAACATATTTTTTTTCTTCCCTCTCTTGTTCTTCATTCTTCTGATTTCATTTTTTTATCTCCCTTTAATTTCCTTACGAACCTTGCCTCAACCCTTGGGCTCACTTCGTTTGGATCTCTCGCTCTCTCCTTCTCTCTCTTATTGATAATATAATACCCAAGTGATTTAGTAGCTACGCCGTTGCGCACAGAATATGTACGGCTTTGCGTTTGCACATAGTCGTGTATAAAAGTCTCTTCTAAGTATATGTGTTTGCCATCAGTACACATATACAATTCACACACATACACATATGTAACTATCTCTATCGCACGTTTTCATCCATCCACGAAAGGGCCGTAGCCAAGATTTTTTGGCGAAAAAAACCCGAGAAACACATACCGACCAAGTCGAGAAAGGGAAAAGGTTTATGGCGATAGTACGCACTTTTAAATGTGTTTAAATGAAATCAAATGTTTTTCAATTTTAGTCTCATCATTTAACTATTTAACTCAAGCTTTACCCTATTTTATTACTTAAATGTACAAATACAACTTTGTAGATTTACATACTGATGATGTTCCCAGAGAGAGTAAGTCATTGCGCGTATTGGCAGTCATTAATAATTACATCGAATTAAGGAGCATAAAAGAAAGTAATACGAACAACTGAAAAATCAACGAAGGCGGAAGAATGAGTAGGACATTTGGAGAATATGAGAAATCGAGGTATATTCATGAGGATTCGACGCCCGGATGGTCGTGGCGCGACCTATAACGACGCCGACGGAGCCGGCGTCGACGACGATACACAACGAGACGTCGGATCGTTGGAGGGCTACTAACTGTGAGTTAGAGTGAGAGAGAACGAGTCAGTTGGTGCCAGCGAGGGGCGGGAGGGAATGTAGATGTATACCGGGTGGAGTTCCAAGAGGTGGGGATCTACAGAACGTCGGCCCGGGGGTCCGGAAGGAAGGGCGGACAAGGGAATAAGCCAGCATGAGAGCGACAGAGACGAAGCGAGAACTAAGCAAGATAGACAATGGAGAATGATTGTCGGTTAGAGGGAGAAGGTTGATAAGTGGAACAGAGAGAGTGATATCTATAGTGAAGCCACGACTGAGAGCCTGAGAGAACGAGGTTTTCAGTCGTTGCTCGACACTCGATGCGCCGAGTCTGTCGAGTTAAATACATGTGAGAGACATATTCTTTCTCTACTGTCGAGAATAACGTGTGACGGGTTTTTTTTTGTATAACGAGAAGACATTATTTAGTTAGAAATATACTAGAACGATAGCATCGTGATTCGAACGAAATTAAATGTGAAAAGTAAAGCAAATAAAATTTTTATGAGGAATTATATATCTGAAAAAAAGTATATAATGAAAATAACGAATGGGAAGAGGATTATCTCGAGCGTCGCATGAGAAACGACGTGCCTTTTTGTGCGGGTGATAAAAAAGAAATTGCTTGTCTTGTGTGGTGAATATTTATCCAAAAGACGTTATTTTGTCGTAAATCCTAAACTTATGTTGAATAGTCGAGGACAAAGGCCGGGTCATCGACGTTAGCTGTGCCGTCGCTCTCACGCATGACATTGGCATGGATCAGCATCATCATCATCATCATCATCAACTGTGACAAGTGATTGGGGATATAAAAAAAAAAGTAGTGAAAATTTCATAAAGGATTGACAGGAAGTTACGGAATACTAAAGAGAAAACAGCGTTAAATTTACTGGAAGTAAAAGGGTCTGAGAGATATAAAAGAGACAAAACAAAAAAAAAAAGAAACGAATCAAGGCAAGCTAATGTTATAAGAATATTTTTTAATCATTTTTTCATCAACTTTAGTCAATTTCTTTGATTATTTATATATATATAATTTAAAAGAAATTGGAGAGATGAGATAAGGTTTTCCAGACTTGGATATATTACATATTGGTCCATAGTTTGGGTTAAGAAACCTTAAAGTTTTTTACTTGATTCGTTAGTCCCTTTGAAGGTAGTGTAACAACTGCACTTTGGTCTTTCGATCTTCCACGCGGGTAGGAAGAAAGGGTGAGGCTGAAAGTATAGAGAAGGATAAGAGAAAGGCGTGTGATATAAAGAAGAAAAGAGAAAAAGAGTGAAGAAAGCAGCCGAAAGAACGATAAGGGCGAGACCAAGCAAAAACCTGGGGGCGCAGCTGGAGGAAAGAGCAAGAGAGAACGAGAGAGAAATAGAGACAGGACATCAGGACCTGCTGGTAGTGTGGCCGCGCCTCGCCGAACGCAGAAAATCGATCTTTATACGTTGATATCTATACTGAGACCGATACATTTCTTTAGTCTCTATATACCACTTTCAATCAGTTGTTTTTTTTTGTCTTATTACCTCTTTCTACATCCCTCAGCCACGTCGTGGTTTTGTCGTCACGACGGAATTGCTGCAGAAATCGATACGCAGACGACGGGAGGGTCGGCTATACTTACATCTGTAGATGAAGCCGCATCCTGGGAATTTATTTGAGTCATAGAGGCGGAGGTACTTTTGGAACACATTACCACGGCCTCGTAACGAGTATGACCATGAGAACGTGACGCAAGTGAGCAAGCTGCCGGCCATTAGTCAGGAGGGCGTCACCGCTGTCCCTTTATCATCGGCCCACGTTGTTTCCGCACGTCTTTTCCTACGTTGTACTCCAGGAAGTCAGCTAAAAACACATTATGGCAGCTGCCTGTTACGAAAAGGAAGTAACGATAGAAGGTGCTAGCCATGGTCTAGGTCTTGCACATTCTCATCATCATCATCACCTTCATCATCACCATCACCATCATCATCATCGAGTAAACGGGAACGTTAGTGCCACCAACGTTACTTCTTCCACGACACCGTCGTCATCGAACCGTTCAACCACAGCAGCAGCTGCCGTTGCCGCGGCTGCCGTTACGGTTATAGGCCAAACGATTCTCTCGCCGTCGGGTACCAGTGATATTGTTATACCTGGTGGTAGTCCATACAAAACTGAACCAAGTGCTGGAACAAATTTCAAAGATTATGCTCAGCCACTTCACGTTGATTGCAGCGTCGAATATGAATTACCCAGTCAAGCGAAACCACCACCAGGAGGTGGCGAACCACTTCTTATGATTCATCCATGCTACTACAGACGTGCTGAACGTGAAAGGCGGAGTCCTTTTATTAATAACTTACCACCAATGGTTTCATCATCAGGAAGAAAAAGCAGCAGGCGAGACACGTCTTCTGTCAATTCTAATTTAGTAGTCACCAAGAGCAGTATGTTTCCGGCTTCCAATGCATCAACAACCATTGCGCCTGCTAATGTTGCAGGTGGTGATGCCGCAGCGGCTATTGCAACTGTTGTTGCTACTGGTACTGCTGCAGTTGCAACAACAACACATGCTTCTAATCCAAATGGTGGTATACTTCTTGGAGATGCTCTGATAGCATCATCACCATCTTCTGCAACAATCAATACATTTTTACATAGAAAATCGTCTAATCGACGAGACGAGGAGCAATCACAAGACCTCGATATTGAAAAGAAACGACTGAATCAGCAGCATCGAGCAGCCTTCTCTACCGTAACCAATAATCTCACGACTGCCGATGAAAAGGCTGTGATATCTGGTATTTATCAGCATTATTTCCGTGCTATACGTTCTCATCATCAGCAACCTCATCATCATCACCTAGAAGTAGATCAATTACAACAACACCATCATCTTTATGATGATCCTCATCTACATATTGGATCAACTAGATCATCTGTTGTTACGAGTCCAGCAGCTTTTGTTCAAAACTTTCAAGTGCCGGCTGATCCATTGACATCAGCATCATCTCGACGACGATCAAGTAGTCAACATCACCATCCTTATCGTCGGCCATCATCAGTGGTTTCTAGAGCACCAACTGCCATACCTCATGTATCATCGTCAACATCAGAAGATTCTGCATCATCGAGCGTTTATGCAACAGCAATGAACAGACATCGAGCGGCATCTCTACAAGCTCTCAGGGTTGCAGCAGCTGCTGTCGCGGCAGCGGCCGCTGCAGCAGCGGGTGGAGGAAGCGGAAATGGCAATGGCGGAAGTTTCTATGAAGCACCAGCGTACCGAGCACTATTACCGAGAAGCTAGGACCAGGTCAACCGACTGAATAAACTCAGGATTCATTTAATAAAGGTATCATCGTTGTCATCCTTGTACATCACGTGCTTTCTATATCATCTAATTTTATCGCTATCACTTGTTCTCCTCTCCGACCTCATAGTCACCATCATCATCGGAATGCATCAACACAGGTCTTCCGCGTGGTTCAATGCATTCTTTGCTTGTATCAGAGAAGCAACGACTGTGAAAAATAAAAACAGAATATCTCGTTCTTGTTCTTCTTTTTCTTCGTCTTCTCTGAAGATAATATCGGACGATTTTCGCTCCAGCCCCCATCATTTGTATTATCGTCGGCATAGCTCTACCCTTGTCCGCCTCTTCCACTTTTCTTCCTTCTTCGTCTCGTCACGCACGTGGAGTTACAGCACGGCACCCTCATGTCCACAGGAGGGCCCGATGCTCGGCTGCCAGACTGCCGCTTCTGCCTACCTGCTCGTCTACCTACACACGCTAACGATAGTCCTATGTTATTTTTTTACTTCTCATTTTTTTATCCTCTTCTCTCATGCTCATCTACCTTTAGACCTTTACTCGAAAATTTTCTTTCATTCCCTGGCCAAACCAACTGGTTTAGTTGTTGTATACGTACTATAATTCACCCTCGACCGATGAGATCAGCTCTGCAATATTTTCCTCCCTAGAATTGATCATCTCGAATCCTCCCCATTTCCCCTTCTGCACCACCAGTTCGCTCTTGCCGCTCGTTTAAAATCATCAACTAACGAGCAATTGCCTAACGAACGACGCTTGTCCGATGCACCATAGGATATTTTCGTTGTAACCTCCGGGCCATCCGTGCACACTGCAGCATATCGCCGGTGCCATTACCGTCGCACACAGACGACAGACATTACTTGCTGTATCTCGGTTGGTGGCAGCTCGCGGTTGTAAGGGAACGAGGGGCTATAACCCTCGCTCTCCTCTCTGCGGCCAACGCTCTCTGCTGTCGCGGACGTATGTTACAGTCCATGGGGCTCCTATACACCACGTTGTGCACGGTAACCAGGGGAACTAGGGGCAGGACGACGATTATTCACCACGAATATTGGGCTTCCCGTATAGACATGCGCCAGCTCTGCAGAGCCAATTTTTCTATTCGATATTGTACGCTGACTATTGGCCCGTTTAGCCTTCTCATTTTTATCCATCTCGATTTATCCTACTTGCCAGCTATCCAATCATCATTTCATACATACAACACACAATATCTTTATATACATATATCTAATAACGACAATTTAATCCAATAAATGTATGTATATACATATATGTATATAGATATTACGGTATTTATATTTACATATGAGAAGATAAGAAAATAACATATAATTATCGCGTAGTATTTGTAAATGCGCGTGCGAGAGCCAAAGACTAGAAAAGAAAAAACAAAAAAAAAATTACATAAAGAAAACGAAAAAAAAGTACATTCATTTTTTTTCCTTCTCTAATACATTGTCAATATTTCATTTTTTTTATCTCTCATTCCATCTTTGCATAATTTTTTTGTTTTTTGCTGCTCTACGCTTATGAGAGGGGGGGATTGTCAGAATGAAGACTTGAACTTTTTAATGTTTATTATCCTCGCAATTTTGCCCTTCTGTTTCCTTTCCCCTTGTCTCCTATAATCTAACACTTAACGCGCTGTGACGTTGGCGACCAACTGTAGGGATTTAGGGTGATTCCAAGCTTAGGGATTAGATAAGCCGATCGATTATTTAGTATATGTATTCTTGCAGACGCCAGTTATTGCAGGAAGCACATGAAACTATTAATGGTCGACGAGGACGAGGAAAATGCTGAGAAAGAAATAATAAAAAATAATAATGAAAGGAGAAAGAAAGAGAGAAAGAGACAATCTAGAAGGGTAAGAGAGTGAGTACCAACAGCTTGCAATGACAAGAAAGTAGAACGGACGCACCCTTTGTACAGAGAGTCGAGGGTCCAATGACATCTCGGCGACCTGGCCCGAGTCTTCAGGCCGCTCTGGTGTGCCCGAGGATGTATCCAAACGCAGACGATCGATACCGGGTAGAGAGACCCGTCGGTTTTCATACCGACTCTCTCTCGAGTTGCTTATCGATCCTTCGCCGAACATTCTCTCTATCTCACTCTCTCACGTTCTATCTTTTGCACTTGCTTACTCTTTCACGTACCATCTCTATCTCTCTCTCTCTCTCTCACTTTGCCATAATGCCGCTTGAAGAGGACTTGCTTTTCCACTCTTCGTCGTGCTCGATGCATCAGAATCACTTGGGAGCCAGGGGCTTCTCCTTTCTCTCCTCCTCGTCGACGTCCGGGCTGCGATGATGGATCTTGCGCGCGAGAGCGAGAATTGTCTGGCAAGAGAAAGAAGAAGTTATGTATGTATATTGCTATACTACATGAGATATAATATAAAAAAAAAAATAAATTTAGAGGGAGAAAAAAAAAGAGAAGAAATTTGTAAAAATAACAAAAGAGCCTATATACAGCTTGCATTTAATACGATCATGTACAAGTCTAAATAGTGTGATACATTTCTACGCTTATTCTCCGGTTGTAGAATTTAAGGACTCTTTCCCTCAAACTCACTTCGCCTCTTGTGCATTTCGAGATAAGAATAAAAATATAAAAATAAAAAAAAGACAGAAAAGAAAAAAAATTTTTTTAGGGCGGATTATATGATATTGTTCAGTAGTTTTTGAAGATGCTAGAAACATGTAGTTTATCTATTAAAAACAATTTATAAATAATATATATATATATATATATATTAAGAGTAAACATCTCCGCCAGTTTTTTCAATTATATAACTCATTTTTTTTCTTTTCAAGTGGGATATGAGTGTGTGATGCGTGTAGAAATGAGTGTGAAAAAGTATGCGTGCGAAGTAGAATGAGGAAAAATTTGTTCTTCCTTTTTTTTAGATAGAATTACTGACAATAAGTGTCGGTATGTGAGAACGAGAAAGAGTTTGTGACAAATTCAATTAAACTGAAAACTTGGGATATATCCCTTGTATTGTAAATAGTTGTGCATACATTCGCATAGATATAAATATTGTATACATATAAAAAATCTATATATTATATATATATATAAACATATATATAAAAAAGAACAAATCATTCACTGACTGTAAAATTGCCATCGAAATATATTTATATTTCATGTTAAAACTTCTGTTACCTTTTATTTATTTCCGTAGTCTAATTTTAATTTGCATGTTAAATGATATATTATTGAATAAAAAGAAAATAATTAAATAAATAATGTGTATAATAAAGTACATATTGAGAGTGAAAAGTAAACCCATTAATAGAAAATACTGCATTGTGTAATGTACATTATTTTGCAGCATGTACATCTTTTTTTTTTTCTACCAGTAAAAGAAGGCATATATCTTTACCTCGAAGCTCGTCGACGAGGTTTTCTTTTTTTCTTCTCACGTCTCACCACTTCGCGTCACGTCGCTAAGTTCCTGTGGCTCGTCCTCGTACGAGTCTTATGCTTGGAGATTCAGGTAGGTAATACGTAATCGTTTGCCAAGTGGGCCAAATAATGCTGACGGAAAGCCGTCTTGACTGAGTTTGTACATGAAGACTTTGAAGTTTTTGTGCAAGGACAGAATGACGATAACGTTATAAATATTATCTTAAAAAATTTGCACTACTAATATAAAAAAAAAAAAATTGTTAACTAAACAATACTCACCTAAATATTTATTTATTATCTACATGAAATATTTATGTAGTTCCAACTATAGGATATGCCAATTAAATTCATTGACAGTAGAGCTATAAAGTCTATCCCTTGTCATAATTCATTTTAAACGACAAATTGAATGAATCCATCACCTGCCATTTACTTCAATGTTTCAAAAGTCTATAAGTAGACTTTTAAAGATAATACAATCTTTTTACTATTCTTTCCCTCTTCTTGAATCGTTAAATTAACAACTTTAAAAAACCATTAATAATTCTTGAAGCATAATTGTTTGCTCATAGTCATTTTCCTCAATCGTTTTGGCCATTATCCGTTGAGATGGATCCGGAGATGTAACCTAAAATAGTAAAAAATAAATATGATTCATTCTGTATCAGGTAAGCACTTAATGGTTAAGGTACAATATGAATACACGGAATGAAGATAATCAGAAATGACTGAGATTCTATGTGACGAGGTCAAATGTTTAATAGGGTTAGAAAAGACCTTTGTATTCTAGGGAAAGCACGTACTTAACACAATTCCGTATGTATTTTACTCTCTTATCGATTATAATGTGTTGCATTCGCAAACGACGTCCCAATGCGACATATTTTTATCCTCGACGTCACAAAGCTGATGGTTTTTAATTGCTAATACCCGCATTGTGTGAGTACAATAGCTCAGGCTTGTGGAAATGTTTGGCTTCGGGAAATGGAGCAAAGACATCTGACCACATCTGACGCATGAAAAGAGGATAATATAATACAATCAGAATCATACAATATAATATATGCGATGAAATTAGCATTTTTTTCACATTGACAGCACGAAAAATGTTTTCTTTTTTACTTGAGCTGGTAAAATTGTTTAAATTTATTTCGATGTTATTATATTACTCATCAGTATTGCATCAAATAATTCAATAATACTACGAAGAATTAACATTTCATGTGATAGCCTAAAAGGAATATGAAACTTTGATGAATCAACAGTAATAATAATTTTGAATGTAATTAACAGGTTATTTTTTTCTTACGAAACTAAGATATCGTATAATTTACCAATCATAATTCAAAATTGTAGTAGGAAGATAAGCTTTTCATCATTTTCATTTTAATTTATTGATAAAAAGAATAAAAGAATCATTTATATTTGACTTTCAAAACTCACGAAACATTTGAATAAGCATAAATCATCAGGTGATTTAGTTTTTAATCGACTGGAAATGTTTTAAATAAGTGGGGAGACGGCTAACGAATAATAATAATACAAGTAATGTCTGAATGAATTACAAAATTCAATTGTAATGTGTGTTTAAAATGCGCAAGTTACGATGTGTTATCGTCAGGGCTAGGAGATGCTCACTGAGCGACACGTAAGTGAACGTGTAGTTTCGAGAAATGCCGCTGCACATTAGCGCCCTGTATCTCAGTTGTCAAAACGTAAATCCTCGAGTAGGATTCCAGATTAAAAGCAAAAATTTGAGGCCAAATTTCCCGGCCGTTTTGGCTGGCGTTAAAATATCAATTTAAATTTTGTGTGTTTTAATAATTTAACAAGTAAAATGAGGTCAGCTGTGATATTATTACTGAGTTCTTTGCTCACGTGCATTGTTATTGGAAATGCGTATTATCAAAAAAAACAATTCTATCCTTCAGTCGTCTACATAACCAAGTCAAATCCTAGTATGGCTGTAAGTTTTCAATTTTTTACAGTATTACCATTAATTGCAATTATGGAATGTTTATCAAAACGTTGATAACACGTTGGATGCAATTTAGTTTTGGTAATGTTAAGTCTGACATCTACATCTGCTTTCAGGTGATCTACATTCAAGGACTGATACTTGTTTTTATGACAAATACATTTTTGAGAAAAATCTTCTTTGGTAATCTTAGAGCAGCCGAATTAGAGGTAAACATTATCGGCAATGTTATCAATACAAAACAAAATCAATTAGAAAATTATTTATGAATGTCTTCTTGCAGCATCTTGTAGAAAAAGCTTGGTATGCTGTAACAGAGACCTGTTTGGCATTCACCGTTTTTAGGGATGATTTTAGTCCTAAATTTATAGCTCTATTTACTCTATTGTTATTCTTGAAATCTTTTCATTGGCTAGCAGAAGATAGGGTAGACTACGTAAGTGATACTTTTATTATCAATCATTTACGTCATATTTTTATTACTTTGTTCATAAACAACGAATTATTATTTGTTGGTAATTTTAGATGGAAAGAAGTCCAGTGATAACATGGCTATTTCACTTAAGGGTAGCGACACTACTAATCATTTTATCCACAACAAATATGACAATGATTGAATACGCATACGAATCGACTGTCGCAAAGGGTGCATCTGTCCAGCTAGTATTTGGTTTTGAGTATGCAATTCTATTAACGGTTGTGCTTAATATCAGTTTGAAATACATACTTCATACAATTGACTTACAAAGAGAAACGCCTTGGGAAAATAAACCTGTATTTTTATTGTACACTGAGCTCATCATTGGGTTGATAAAGGTAATTTTTAACTTCACAGAATTGAAAAAATAATCGATAAAGAATGCTATTCTTATAATACCGGTTTTGTTAAAAGGTTCTTTTGTACCTGGCCTTCGTGAGTGTCATGGTGAAATTGTATTCACTCCCGTTATTCGCATTAAGACCAATGTATTTCACTATGCGCAACTTCAAAAAAGCCTTCCAGGATATTGTGATGTCGAGACGAGCTATTAGAAATATGAACACGTTCTATCCTGATGCCACACCTGCTGAGTTAGCAGCTGCTGACAATGTTTGCATAATTTGCCGGTATGTAATCAATTTATTCTAATTAGCAAATTTTTTTATTTCTCCATTAACATTTATTAATTTTTACATTAGTGAGGAAATGGTATCAGCCAGTAAGAAACTTCCATGCAATCATATATTTCATACTGCTTGTCTACGGTCATGGTTCCAACGTCAACAAACGTGCCCAACATGTCGTTTAAATATCCTAAGACCCACCTCAGGTACAGGGGATAATCGTCAGCAAAATCAGGCGCCAGGTGGGACCCAGACACAACAATCCACTCCAGCACCGACACCTAATCAAGAAGGTAATGATTTTATTGTTCCTATTTTAACTTTTACTATTGAAAATTTCGTCTCATTTACACACATATTTCTATTTTAAAGCTCCAAGATCCGAGACCCTTCGAAATCCCAATGATTTAAGGCCCTCGATGACCCAAGGGACAGGTTTTATCCCAGAAAATATGCCGTTTATTCCACCACCATTTCCATCAATTGTTCCTCTACCTCCAGTACCTATACCCCCACCCAATCTTACAACTCTCAGTGAAGAAGAGCTTAAAGCAATGGAAGGAAACTTACGACAGGCTGTTGAAGCAAGAATACAAACTTTACAGAGGGTACAACTTCTTTTAGATGCTGCCAATGCTATGATGTGTCAATATCAGAGTGCAGCAACAACTGCTAAGTAAATAGCTACTTTCCACTCTCTATAAATCATTTATTACTTTCAACTTTTACTTATTTCAACTTATACATATTTTCTAAAATTTCATAGTATTCCAATGCCAACAATGAGTAATATAACCAGCACAAATTCACAAATGAAACAACAAGAAACATTCAAAATCCCTGAGCCAACAACAGAAAGTAATATAACTCAGAAAAATGTCCCCGAAGTTTCCCAGTCTAGTGTATCTAATGGAAATACTTCAAACACGACTAATGAAGGTAATGAACCTATTCCTTCTACATCAGAAACTCAACCAGAACCAGATGATGAAGCATCGATTTTAAGGCGAAGAAGGTTGCAAAAATTCGAGACATTGAAAGTAAAAGAATAGAATTTCTCTTATTTATAAATAAAAACGTGATACTAAATGAATTTCTCTGATATTCGATGCCAGACTGTCACTACACTGTAATTCTAAGTTTATGTGATTTGGAGATTAGCTATTAAATTCTACACTTTTGGATATTAAATTGATCATTGAGCAAAAAAATTTCGAAATATCAGAATATGTTAATTCTATGTTTATTATACATCTTTATCGTTTTTTCATATGTTAAATTTTCAACATTTCTTCTTATTTCTCATATCGTCCTGTACATACATTTTTTAAATCGCACGAAAAATTTCTTTATTAAAAATCTTCACCTCAATCTTCCATTGTACGCTTTCGCGTCGCTCCGATTCATCATAAGAATGTAAAATGTATAAATAATATACTAGCATAATAGTAAATACTTTAATTGTAATTTCTTAAATATGCTATGCACATGGGGTTGTTAAAAGTCTAATATTGCAAATTATTGTACGTACAGAATTCTCAGGTATTTAGAGGGACTTTTCTTTACGACATCAATGTAAAAAAAAATTGTTAGTTTAATTGGCAAGAAAAAATAATTGACTATGCCATAACAAGATGTATAAAATTATAGTTTGCAATTTATCACTTGATAACAATGATGATATTTCTGTAATATACAATTATTAATAAACTTATTTGTTTAAAAAAAAAAATGAGTGAAATAATTATTTAAATCTCCCGCTTTCAGATAGTTCTAGTATGCAACTTAAGGCGGCGCACCTGTTAAATTTTTTTTCCTGCTCAACCTCACTTTTTGTGACCTCCAATAATAAATACACGTATGTGTTTATGCATGTGTACTTGTATGTATGTAGTCACGTTTTTTTCACTACTTTATACATATGTGGCTATATGCTCTTAGTTAGTTCAACTTATACATGTTTGCATATGGAAATTGTATTATCTTAAGACGCGTCAGAAAGAATACAATTATCAACAAAGCGCGGAGTTCATCATAAGTCTATATTTGATTGCAACAATTACTAGTTTTCTCTGGTGTATCCCAACAATGGAAGCATTTGTGAATAACTATGCTCTTTTTTACAGTATACGTGAGCACTGAGAGTAAAAATAACAAGTTTTTATGTAAATACCTACGGAGCGGCTACAAGTGAATTTTGCGATAAGGTGAATACATTAAATTACAGTGTTTAAATGCGGAATAAAATTTTTCGCGACTGTTATTAATGTCTCCGACGTTTTTAAATAACGCGTCTACCCCATTTAGATCTTTTCGGGGGGTCAATGGTAACCAGATAAGATTGAGCGAGCGAAGTGACGCAGGTGGCAAAGAATTTCAAAGTAGAGTGATAGAATTTGAGCTAAAAACTGACTATCAGCTGATTAATGCATGGATTGACATCCCAGCGTTATTGTCAATTTTGTTCCTTTGGCTCAACAATCGAGATCTTGTCATTGTTGCTACTGTTATAGTAATCTACTTGTTTCTAAGATGTAAATCCATCTTATCTTCTGTCAAAAGTGGTAGGTAAATAGTTTATACTCATTTCAATTCATGTAGACTTTAAATTAAATAAACATTATCATATTTAGATACACTCTTAGTTGTGGAGTCAGTTGGAATACAGATTATTGGGAAACGAGTACTTAAATGTTTAGAGTCCAATTGTTTTCTTCCTTGGAACACTGTGAAAGATGTTTTTATTAACGAAGTTATAATTGGGGTAATTATTATCTATTGTTAATAATCTATTAGTATTTTATATTTAATTTGATTATTAAAGATAAGTTAAAAGGACTTTTTTGAATTACAAAAAATGTTTTTACTCCATTTTAAAAAATAAAATTATGATCATAAATAAAAAAGAATCTTATGTGTTTCAGCAACGAGTTTTGTATTATTTAACATTTATTGTCAAAGATTCGTCAAGTGGAAAAGACGACACAAAATTAGTACCACTCTTTCGTGAATTAAAACCGGAGCGAAAATGCCTGGAATACATGTACGAGCGTCTGGCAAACTTGATTGGGTCGAACGAGAGAAGGAGCCAATTCTAACCGTCCCTGGATCTTATTGGTTGTGTCATAAGAAAAATATTTACAAATTTACGTTTAAATATCACCGAAGCTCCAAAGATACTAAAGAATTTAGTTACGGAAAAGAACTTATGAAGGTTATACGGCGTATTATCAAATCGCAACCACGTCAAGGTCAGCAATTTGGTACGCGTCACCTTCTCGTAACTTATAACCATTCATCATGGACTCGACAAGATAAAATGTTTGCCATGCTAAAATTTCGGGATAGAACTAATGCTACTGCATTTCCTCGTGCTTTCGTGCTTATTGTTAAGATTCTTCCAACAAACCCGACATTTGAAAATGGCAAAGAGTTTGAAGATGAATTGATTGTTTATGAAAAATCAACTAGAAGATCACAGTGGAATAACTCATCAATTGATAAGCAAGATGATATAAGTAATAGTGATGAAACGTTGCAAAAATCCAGACTTCCCTCAACGATTAGTAGTAATGGACTCTCCAGTGATCTTCCTAAAACTTCTTCAGATAATGTTAAAAGTAATGGTACTCGCGTTAATACTCCTGTTACAAGATCCATGCGGAGTAGTGAACGCCAGAAAAGAGTTAGTTCAGCTTCCTTTTTAGCAGGTCTTGATGATTTGCCTCTTATAGAAAAATATCTTTCTGAACAACAAGATCAATCTAATTTAGATAATTCTACTGCTACAAATCAAGAATGTCTAAATGAATTACAGGAAACTGTAGATATGCCTTATCAATATTTAATTGAACGTGAAATTGAACGAAGTAAGTCTAGACTAACACGTAGTTCTAATGCACAAAAAATGGCTGTTGATGAATCTATTGAAAAGGCGCCAAAAGAAAAACGTATTGGAGAATCAGCAACACCGAGAAGTAGAACCCCAAGACTCCAATCAAGTTCAAATATTATTGATAATGCAACAGCACGCTCTTCTAACATTACAGATCTTGTCATGGAAGGTCTTATGTTTACGATTAGACAAGATCAAGATAGTGTAACTGTGGTAGAGCAAAAGACTAAATTGGAGCCTGATGAGGTTTTAGAGAATTCAGAAAAAATTGAAACGAAAGAAGGTGCTGAATGTCTAGTTAATTCTAGTCTTTTGAAATTGGAAAACTTGGTCACAAAAATTGAAATGTCATCTAACGCGAAAACAAATAAATATGAAGATGATCAATGTACTCAATTGAATAGTTTAAGTGCAATAGATTTAAATAATAAGGATAATGAAGAAGAGGCTGGAGAACAAGAAGATGTCGAAGATGTAGAAGTAGATGATATACAAGAAGTAGAAGTAGACTCAAAAGAACAAGACAAAAATACTCAAAAATTGTCTGAAAAAAATTTTGATGATGAAATTGAAGAATACACTGCTCTTAATCTTGAAACTATTGATGATCACCAATCGCAAGAGGAAAAATCACTCATTCTCACTTCTCATCAGCAGTCTTTCAAAAATTCTTTGGAGAAAAAAATAGATGACGTTCCGCTTGTTACAATTAATTTAAGTAATGTTCATGATATTCTTAACAGTGATTTTAAGGATGAATGTAGTTCCACGTTTTCGGAAATACACAGTTTGCACGAAGAATCAGAAGTCAATGAAGATTTTGAGGACTCAGAAGAAGATTTTGAATTGCAAGATCATCCAGATGTAAGTATTGAAGAAGACAATGCAAAATTACATGATAATAAAGAAGACAACGAAGAAGAAAGTCACGTAGATATTGAAGAAGATGAGGAAGACGAAGATATTATTCCAGAAGCTTTATGTAAAAATAATCAAGACTGTATTGATGATAATGTTGGCTATGAAATATCAACTGATTCTGAAGAAAATAATTTACTAATGGACGATATAGAAATAGAGCAATCATCAAATGTACCGGAACAAACTCCACCCCAGAATAAATCTAGTAGGCCTCGGATCATTTCTAGCGAAGTAGTTCAGTATGATTTGTCTTCAATACGTTCTTTAAATTTACGAAGAAAAATAGAGTCTGAATCGAGTAATCAGAATACGAGTAACACGAATGATTTTGAAAAATCTCCATGTAATTCTGGCACTCAAGTAAATAAAGAATCAATAACTTCTACAGAAAAAAGTAATAAAATAGCTGAAAAAATAAATGAACCAACTGTTCTTACTCGAAGAAGACTTACAGCAAAACGCCGACTCTGTTCTCAAAAGCAAGAAGATGATAATGGAGAAGTCAAAATAGAAATGGATAAATTTGTCAAACATATGACACAAGGTGTTCGAGTAGTACTTGAACGATTAGATCTAGAAAAAACGTTTGGAAGATTGAAAAGAAATGGTTGTTTTAAGGTATAAATGAAAATAATTGGAAGATATAAAATACAATGCATTCATTAATACAATTTTACTAAAACTCAATTAATCAGTATATAAACGCATAAACGTATATGAGCACATATATTAATTATCAAAAAAAAAAAAGTATACTACTTGTGCTCATTAGAGTAAATTATAAAATATAAAAAATAATTTTTTATTATAAATATTCATAAATTCGTTTCATAAAAAACGTTTTTTTATTTAATATCATATGAAATTGTTATAAAAATACTTGAAATATAGATTATTATAATAAATGTCATGAAAATCTCTTTCTATTGATTACTCTACTTATCGGACACGATTCTGTAGCTTTTATTTGTTCTAAAACTACCTTTAATTCCTCCACTTGAGTCAGCATTTTCTTAATTTTCTTATCATATTTGATTGGTTTTTTAGATTTTTCGTTGTTCGGAGAAATTACTTGATTATATAACATCATTTGTTCATCAGTGATAATAGTATTTTCTATTTTTTCTCTTTCTTTTCGTTCTATCGGCTTCAACTGTAGAAAAAAACTTCATTAATTTTTGAATCCTTCTCTATAACCTATAAATATTTTCTATTTACACTTTTTTCAGTGGTTAAACGTAGACATTCTGCTAATTCATTGGCACATTTGGCAGGATATCTTTCTCTTAGATCAGCTAGATCAAAAAGAACATCATCATATTCCATCTCCAAATCCTCTAAAATAAAACAAAACATGTTTATATCTACACATACACATGATAGACGTCAATGTTTGAGGTTTGGTATCACAATTAACTAAAAACAATATTAATTATCAGTTAATAAACTAATTATTACAGTCAACTGTTAAAATATGTAATTAAAAATGATTTTTACCGTTTTCGGTGCACATTTTCCTTATTTTTTATTCAATATTTACAATATAAACAATAACTAAAAAAATAACTATCAATTAATTACACACATCCCATGATGCCTTGGGTGAAGAACTAGTGGCGCCAAGCTTTGAATTGTGGCTGCTGTCTTAATTTCTGATTACATCCTAAATTCACAATGATAATAAATTGGTCTGACACGTAAATTATTCAGAAGCTTATCAAGTTGATAAAAAATTATTTTTTGAATAACAAAGTACGAAAGTGTTCAAAGTTATTGCTCTGTGTCACTGTTTTTTATCGTACGTTTACATGTTTGATAGCGCATGTTGAAGATAACCCATCATCAGCATAATTGGTAATGTAAATGAAACGTATAATGAAATTCCATTATTTACAATTACAAATGGTTTTTCGTTCCAATAAAACAATGACAAAGCATAATCGTGTTATTGTATAATAAAATTCACATATATCAAGCACACCTTCAATGCAATCAGTTATGCTGTGATTCGTTACTTAATCTATAGGAGTCTGAGTGAGGTCATCGGTCGTCAGGGAACCAGAAACAACCGTTAAGTCTTGGTCTCATGCACACAATCATCTTGTCTGAATCGTCTTTATTCTCATTTATATTTTATTCCACATCACAGTCAGCTAACGAATCTTAACAGTTCACACTACGGTCAATCTCTATCAGAGATTGGCAGAAGTTAAATAAGTGGGATAAGATCAAGATTACTCCAAATTCCAAGGACAACGAATTTATCAAAAAAGAATATTAAGGCAAATTTGTTTTTTTTTTTAAATAAATAATCACAGGTGACAGGTTATTGTGATTGGTTTTAAGAGTTCCCTCTGTAGGATACATTTGCTTGATAATTTTCTTAAGACACGTATTCAATCTTCAATCTATATCAGTCAACGGTAGTCAAGCAACGAGCTAACAGTACAGTCGGCAACTTTTTTTTAACATTTTTTCATTAAGTAGCACCGGTTTAATAGCGATATTCCTATAGTAGTTGTCTATAGTTGACCAAAAGTCAAAAATAAAAATAAGCTTTGTATGAAAATATGTTATTTATGTGATTAACTTGCGCAAGTTAATTCTGATCAATAAAGTTTTTGTCGTTGTTTGTCAAACAGGTTGCAGTTGTAAGGTAACATATTTCCTTTGACGTGGAATATTCAACTCCAAAATTCCACAATGGGTTATCTCAAGTCATTGGCTACAGGATTCGTATATGTTTGCACATTTTTAGCAGCAATAACATTTATTCCTGGTCTTCCCCCTAATGTAGACTTTACTCCTTACGAGTAAGATTATTTTTATACATTCATAAATCAAAATTTATCTACAATTGAAAAGTCACATAAATTATTTTTGTATTATTCTTTTAGATTCAAACTACCCGTAGCAACTTCAGAAGGAGTAAATCACATGCTAGATCAAGCAGAAAAATTATTTGAAGGTAAAGTTAAAGGGCCTGAAGCATTTGATTCTTATGATGGTGTTTTGTATACTACCGTGCACGGAGGTGCAGTAAGTAAAATCGTTGGGAATAAAATAGTAGAAGTTGCGCACTTTGGCAAAAAATGCGGTGAGTAATAGTATACAGTAATTGTTTATAGATAATATAAAGACGAGACTTGAAGCATAAAAAGTTTATTGGTTTGTAGATGGCTTGTGGGAAGAAGAGAAATGTGGTAGACCATTGGGTTTGAGGTTTGATAAACACGGGAAGCTCTTTGTAGTTGATACGTATTATGGAATATTTAAGGTTGATGTGAAGACTGGAAAATATGAAAAAGTAATTGATATCTCTCAACCAATCGATGGAAAAATACCGATGGTACCAAACTCAATTGATGTTGCTAAGAATGGTGATCTCTATTGGACTGATTCTAGTACAGAGTACAAACTTTATGATGGAATTTTTATAATGCTCAGCAATCCAAGTGGAAGGTAATATTTATTTTTTAACTAAGAATTTGAATTAATTGTTTATTTTAATTCTTTTTTATAGACTGATCCGTTATAACGCAGCAACGAAGAAAAATGAAGTGTTATTGAAAGATCTTGGATTTGCAAATGGTGTTAAACTTAGTAAAGATGAAAGCTTTGTAATTGTTGCTGAAATAATGACTTCAAGAATAATTAAATATTATTTGAAAGGGCCAAAAGCTGGTAAAAGTGAAATTTTCATTGAAGGATTACCGGGAATGCCCGACAATATTGAGCCAGATGGTGAAGGTAACTTTTTCATCAGCTTAGTTGTTTATGCTGATGAAGAACACCCACAAATTCCCCAATCTCTTGCGCCTCATTCAAACATCAGGAAGATGCTTGTACGATTATTAACTTTAATTGAAGCTCCATTCAAGTTCTTTGAACAGACATATCCTAATTATTACACCAAACGAATAATTCATTGGATTGGCCACTTTGAAAGCATGAACTTCATGATGACACCGAAGACAACAGTTTTACGAGTTAGTCCAGATGGAAAAGTTTTGAATACTCTTGATAATACTAATGAACAAATATTTGGCATCTCTTCTGCATATCCTTTTGGTGATTACCTTTGGCTTGGAAGCCCATTTAATGATTATATCGGTCGAGTTAATCTAGATAAAGTAGTTCCCGGACTTAAAGGTATTAAAGCCGAGCCCAAAGTCAACAAAGCATCAGTGAAAGAAGAAAAACCAGTAGTTAAACAAACCCCGAAACCAATGACCACAACACCTAAACCAACTACTACAACACCAAGACCAACCACTACGACTCCAAAACCAACCACTACAACACCAAGACCAACCACTACGACTCCAAAACCAACCACTACAACACCAAGACCAACTACTACAACTCCAAAACCGACTACTACGACTCCAAAACCAACAACTACAACTACAACTCCAAGACCAACCACGACGACTCCAAAACCAACTACAACATCAAGACCAACTACTACAACACCAAAACCAGCAGCTAAGCCAGCTACAACGACCACGACACCGAAACCAACAACTGCTCCAAAGCCAAAAACAACGACTACAGCTGCTCCTCCAAAAGCCGTACCTAAGCCAGTTCAAGATAAGCTAAAAGAGCAGCCTAAGGCAAAAGTAGAGCCTGTGAAGAAACCTACTGTTAAACCAGTAAAAGAAGAATTTGTTGAAGATGCGCCAAAAAAACGAACCGTCAGAGATGAGATGTAATTTTATTACTTGATAATTCCAAATATTTTTTTGCAATGAATCCAACATATAAAGAAAACAAATACTATCTCAGAAAGTCTGAGACTTTGTTTTTTTTCTTATTAAATAAGAAAATAAAACGTCGAGAAGTGAAGATAAAGATGGAGCATTTTTAAATGTCATTGAAGGACGAGTTAATGAGGTATAATAAATAAAATGTTCAAATATTTATGTAACATTTTTCATAATTAGTTGTTAAATATTAATATTAATTATAAACATTCCATAATATTCAAGATATTCCATGTTAATATTTCTATAAGAAAAGATATTGTTAGACTCTGTGATGTTACTAGCGTATGAAGAGTTTCTTAAACTCTGTAAATAACGTTGATATATGTTATTACTTTTTTGCAAATTTTTCTAATGGTGATCGGTGTATGTACTGCATACATACATTTATATAGTGAACATATCTTAAGAGTGTAATAACATAGATAATATATAATTCTAACTCGGCGAATAAAATTGTGGTGACATATGAAAGAACAAATAGAATATTAATAATATTAATTATCGATAATCTTCTGAAGAAACTGAAAGGTATATATATATATATATATATATATAATATTTATATATATATATATATATATATATATATAAATATTAACTATAAATGATTAATTAATTAATAGAAGATTTTCATATTATTTTCGTTTAAAAAGTTTATTTAAACTCTTCCATTCAGACTTTTCTATCTTAATTACTACTATGTTTAGAAATTACTAAAAAAATAAAATGTTTTCACATATTTCTGGTATTGTCCTTAGCTCCAGGCGGACCAAATCCTTATCCACTAGAATAACAGTATTTAAAAATGGCTCTTGAGAATGATTAAAAACTCCATTTCAAGTTAATGAGCGGTAAAAATTATTATTATTATATTAAGTTTAGCGTTGAAAGTTGAACGTCAGCTTTTCACTCATGGTATTTTTTATACGCCACCAAAAAGATGGAGGTATTTCAAAGTGCCAGTGGCCATTTCTTTTAAATTTCGCCCATTTTTGTGCATCGATTAACGATTTTTTGTAAGAAGTAATGACTTTGTTATTTGGATCTGATATTGGAATTTCTCCTACAATACCAAAACCTAATTTAACCAGTTCTTCTCCTATTTTTAATGGATCTTTATTTTTTTGAGGCATTATCACTGAGCACTCTAAGTACTTGGTAGTTTTTTGGATTGGCACAAATTCAATTATATTTCCCTGAACAATTGTTGATAGCCAGCTGATTCCTACAATCATAATTATCAGTTTGATTGGAGAAATATATTAATTAAAAAATAGTCTAAAGGAATAATCTAAAAAAATATACCATTGCCTGTAACATTAACACCAACTATTTTAACAGGTAAGTGTTTTTCCTGACCAAATCTCGGGATGGGTATTAAAGGCTTATGATCTACCATTAAAAGAGCTGGAGTTCCAGGTTCGATTCTCGCTACAGTGCCAGTTAGTTTAGTGAGTTTTTTGATGAAGTGAGATGGCACTTTTTGGGGATTTGAAAATTTTGCAAACTGGAAATTAAAATAAACATCTTTTAAACTGCAATACTTATCAACATCACTTTTGAGGTTATAAGTTATTAAATAAGTTAACTTAACAAATATTCAGTAGTTGAATTATACTTACAGGTCTTATTTTATATAAAGCTGTCAACAATCCTATACTAGTTACTCCATAAGTAATTATTTCAAAACCTCTTGTGTCTTTTTCTAAAATATTTACAACATAATCCATGATATCGTTTGCCATGATTTTTTGGTGATTTAAAAAATGATTTAATAATTTATAACTTTATTATCAGCATGATCTGTAAAGAGAAATTATTTTATAACAATTCAATTTTTTAAAGGATAAAACTGTGCAAAAATAATATTTACTCTTTTTTAAGTCACACTAATTTGTCCAGTGATAAAATGAAGTAGAGAATATCTTCTCTGTCACCTTTAAATTTATATCAGTACGTCATTCATATCGTTTTAAATATGGATATTGGATAAGTGTGATATCCACCATCGTCGATGTAATCGTTACAAAATCCCGAAGGACAGTTTTGATCAAACTATCTAACCTCACTATTACTATTTTCTGTACTCCAACATACACTCACACTCTGATACAGGAGAGTGAAGAGAAAACGGAGGGTTGCAATGGCATAGACAGAAAACTGATTTAGAAAGCTTACTCTATGTGAAAAAATATTATTTAAGTGTCGCCATCTGACTCAGCATCCGATTTTGCAATAATATTTTAATAATAAATAATAGACTGATTAATTGAATGAATAGATATACAATAGCAGATAACATCTTCAATATTGTATCGTTTTCAATTAAATAATTTTTATTAATGTAGCAGATTTTATACATGATCTAATGAACTCGAGTTTTTCTATAACAAACTGTTGATGATTTACAGTCAATTATAAAGCTAAGGTACTGGATTTGGTGGAGTTGGCTTTTCATGTTCTCCAATCTCTTCCGTATAGTACTCCTCTAATTTGAATGGTCCTAGTTCCCAGTTAATACGATCTTCAAGTAGAGCTCGTTTTACACCAAGGTCTTCTAGACCTGGGATTCCAGGAATGGGATTGTCAGACAAATGTTCCTTTTTATAAGAAAATAAATTAACGTCAGTATTAAATTTCAATTTAAGATGAAAATTGGAAAAATTACATACAGCTTCATTACCTTTTCTAATCCTTCCCAATGTAAATATCCTAAAGGACTATTTACACTCATAGATTCACATATTGATACTTTAAGTTTAAATAATGGATAATATTTTATATCTAGTTTCCGGTATCCATATTCCATTGGCTCATGTCTAAGATGTAAATGTACCCACATTGCCAAATCTCCAAGGTAGTAACGTTTTGGACTAGAAAATTAGATATTAAAATCAGATTATATAAAGAAAAATTTCAAATTACAATATCAAAAAATTACCCAAGGAATTGATAAGTTTTTCCAGCAGTCGATGGATCTAGGACAATTTCTCTGATACCTGAAGCAACATCGCCAACCCATAATGGTGCTTTAATTGTTTTTTCACCTTTCTCCCACATTGGTATTCCTCCTCTGTACAAATATATGTAATTATTTTTCATATTCAGTGTCTTTGAACCATAATAATTATGTTTACGATAAAACAGTTCATTTACATCAGATGTTTTCTAAATGATGATGTTAGACACCACAAATATTTATCCTCTTGACCATAAACGTAAGATGGTCGAATTATCGTTGCATCAGGGAACTCCTCTCTGACAGCTTGTTCACCCATCCATTTAGCTTTCATAAGTTCCGAACCATTTTCAAAAAATATGGGCTACCACAATGAATTTGATACTTGATAAATCATGAACATTTCGAGTTAATACATCACTATATAAATAATTCTTTATTATACCTCTGGATCTGGCGAAGCATTGAGATGAGAAACATGAATAAATCTCTCTACGTTTGCTTCTCTGCACAATCTTGCTAATCTCCGTGCACCTTCTACATGAACATCATTGAAAGAGAAGTTTTTTGTTTCCCAATCGCGACCGATCAAGTTAATAACAACATTGGAATATTTGATACATTTTCGGATGGAATCTTCATCACACAAATGAAATGGGTGGAATAATATTTGACCAAGATCTCCCATGAGCTTTAATCTCATGGAATCATATATATCTCCTCGATAAGGTAATATTAGCTGTCAATAAATATTATATTGATTATAACTATAAGAACAAGAAGTAATAATCGTTCTGAGAGATGACAATGCAAAAGTAATCATCGTTAACAATAGTTTAATTGCTTTACCTGGGTGCCAATTTTACCTAGACGATTGCACACATATCCACCGATAAATCCTGTGTTACCAAAAATTGTGCAAACAATTCCATTGAAAGAACTTCTTCCACCTGTTCCTCTTTTTAAAGATGCTGTTGTAGGATTTTTTAAGATCTTTACAGGTACATCAGATGAATAATTACATTTGGCATTATGGTATGTAGCTGGAGAAGTTGCCGGTGTAATTAACTTTAGCACACCATTGCTTTTTTCTATACATTAAATAAAGATTTTTATTAATTAAAAGGAAAAATAATAAATGATAAAAGCAATTACATAAAACTTTGAAAACAAATAAGATGGTAGCCAATATTGGGTTTATCGCAATCTTCTAGAATTTTAATGATGATTTTTAGCATAAAGTACAGACTTGAGAGAATATTGCTTACGAAGTAAATGGAGGACTGCAGTTTGGGATTTTAAAACTGTCATGATTTCAATCTTATTTTATAAAACACCGATTTTTTTTCAAGATGAAAAAATTTTACACATATTTCATTGTGCTAATTCGCCATTGCTACTGTTAGGTTGGCAGCAACGACGGTCTTGGAGTAGGAAAACTGTAGATGGAAGACAAACACGTGTCTGTGCGTTATCATCTATGTGTCATTGAATAATGATTATTTAAAATGTACAAAAACTCCAGAAAAATATTTTTTTCCATCAGAAATATCAAGAAATGATTTTTCAATATTAAATTACAAAAGGACTTCCTTTGTAAATAAATAATTCCCAGTGTCAGAGAATATTGTTACAATTTTTGAATCTGACAATTGTTGAACTGATTTTACAAACGAGTTCTGGAGCATCTCCAGACGAAGAGAAAAGCAAATAGTAATAAAATATCATAAGTGGAATTTTATTATTTTTAATGTTCTTCAATTGAAGAAACAAAGGTTATAAGTACAGCTATTCATACAACGATCCATAAAGCAGAATTTTCGATGACTTTGATTTTGTTAAAGTAAAAAGTATTATTACTTGGTTAGATCCAGCAGACTATTTTCTTAAAGGATAGTGATAATTAATTAGATGACGTGGCATTTTATTTTATTATCAGAGATTGCATAATAGGTATTATTTTGATAACGTTTTCAATTAGTAAATCAAAGTTCTGCATGTTATTATTGAAAGTGTGTTTCTGTTGTAAGTTGTAGAGTTTAAACTTTTATTCATTCATATTACATCTTTATAAATAGCAAGAAGAATATTTTTATTGTAAATAAACATGGGTACAAATTGGGAACAATTTTATGCTGATCAACCTAAACCAAATGACTTAGATAAAAATGTCAAACTTTTACAAGACTTCATTAAGCTACAGAGTAATAATGAAAAAGGAGTAGTTTTAATTACAGTAAGTGTGTTTATATTCCTCTGATTTATCAGGAAATAATTTATTAATGAGTTTTTAATTCATTCCATTAGAGTGGAGGAACAACGATACCTCTAGAGTTAAATACCGTAAGGTTTGTTGATAATTTTAGTGCTGGAACCAGAGGATCAGCTTCTGCTGAATATTTTTTAGAACATGGATATGCTGTTATATTTATGCACAGGTAGACATCCAACAAGATAAATACATTTAGTATGTTAATAATAAATCAACAATTGTGTGTATATTTTCAAGAGCCAAATCATTGGAACCATTCTTGAGGCATCTATCAGGATACAATTTTCTAGACTTGCTTGATATTAATGAATCAAATGGAAAGAAATCACTGTTAGGTAAAGACAATTTTTTACATTGAATATTATATAATAGTAATAATTATTATTAATGGTTTCTAATTTTTATGATAACAGTAAAGCCAAAATATTCAGATAATATCTCTCAAGTTTTATTAAAATATAAAAAAGTAATGGAAGGAAGAAAATTGTTACAAATAAGTTTTACTACACTTTCGGAGTACCTGTGGTTACTTAGAGTTGTTTGTCAAGTGCTTGAACCGTTAGGTCGTCGAGCTGTTTTATATTTGGCAGCTGCAGTTTCTGATTTTTACATTCCTTCTAAAGAAATGGTAATGCCTACGAACTTAACATTTATAACATTTAGACATGAATTTGATTATAAAATTATATATCCATCAGTCAGAGCACAAAATTCCTTCGGATGATCCTCCAACCATATCTTTACACTTAGTACCAAAAATGCTGAAACCACTGGTTAATCTTTGGGTTCCTAAAGCATTTGTTGTTTCATTCAAGTTGGAAACTGATGAGAATGTTTTAATACCAAAAGCCAGAGGTGCCTTGACTAAGTATAATCATCATGTAAGTCAAATTCTTTTCATATGATAACAATACCAAAAGATTATGGACTTATTTTTTCTTACAATTTTTAGCTTGTTATTGCAAACATGTTGAGTACAAGGAAGCAACAAGTGGTGATGGTTAGTAAAGAAAGTGATTATAAAATAGCTTTAACTAGTGAACAAATGAATGATGGAATAGAGATAGAAGAATACATTGTTAAGGATTTGATAGAAAAGCATCGTAATTTTTAAACTATTTTATATATTTATTAATATTATTATTATCTTTGTTACATGGTATGTGGATAATCTATATTTCATACAGAATCTTGTTAAAAAAATAAATAAGTTGAGATTAATTAATATTATTATTTTATTATAGCATTTTTATCATATGTACAAAGTTTCAATTCATTATCACTCTAATTTTATAAATAATTAAAAAAATTAGAAAAACTTATTTATTACTCCTCAGACTTGTTATCATTCCATTTATCCTCTCTGCAAGCTGCCTATTTTGTGGCCCACATTGTGCCAGCACAAATGACAGAGCTGCTGGATCTTTTTGTTCATATGCAGTTTGAGCTGCTTCTGATAACATGCTAATTTTTAAAAAAATTACAGAGTTAAAAAGTGTCTTCAATCGAAAAAATATAAATCTAAGTAAATACTTACTTCAATTTTGCTAAATATTTAACCTTTAATTCTTCTTTTACTCGAGGCAAATATTTTTTTGCATCATCAATATTTCCGTATTTCAAACATTCATCAATAAAAGGCTGTTGGCAAAATTGCAAATTATACAAATAATAACAAAGAATATGTTTATTACAAGTTTAAATTTTACCTCAAAACCAATTGGTGATTTTTTGCTCTTTGAAAATTTTTCTAAATCTTCCCATTGCTTAAGTTGTGCAAAGCATTGTATCCTTAGCCACCAGTAATGACGATCGGGGATTTTACATTCTGAACGAAGTTTATCAACGAGTTTTATTTCATTTCTCATCAATAACATTTGAACAGTATCATGTAGAGATTTTCCAACTACAGTCTCATGCAAAGAATCTTCAAGAGATTTTTGATATTTCAATAATTTAATTTGTTCTTCAGTTAAAAGAGCATTGCTGTCAAATCGTCCTACTTTGAATTTCTGTTGTGCGTTTTGAAGCAAAGCATCTCGAGTTTGACTATTCTGTAATGCATTCAAGAATTCATCAATTGTTTTTAATTCACAAATCTTTGAAAATCATGATTAATATTAACAATAATTTTACCTTTGGCTGATAGGCTTCTTTCACGTACCACAGAGCTTGCGAGTGATAATCATCATATAAATCATAATATCTAACAAAGCTTCTCGATTATGATTTTGACAGTATTTTATATACAGTGCCATTGCTAGTGGACAATGTTTTATCGACATCTACAACAATGTAATTAATTTATTAATTTTATTTAGCAATCTATTGATGGATACTTTTTATTAAAATTTTATAGACTTACTTCAAAATCAGCTAAAGGCATATTTTTTTGAAAATGCAAAATAACATGATAAACTAAATCTGTATTGCCACTTTCAACAGCTTTATCAAGAGCTGCTTTCTCAACACCAAGCCTCAAAAGAAGAGGAACTTGCAGATGCGCTCTAGGTTCATAATCAATGAGCTGAAAAATACATTTCAATCAATTTTATTGTAACTCAATTGTATATAATTTTATATCATTATTATTTTTAACTCACTTTTATAGCAAGTTGCTTTCTACCACAGTCTGCAGCTTTCTCAGCAATTTCACTGTAAGATACTCCACGTGCGTAGCCTAGCTTTGCTGCTATTTCTTCAGCGATTTGTTCTTTATCTAATACTGTTTGTTTTACCTGAAATTATAAACCAAAATATTTAAAAATATTTTTAGTCAATGAATATTTATTTGAAAATTTAATAAACAATTTAATACCTTATAACATGCCCAGTGAGCAAGAATTCTACTTTCTCCATCGACTTCAGGCAATGCTAGATGACGAGCTATTTGAATACTCAAATAGTAATGTCTTCTAGCTACCAAACGATCTAACAATACTTGTGTGGTTAATAAATCCATCCTAATTAAATCTTAAGGAAAACATGGCATACAGATTAAAATAAATAATTCTTTTAAAAAACTATGTAAAGGATACTGGGTAAATGTTAACGGAATACCAATAGCTGGATGCCTTACAGCATTTAAAACTCGAAGATTTCTACACATAGTTACATAGTGTTTTGGATCAATAGTTTTACTGAAACCTTTTCCAAATTTTGCAGCCTAAAATTTCAAAAAGATTCTATAGAAAAAGTCAAAGATTTTTTTAAATATATTTTTAAAAATTAATTTTAATACTGACTCTCATTAAAAGTTTCTGAGTTTCACTATTAAATTCGTGGCTTGCAGCATTTATACAATCTGTTACTGCTGCATCTAATCTATCTTTAACTAAGTCAATATAACTGTCGGCTTTATGGCTTCTTTTTTCAAACTGTTTTGATGCTTCCAATAAATATGCAGCAGGATCTATTGAATTTATGCGGAATATTTTTTGTACAACATTGGGAACTTTTTGTATCATTTCATGAGAGCTAGCTGATATAACTCGAACACCATCAACTTCAGTAACAAGATGAACAGGTCCATCATAAGCATGGACAACTGTTTCTCCACTTTTTCCGATCACCATCAATGTACTATTCCAGCTGCAAACAACAGCTTCTGTTCCACACCAAGCCATATCTGTCAAAGGTTTATTGATTCCAGTAAAGCACTCGGTATATTTTTCCTTCAAATCAATTGATCCTAAATATAAATGACCAGTGTCTGCATAGAGTGCAATATGTAGATGGTTTCCTGATACTGCCATGGCAATCACGTTATTTATTTTATTACTGAATAGATTACTAAAAGGAATTGGAGCTGGAGCTTTGCCTATATGCTGTATTTGGTAGATTCCGTTTTGGTTTGCTAATATTATTTGACTTTGTCGTTCGTACCGAGCTACGCACCAAGAATCAATTGGTCCACCAAGTTCTAAAGATATTATATAGCTAATAAATCATACTTCAAGTGGACTAATCAATGACTTTCATATAAAAACTTACTCGGTATTTCTGGTAACTGTCTAACTTTAGGCTCAGATACATTATTTACAAGTAATAAAAGGTTCGTTGATGTTAATACCGCAACTCCTGTGCCACTTACAGACGTGAAGAATTTGGCATCAATGACTTTTGTATTTTTGGCTTCCTAAATAAAATTAAAATTATCAAATAAAATAAGTAGTTTGTCAATAACACTAAAGTTTAAAAACATATTCTATACATTTCCCATGCTGAAAGTACTCTGGTACATTCCGAAAAGGTCATAAATAAGAATCATTCCATCGTCCTGAACACACAATAATTCTTCTTGATGGGACCAACCCATTTTTACTAACTGACCGCTGTTCCACTACAATATAAATTCATGTTATTAATTTCGAAGGATTATTATGATTTTTACTTTCGGAATAATATAATAAAAACCTTACTGTGAACTTAGCAGTTACTTTTCCTGATGAAGAGTATAAAGAAACTATTGGTTTATTAGCACCTTGAACTTTCACAATCTTTTTTGGATCTCTAGTAATTGCAATTGAACCTCCATAAGGTGCAGCTACCAGTAAATTGGTTAAATTAACTTCATGTTGAAAATTAATGGGATACAGTTCAAATTTCCTAGAACAAAATAACCATTGAAATAGCAAAGACCCTTTTGACAGGTGTCATAAAAATATATTTACCTAAAATAAGTATCTCTTCCCAAAGGAAACCAATCCGCAGTTAGCATCACAGGCATGATGAGTTATTTTTTTTTTAATCCAAATATACAATTAAAAATGTTTACATTATCTTAAAATTGAATTTCAATACATATGTAACAAAGCAAATGTCATTTAATTATTAGGTTAGGTTACTCCGTTTCATCCTCCTATGTACTCCGAAATAGGCCGAAGTCACGCGAATTTAACCGGAAAAATATATGAAATGTCAAGTTGTGTTTTGATGGAGATAAAATGTAAATATGATGACAGAATTTGCTACATCATTAATGAATTAGTTTAGAAGTTATTACTTTTGAATTTTATTATCAGCCATGGTGCAATTAGTATTAATAATTATCTTTTACAATGAAAAGTTATACTACTGGTTTTTATATTGTACATCAAAAGGAACAATGCTACAATTTTCATCAACAAATAAATATCATCCTGGGAAGTGTAAAATAGATCAACAGAAATTTCTATTTTTTAGATCTACCTTGATCTGATTAAATCTCATAAACCAAAGAAAATTTAATTTGCGTAAATTTATGTGTATCTATACACACTGATCTAAAATAATTATTGTATTTCTAAGAAGATCTCTATGGACCTTGATGATAAAAAACATTTAATGCATCTACAGAGGTCACAGAAGATCTGCGGAGATCAAAGCAGATATACGCAGAAGATAATAAATCGTATTAGAGCAAACAGCTGAAAAAAATAGCTGGTGGAATGTCAAAACTACTTAACAATAAAGGTACATTTTTTTTCATTACACATTCACTTCTAAAAAAATCATCCATAATTTAATGTTTCATGTTTCAGAAAAAATTGATACCTTGTAATTGAGTAATATCAGGGAAAATAATAAGAGGCATTATGAATAACTGACAGAATAAATCGTAGACAACTGAATTGTAGGAGCAATGAATCGACAAATTTTTCGAATTGGAATGAGAACTTCTAATGTGTTTTATATTTTTTTAATCTTGTTGGAATAGTTGGTATTGAGTAATATTATTGTGAACAGTGAGTAGGTGGGCAGTCGTATTTTTTTGTTCTTATGCTCAAAAGTGAAACAGTTAAACACAAAATTTGAATTAAAAATTTATACGTAAGTGAATCTTTATTAATTTTGTTACATCTTTACGTTGAAAGGGTATCAAAAAGTTTGAGAATTGATGAATTCACGTACGTGCGTATGTATGTTAGGTGTATTTTTCGTTTTCGATACCTCGAGAACCACTGAAGATATTGGCTCCAGGCAAATTTTATTTGAAAGATTATACAATGAAGAAGATCTGAAAGAAGTTTGATCTGACGAAAAAATGTAAAATAAGTTGAGTTAAAAAGACATTTAGAAGAAATTGTACTTATTAAATGATTGCTATTGTTAGAAATGCGGTCAATATTAATAAAATATAATAGTTAATGACTTTAAATGATTTGAACAATTATATATTGTTGATAATAACGTCAATTCGTTATAAACTACTGAGAATGTTTGTAATTAATTTAATTATAATATAATTACCAGGATTTTATTCGATAGAAAACAATAAACTATCGTTATAAAGAACTTTTTATAATTAAACAATTGTATACTACTGATAACGACAACAATTCCTTATAAGTACAAAAGAAAATCAGAAGATGACAAAATAACGAATTTCAATGAATCGGAAGTTGGTCGTTAGAAACCCATTTTTTAAATTGTAATTTTATGTTATTATTTATTACTTTGTAGTTAATAGAAGAATATTTTTCTTCAACAACACATTACAGTATGCAAAATCCTCCTACAATAGATCCAGATGTGCGTGATGATCCAGTGGGATGGAGATTTTGGAGAAAACGTCGATACGTTGTGGCTATATTGGCTTTTTTCGGATATGTAGCTGCATACAGTCTTCGAGTGAATTTAAGCGTTGCAATTGTTGCAATGACTTCCGACACATCAGAGGTATTTTTTAACAATTAAAGTAACTCATTTTTATATTAGAATTGAATTGCAGACAGAAGCAGAATTTCATTGGAACTCAAAACTTCAAGGCATCGTACTGAGTTCTTTTTTCTATGGGTATGCTAGTACTCAGCTTCTCGGTGGATGGCTGAGTTCTCGAATAGGTGGAAAGAGAGTATTTGGTATTGGAATAGGTGTAACTGCACTTTTGACTGTTATATCACCACCATTAGTCAGGATGAACGTCTATGTATTCATTGCATTGCGAATTATTGAAGGAATTTTTGAAGTAAGTCTTTGTAGATCTTATCAATCAACAATTTATAATGATTGACTATCATATTAATCTAGGGATTAACCATTCCATGCACCCATGCTATTTGGTCGAAGTGGGCTCCACCATTAGAAAGATCGAAGTTGGTATCATCATCTTTTGCTGGAACCTTTGTTGGAACAGTAGTTGCTATGCCTACTTGTGCCATTATGGCTAATAAATTTGGATGGTCATCTAATTTTTATGTTTATGGCACGTTTGGATTAGTGTGGTTTGTGTTGTGGTGGATCTATGTCACAGACGATCCTGCAGATGATCCTAGAATATCTGAATCTGAATTAAAGTATTTACAGCACACGCTTGGAAAGAGTGAAAAGAAGGTAGTCATTTTTGTTATGATCATTAAGTCATTCATTGATGTTATGATCCTCATTGTCATCAATATCATTATTACTTCTCTTTATAGACCATTTCTCATCCTTGGAAAGCAATGTTTACATCTTCAGCAGCCTGGGCCATCGTAGCAGCCCACTTTAGTGAGTTGTGGGGCTTTTTTACCATGCTAACTCAACTGCCAAAATTTATGAAAGGTTTGAAAAATATTCTATGGTAGTTTATATCATATGGTATGAACCATGTAATTCTGAACATTATTCCTTAATAATAGGGAATTTTTTTTATTTGTAGATGTGTTAAACTTCAATTTAGATAAATCTGGATATTTATCAGCAATTCCTTACCTAATACTTGCTTTTGTTCTACCAGTTTCTGGTTTTCTAGGAGATTATGTCATATCAAAGAATTTCTTAAGCACAACTAATGTTCGCAAAGTTACTACTTGTGCTTCATTTTTGATTCAAACAGTGTTCATAACAATGACTGCGTTTACTGAATCAGCCACAGTTGCAGTGGTTGGTTTGTGTTTAGCCATAGGTCTTGGGGGATTTGCAATGTCTGGATTTGGGTAAACTAAATTTGATTTAATTTTAAAAAAATTACATTTAAAGTATTGACACTAAAAAAAATTTTATTCTTCAGAATCAATCATTTAGACATCGCTCCTCCACATGCAAGTGTTCTTTTGGGAATAAGCAATACTATAGCTACCTTTGGTGGTATCATCAGTCCATTACTTTCTGGTTACATTGTTCAAAAAGGAGTTAGTATCTTCATTATTAATATTTGATTTTTTATTATATTAATATAACTAATCATTTACAGACTGCTGCTGAGTGGAGAATAGTTTTTCTAATCGCTGGAGCAATTTATTTAATTGGAGCATTGATTTATGGCATTTTTGCTTCCGGGGAATTGCAAAAATGGTCTAAAAATAGTGATATTGAAAAAAATGAGGATTCACATGCTTACAGTAATCGTGCATTAGATGTAGACACTCATATGTAATTAATTTTAAATGATTATCACTGTCGAAAAATTTTATAACAGATTTATTGTCAAGTAGTAAGAATTATTTTGTTTTAATCTTAAAGAATGTATTTATTTTGAATGAAAGAAAATGAAAAATATCATTAATTGTTCTTCGATTAATAAAAATCTACAAACTCGTCAGACACATTCACAATCCTGAAATTAAGGCACCTCAAGCGAAAAATATAGATACATAAAAGTATATGGGCCTTTAGCGATTAGACAAATTTTGGCTATTTTCCTTATTCTTTATTCAATCGTCTTCATCTTCTTTCATTCCATAGGTCGTTACTGTGCTAATCTTTTCTTTTAGATATTTCCTTATTTTATCTATTGTTTTGCCTAGAACTAGGCGCAAAGGTCTATATACTTTTATATAATTATAATCTTTATTGGCATCGAAACTTGAGGGTTTCATATAGCCGTATATACTTTTATATATCAATATTGTTCCGCTCGAGGCGCCTTAAACAATTATATACTATTGATAACGATAGATGGGGATTCCTTATAAACACAGAAAAAAACCAAAAGATGACGAAGTAACGAATTTCAGTGAATAGAAAGTTGATCGTTGGAGACCCATTTTTTAAATTGTAATTTTACGTTATTATTTATTACTTTGTAGTTAATAGAAGAATATTTTTCTTCAACAACACATTACAATATGCAAAGTCCTCCTACAATAGATCCAGATGTGCGTGATGATCCAGTGGGATGGAGATTTTGGAGAAAACGTCGATACGTTGTGGCTATATTGGTTTATGTCGGATATGTAGTTACATACAGTCTTCGAGTGAATTTAAGCGTTGCAATTGTTGCAATGACTTCTGACACATCAGAGGTATTTTTTAACAATTAAAGTAACTCATTTTTATATTAGAATTGAATTGCAGACAAAAGCAGAATTTCATTGGGACTCAAAACTTCAAGGCATCGTACTGAGTTCTTTTTTCTATGGGTATGCTAGTACTCAGCTTCTCGGTGGATGGCTGAGTTCTCGAATAGGTGGAAAGAGAGTATTTGGTATTGGAATAGGTGTAACTGCACTTTTGACTGTTATATCACCACCATTAGTCAGGATGAACGTCTATGTATTCATTGGATTACGAATTATTGAAGGAATTTGTGAAGTAAGTCTTTGTAGATTTTATCAATAAACAATTTATAATACTTGACTATGGTAATAATTAATTTACAATTAATCTAGGGAATAACAATGCCATGCTCTCATGCTATTTGGTCGAAGTGGGCTCCACCACTAGAAAGATCGAAGTTGGTATCATCATCTTTTGCTGGAAGCTTTGTTGGAACTGTAGTTGCTATGCCTTCTTGTGCCATTATGGCTAATAAACTTGGATGGTCATCTAATTTTTATGTTTTCGGCATGTTAGGATTAGTATGGTTTGTGTTGTGGTGGATCTATGTCACAGACGATCCTGCAGATGATCCTAGAATATCTGAATCGGAATTAAAGTATTTACAGCACACTCTTGGAAAAAGTGAAAAGAAGGTAGACAATTCTGTTCCATTGATTAATGATCCTTATTATCATGAATATTATTATTTATCTATATATAGACCATTTCTCAACCTTGGAAAGCAATGTTTACATCTTCAGCAGTCTGGGCCATCATAGCAGCCCACTTCAGTGAGTTGTGGGGATTCTATACCATGCTAACTCAGCTGCCAAAATTCATGAAAGGTTTGAAAAATATGATAAGGTATAAACCATGTGGTTTCAAAAATTATTTATTAATAAAATAAAATAATTTTTTATTTGTAGATGCTTTAAATTTCAACTTAAATGAAGCTGGATACTTATCGGCAATTCCTTACCTAATACTTGCTTTTGTTCTACCAGTTTCTGGTATTCTAGGAGATTATGTCATATCAAAGAATTTTTCAAGTACAACTAATGTTCGTAAAATCGCTACTTGTACTTCTTTTTTAATCCAAACAGTGTTCATAACAATGACTGCGTTTGCTGAATCAGCCACAGTTGCAGTGGTTGGTTTGTGTTTAGCCATAGGTCTTGGGGGATTTGCAATGTCTGGATTTGGGTAAACTAAATTTGATTTAATTTTAAAAAAATTACATTTAAAGTGTTAACAGTATAAAAAATGTTATCCTTCAGAGTCAATCACTTGGATATCGCTCCTCCACATGCAAGTGTTCTTTTGGGAATAAGCAATACTATAGCTACTTTTGGTGGTATCATCAGTCCATTACTTTCTGGTTACATTGTTCAAAAAGGAGTTAGTATCTTCATTATTAATATTTGATTTTTTATTTTATATTATATTATATTATATTATATTATATTATATTACCTAATCATTTACAGACTGCTGCTGAGTGGAGAATAGTTTTCCTCATCACTGGAGCAATTTATTTAATTGGAGCATTGATTTATGGCATTTTTGCTTCCGGGGAATTGCAAAAATGGTCTAAAAATAGTGATATTGAAAAAAATGAGGATTCACATACTTACAGTAATCGTGTATTAAATGTAGACGCTCATATGTAATGAACTCGTCAGACACATTTACAATCATGTATTTAAATGTATTCCTTTAATGGAAGAAATGAATAATGTGAAAAATGCAAATGAAGTTCTTTCAATAAATTATTTTTATATACAGCAATAAATATTATATCTATCTAAAATTATACTTTATTAATTAAGATAATATATTTATTGATAAAGTAGGTTATTTTGTCAATAAAAATTTTTTTAAACAAAAAATGTCTCATGATTTATTTAAATAGTCCCGCCATGAACGCTAGTGTTACCAACATACGAGAGTGGTGAGATCACGCTCTGAATTTTTTTTTATATTTTTTTACCGTTGGATCACGTGACCGCAATGAGCAATGCTCTAAAGTTCACTCGCGTCAAAGCGTTATTCTTCCTCCATGAAAATCAGAATAAAGACGTGCAAAATTTTAACTCGTTTCAAGGGATAGTGAAGATGGGTTTCTAGTCGGAATCCGGCTTGCACACGCAAGTGTGCCGATACAACTAATAAACATGGAGTAAGTCAATAAGTCAAATAATATTATTTCATTGTTTGAATCTGATAAATAATTGGGTGAATGTTCGCGTTCTACGTTGGTTATAAATGATTGTATGTCGCCATTTTATGTGAGTCATCCTCTCGTGACCGTATAAAAATGAATCCTTTTTTTTGGTAGATTACATTCAATGTCATAAATCAGTAGTTGTCATTAGCAACGAGTTGTTTTAAATTATTATCAATAAATGTTCACACTATCTCATATGCTCTAATATTCAGACTTGAAACAATGACGTCAGTGATTGCATCATTAATTTTATCAGAGGTCGGTGCATCAAGTATTGCAAAAAAAAATAAATAAATCAATCAATTGATAACGCTTATCGTTCATCCACGTGTATTTTCCAATTTCTTGATTAACATCAAAAATATTAAAACTAATGAAATACAATGTTTTCACATGGGAATTTCCCATCCATATGGCTACATATCCGGGTTTTTAATTTGTCATTTAATTGACATTATTGCCATTTACTTTAGTTAATTGCTCTACTTATAACCAAATAAATAGTTTCGATAAGATTAAATATAAAATTTAAATCTACTCAAGTTATGAATATTTTAATCATTTTTTTTAAATTTTATTTTTCGCTATCAACTTTCTTATTGTTTAATTAAAATAAATAAATTTTATTACTTGTCATGGATAACAATTGAATACAAAAATTCGTTTAATTTATTTTAATTAATTAAACAATTATTCACATTTCGATTGAACACGTTACATTCTTGCAACAGTTCTTGCAATATAGTTATTCAATCAGTTTTAAGTATAACTTGTTTCAAGAAGTATAGAATTTGAAATGTAAATAACATAATTATTATAACTGTTAATTGAGTACTATAGATGATAAAAATTGTGTAAAAAATATTTAAATAATTTTATCTCTTAATTTTCACAAAATTGTCATCAATGTTATTGTAATTGTTGTTATTAATAGTGGAATAATTAAGTATAATTTTAAAAACGATAATTTAAGTAATTTTAAAATATTCATATTATTAGTATTAGATGTATTTAATTAGATAATATTTATCAAATCATTTGAACTGTGCTCTGAGAAATTAAACTATTTGCCATTTGACATACTTTTCCAGAAAAATATTAGTTTGCTAGCAACTGTGATAATCTTCATTTTTTTTACAAATTATTATCACGTGTGACCTCAAGATTAATAACTCTTCTAGATTTCTCGTTGATGCACTAGTTTAAATTATTTTGTATATTATTAATAGCTAGGATGCTGGAGAAAAATAAAACTTACTTTGATGACTTATAAATAACTTATTAACAAATTGGAAATAAAAATATCCCAGCACTTTGCAGGTTACTTAACATCATAGTTTTTATTTTAAAAACGTTTAAAAAATATTAGTAAGGAGTAATAAATTATCAAAAGATAAATAGTAAAAATTATCAATCCGTAGAAAAATATTTGTTTATCTATTCTTAAGAAAAGAGTTTTAATAAGAGTTTTTGAAAAATAATAAAATATTGTAAGCAACAAAGAAATAATTGCTTAATCAGTCTTATCATAATGATCAGGTGTCTGAGTAGGTCTTTGCTTGAAATATGTATTGAGGTAAAACGTGTTGATTTTACCATTGGATAGCATTATCTTTATTTGCCTCAAAGTCAAATCTGTTGACAAAGTAAATACAAAACTATTCTAAGTTAATTTTAATGAGATAGATTGATTAAAAATTGTATTTAAAGAAAATAGTAAATTAATTCTGACCTTGTTATTTTTCAGGGCCAAAATGGCGCTCATTTCGAGCTACGTCCTTGCGACGCAAATTTATTTTTCCCAATTATCATCGATACATTTAGAAAAGACTCACACGAGCAATGTCATCTCAGGAGATATGGGTGTGGAAGGCGGAGCCGGTTTCCCCTAGTGGAAATTCGACATGTGACGCCGAAGATGATTGGATTTACTTTGACGATAAGTCTTCAACATTAATAAACGATGTCCTTGACCCTGAATTAGAAAATGACAATCCAACGCGTGCACAAGTCGCTAGTAAACTTTTGGAGGAATTGGACGAGTGGATTAAAGAAGGTATTAAATTGTAAAAATTTTATTTTCAGCTTTTGTGATGGCTACTTACTAACTTTCACTATTTTTAAAAGTCTTGAAAATCATTATCATGTGAACTGTCAAATCACTTAGCCTGAAGCATTGCGCAAATGAGGTATTAACGAATTCTAAAATTTTACTTTACATAGAAGCTTGTTTATCTGACACATATTCATTTCTAATGAAACAAGTGGGGAAACTTTGTATATTTACAAATAAATCCAATGAAGTGACGTACGAAAATAAGGTAATTGAACTCTTGGAAATTATCAATTTTTATTATTCATGATATAATTGATCTTGCTGTAAAGATAAACGAATTAAGATAACGATTATAAGTTGGAGAATATTTAAAGACCTTCGAAGGGACGTTTAAAAAATAGATAAAACCCATTTTCTTCTACATTGTCTACTAATGAATAATGACTATAACATTCAACAAAAAAAAAGAAAGTAGAATTAAAATGATGAATATGAAAAGTAAGAGTTTATACTTGAAAAAAAAAGAATGATTTCGTCAATGTATTTTTATTTTATAGATGGAAAAAATGAATGTTATAATATTTTCAAAATAATGAATAATTATATTGATAATAAAAAGGAAGTCCTTGACTAGAAAAAACTCGAGTTAATGTTGCATATACAATAAAAACTCATGAGTTAAAAAATTTGAAATTTAATCCAAAAGAGAGCTGTCTGAAGAAACTAAATAAAAAGTGCAATCTAAGCAGACCTATATTTGTAAAGAGATTGGAACAACACTAAACATTATCTTTCAATATCAACCTCTCGCTGAATATGTCGTTATTTGATAAAATTTTTTCTCAAAGTATATTTTTTAGCCATAAAAAGAGAGTGGGACAAACTGGTTAGCCTCTAGGAAACGAGTCCAGAGGCCTGGAATCAAGTGGTAATGGCGAAGTTAAAAGTAGGGAGAAGCTGTTGAGACGTTGATGAACGGGATATGTGTAAAACGGAGGAGGGAAAGTCCAAAGATAAGTAGGAGTCGGTAGTCTGGTAACGTTCGGGTCAACTACACAGTCCACATGATCACACGCAATATAATTCGCTCGCTCTCTCCCCTTCTCCATTAGTGACTTCGACAACTTGTCGTCTCCAAGTCAGTTGAGGCGAGTCGTCATTGCAAACAGTTTCTCATTTTCAAGTAAAACTTTACCAGCACGTGTTGTTACTTTCTCAATTGTGTAGTTATCCGTCATATCAACCAAAAAGTCATCGAAAGAAGTTGAAGTTTTTCATCATCAGATCAATTATTTTATGGATATAATTAATACCAGCATTCTTCTTCAAGAAAATAATCATTGATCAAAAGTTATAATCAAGTATAAAGCAAAGTCAATCAAGTACGCGTTATTGAACGACTTCTCTAATATCTTGGAATAGTAGTTGATGCTGTGATACTGGCATCTTCAATAATATTCCGTGTGTTCGACAACGCCTCTCGATGTTGCAGTGTATTAATGTTACACGTTAGCATGCCGTTCGCGTATCGTTACACGTGGAACCGAGAAATAATTGTGAACTCAGAAAAATTAGTGAAAAGGCGTTGACATTTAATCAATCTGTATTATCACCACAAGCCGAAGAATTGTACTACGCTGACCTTAAACTGCCATATATTGGAGATATTCTCTTACTCGACGACAATTAACATAATATTAGTGATAAAAAGTTTTATTAATTCTTAGAATTAGCCCTGATATTTACTCTTAGGTTTAAAACTGGAAAACTTCACGATGATGGCTGCTATGTGTTATAGCGGTATGTTTCTTCACAGTCTTGCATTTCATGTCCATTTCTAAAGACCTTCACATTAAATTTATCTTTAATTGAATCTTTTAATGTAGGACATCTGAAATCGTACTAACAACTTTTGAACTTTTTAATTTTATTTTTATAATAAAAGATGAAAAGTTAAACTTAGATTCATTTCGTCACTTTCTCTTTATTCATCATTTTCACTCACGAGGCAATCCATGTGCGACCGGCATATTCAGCATTGGTTGATGGTTCAACAACTACCCAATAAATTAGTATTAAAGAATCAAAATTAAAATAAAGCAGAAAAACATAAAAAATCTTGTCCTTCTTTGTACAAAATTATTCTAAACACAAGCTTATTTGAATCTATTTAACACTGAAGAATAATTGATTGATTATCAATTAATATTAATATGAATAAAAATTATTACTTAATCAGATTTCAATCTTAAATTGTATTTAAATAATCCTCAAGTTGTTTTTTATGTTAACATAATTTTAAAGTGAAGGCTTTAGTTAATTGTTTTAATGTTAATCATAGAAAAAAAAAATATTCAATTATTCATAAATAATAAAATCGAATAATATTCAAGAGGTTTTTACAATTACATCTGGATATCTTTTTTTACAAGTCTTAACTCACATACAATAAATTATATCAATTGATCAAGCTTGCAATCAGGCGTGACAATGAAAAGGTCGTGCTTCAACTGGTTTCCAGTCTCTAGAATCACGTAGGAATAATTAGTAATCAATATTGGTAAAATGGGGAAACTCAGATAGCCATAAAATCTAATTTATGCTTATAATAATTGATAAATACAGTTGAGAATAAAAATAGAGTATGTAAAATGATTGGTAATATTATAATTAAATACAAGTATTTTCTACCAACAACTTTTCCACAGACAAATGTAGAAATTTAAAATACAGTGTAATTAATAAATAGGCTAAATGATAATGTATAATTGCGCGACGATTCTTGCACAAGCAAGGGGTTGCGATCTCGCGATAGTTTTATCGATAGTCCACAGATGGGCAAAACATTTGATTACTAAGTCTATTATAGATTTTATATCATTAAAAGTCCGGCAGAGATATATTCATTGCCCTAATTGCATTTTCCTGCTTTTGTTTATGTATGATAATTATTCACTGCGTGTTTGATATGTTCACACTTCTGCTTATTTTCCATTGCAAATAAAAAAGATAAAAATCTATTTACAAATTTCAAAACAAGAAATTATAATTCAATTTAATTAACAATTTTTATAAATATTTTTTCTTCTACTACTGCCAATAATTTATTTCATTCATAAACAAAATGAACTTGATAAAATTAACATAAAAATTTACATTCTTATTTTTATTGAAATCTATGAAGAATTCGTCATCCTAAAAAAAAAATTGTTAGCACATTGATGCCAAAAAATAGGCTAAGTAATTAAATGAAATTAAATAGGAAACATTTTGTTATGAAATTTCTTTTTGCAGAATGTTTATAAAATAAATACTAATATGATAGATAATATGAAAAAATCTATTATTAGATATAATTACAATTGCCTATTGCACAATTATAACAAGTAGCTTGCTCTACTTAGCAAAAATTTAAGCATTAATTATTATCTTAACAATTTTATCATAGTTCTCAAATGTCACGGCTTATGTATCACAATATTATGATAAATTATTGAACTAATTGTCTTATCTAACAATAAGCTGCAAGATGTACTTGAGCCATATGGACATAGATAACTATTTTTTTCTTGTTTTCCTCGAGAATTAAAGTATGCACATGTAATCATAATAATAAGTACTTGTTACCGTACACATGCCACTCCTTCCTTTGTATTAATCCATAGTAAAGATTATTTTATTAATCTTTTTTCCATACTTGTTCATATCCTTAGCATACCTGTCGCATAATCGTCCATTAATATTTTATTTGTCCTTGTCTGTTTATTTAAACAACAAGAGTTACTTAGATATTAAATAAAATTTTTGTTTTCTTTTCAGAGCCCTTGTCTGATTGGCTGGAAGAGAAGGTTGAATCATTATTCGATGAATTACCATCTCCAGAATGCGGCCAAAATAAACCGATTGTTTATCCAACCGCACATAATGTAAAACCTCAGCCACAATCAACGCAATCATTGCTTCAGGAATTTGAAACTGTTCTTGGTGATGTAGAAGCTTGCCATCAAATCTATCCATCAAGTACTTCTACTCTGACACCACCACAATCACCACCACCAGAAAGCCAACCGGAAAATACATTACCAATCGATACTCAAATTCTTGTCACTCTTCAGCCTGCTTTGCAGAACGTTGAGTTCGTATTTCCGCAGGGGATAGATCAAGTAAATGAATCCATCAACAAGACAGACTCTTACCTGGGTCAAATATCAGGTGAGTGGAACGCCGAGAACGTGTCTCTATTACCCCTGGCTGGAGATGTTGCAAGTGAGTTAGCCGCCGTTGATGAATATGTGAGATCATGTGCTGAGGATATTTCACCACCCAGTCCCGTCAACAGTTCTGGCGGCAGCTATTTATCATCGGAAGACTCAGTTGATGATCCTGATTGGATTCTCGATTCATCTAGCAGCAATAAAACAAGCAATAACAACAAACAGCGCAATCAAAAGCTCTCTAGAAACCGCCATAAACCTTATTCACGATCTATTGAAGACAGGAAAAATCGTAAAAAGGAACAAAATAAAAATGCAGCTACCCGTTATCGTCAAAAGAAGAAACAAGAGATCAAAGAGATTGTTAGTGAAGAACAAGAATTGCTAGATTATAACAAGAAACTTCATGAGCAAGAAAAAGAGCTCAAACGTGAGATCGGATATTTGAAGGGGTTAATGCGTGATTTATTTAAGGCTAAGGGCTTAATTAATTAATCCAATTGTTATTTTTAATTCGACTTTTTTTTTAATGATAAGACGATTTCATGTCTCTTGTTTATGCCCTGGAGTTTATCTTCTGACAGTGTACAAGGTTGCCATGAGGCCATTGTGTGGTTTTAACATCCAGTATCAGTTTCATGAACTATCCAGGGTATAGACAAGAGACAAGGACATTTAAAATTAATTATTAAGATTATAATAATACTTGTATGTCTAGAAATATTTTTTTTATCCACTGAATGCACACTAGCGACCTACTAACTTCAGGGTTAAAAAATTATGTACAAATCAATCAACTAAAAGTATCTAAAAATATCAAACTTCGAACGTTGTTCGAAAATAACAAACAGTATGTTTTAGAATAATTGTAAAACACTAAAATAAGTGTGCATTTAGAAAAATTGAGTAGTATGTAAGAATAATTATCTTTTATGCACGTCATTATATTTCTATCATTTCTGTAATGAGAATGTTGAGACTATCGTCGAGTGAAGCAGGATTTCCAATTTATTATTCAGTTATTATTATCTACATATATATATATTTATATAAATATATTTTTTATCTAATCATCTTCGGCTTGGTCATATGAAAATGTATTCGACAGCGTCGGAGTCTTTAATACTCCAACACTGCCATCAACATACCATCTCGATGTCGAGTCTTTTCATTCCAAATTATTTTAACTCAATCGATTTATACGTATATTATTGCTTCTTTTTTGTAAATCTTTTTTCTGTAAAACAGGAAATAAAGAGTTTAATGAGTTGACATAGTAACATAGTTGATTCTTTTATCAATCCTCTTATCATCTATTCTAGATTGTTAAAATATGCATTATTAATTAGATAATAATAGAAAAGAATTTAATTGTGTAATAGTATAGTATTACATGATTAATTCTCAACTTGACTTTTTTCTTTGTTTCAATTTATACTCCATGGTTATCACAAAAATTCTTTGTACATCCTACAAAGCTATCATTGTTATGGAGATGATTTAAAATGTGTAGTGAAAATTTCTTTATTATGTAACAGACTTTGGGAATTTTTTCAAAAGACAAATTGAATTTAATTACAATGTAAAGACATTTTAAGTTTGATGAATGATTTACATTCATCTGACATAATATTTTCTTTAAATGTCACTGTTGAATTTTTAATTAATTCTATTTTTATTCGATGGGAACACCTTTCATTTTTCAACTCTCAATTTTTAGATGACTAAATAATAACACAGCGTGGAAAAACACTGAAGTTTAATCTATAAATATAGCTATTATGATAAAACTGTTTTCTTTTCTTGTAAATAATGATATTAAAGAAAATATACTCATTGTCTTCAATGATTGGCAATAACTCTCAGTTTTTGTGAAGTGAAAGTAGATTATTCAAATTCCAAGTATATTAAAATTCACATAAACTGCACTGTTTCACTTTTATAACATTCGATTTTAAGACTTTTAGTTTAAAGTATTGTACATAAAAACAAATTATTCTCATTCTAAGAAAGTCCTGTAATTTATTGTTTATTTCATGTAAAACCTGCTCTTCTAACTTAATCGATTAGATGTAATCGAGTGCAAAATAATATTTATTTTTAGAAAGTATTATAATTTAATCAAAAACTTAAAGTCTCTTAGAATTGATTTATCAAATATATAAATTGCATAATCAAGTAATAAACTGATAGGGTGCGAAATTGATCAAAGTTTCTCTATTTTTAGAAAGTATTGATTGTATAAATAAGAATGTTGAAAAAAAAAAAATGTCTATTTAAATAAATAAATGATTTAAATGTAAACCTTTTCAAGGTAAAACAAAATATATAAATGAAGTAAAAAGCTGACACAACAGTTAACTGATATACAAGTTTATCGTTAAAAAATATCTTCCTTTCAAATAGCTTGTATCTAATTAATAATAGCTAGCAATACTCATAGTTTAAAAAATAATTTGAATCTCTATTTGCATATTCATGATTATAATCTAACATCTCAAAAAATAAGAAAGAGATTATTTTGTTTTCAACAGTTAGGTTATAATTAAACATCCATAGGGTGATAAAAACAAAAAGAAGCTAAATAGAATAATTAATTTTAAAAGCACCCTGAGGTGTCATTGGAGATGTAATTTACGTTTATTATTACAGAATGCGATCAGATAATTTGTATTTATTTATCGTTAATCGACTCATCTTGAAGAAGATGTTTTCAAAAGGGGAAGAAGAAGAGGATGAAAAAGGAACGATAAGGATAATGAGTAGGGTTAAGGAAAGAGTACATAGCGTAGAAAAGATGGTTGAAAAGGGTATTTAAAACAACAAGAAGAAGCTTGCAAAATGAAGGGAAAAAAATAGTAGTAGTATATAAGAAGAAAACGAAGTCAAGATATGTTGTAAAAATTTTCTTTCCCTTAAGATGTGAGAAAAGTATAAGAAGAAGAAGCAAACGTAAAAGGAATTATAAACAGCCTGTAGCAAATTCCTCTGGCATGCGGAGTATATTTATAATTCATTGAATTCTTCGAGTGTTATCCTACTAAAGCCCTGAGACTTTGAAAAAATCAAATAGATCCAGAGTTCTTGTCACAGGTTGCGATCTAGCGTGTTATTGGCGTGAAAACAAGATGGCTGCGGAAAGAACCGTGGGCTTGAGGTTCCGCACCGAATACAAAGGTATTACGAGCGCGAATTAAGACTCCCCCACTATTAGGCTAACCGCGGCACAGGTTGTGGCTGAGCTGTAAGGTGGAAGAAGCGTATAGTGTCTCATGGGCACCTTTCCCCAACGAGAATGCTAGTTGGCCGCTAGTATGCCAGCATATTCCGCGACGGTTAGAACCTGGCGTTATTCATAACCAAATTTGCATCCATGTCAACATTGAAGATACTTATTATTTGACACCAAGTGTTTAGTCCTCGATTGTATTGTCGGACCATGACAAGTGCAATCATGATCACCAATCTCATTCATCTCGAACGTTGTTGACGTCATTGACGTATTCCAATGTGCTGCGAGATATCACAGAGTGTGTTTTTGTACCAGTGAGGTATTTTATTTTTATTGAAATATTTCTATCTTCATTTATACTTCTATGATAAATGTATCTGTTATATGTTTTTGTTTATCTGAAAACAATTGTTTAATTTAATTTTTTTGCGCGCGAAAAAAGTAATTAATTGATAATTGAGTTTTTTGTCAAGTGTTTTTTTTTTTTGGTTGGAATAATTAACTTGCATATAAGTTGATTTGATTGGAGTGAGTTAATTAATTAATGACTGTACATTTTTTTGTAATTAAGATAATATTTTGATATGGTTGGTAAACAAGTGAGGATACAAAATACACCAAGTGAGGCAAGGCTCTTAATTACTTGATTATATAAGAATAGGAAATCTCAATATATGGGAAACATACGGAGAAATAAAGATTTTATTTTCACTTGTAAATAGATAATTGTCATGTAGAAGTATGATGAGAAAAAGAGGATATAAATAATACATTGGTTGAAGTGAAGAGAAAGAGAAAGAATGGAATGAATTAAATATGACAATTTGATATGGCAAGTGGTTGGATATAGTCATCACTATTTTTGGAACGTTACGTAGTTTGAAAATTTATTGCCAGCCGCTTTGTACTGAAATGGAGAAAAAACTAAGCTCCGAAGGTAGCGATGCGATTTTTTATCCATTTCCGGTTCTGAAGCGCGCAGTAGTCCAGCATCGAGCTCTCTGATTCGCGAGATGCCGACCGCACATCGACTTGGCATTCCGATTCGTATTTATTTCCACGTCCTTGACCCGAAATAAAAGCGCGTTCACTCCATAAAAAAAAAACATTAGCTATTTAAAGTGTACTTCTCAGCCTCTCAATAAGTCTAGATGAAACAAATTTCAATATGTAAATCATTACAAAACACTCATGTTCTTTATTTCATAATAATGAATGAGGGGCACACGCATGTCTTCAACGAGATTGGTCAATTGTTTTACAGCTCAGTGTTCCGGTGACGACTTGCGAACGCATTTTGACTTTCGAGGATGACTCAACCCAAGAGAAAGTATCTAGAAAGAAACATAAGCAAGTAGTAGCTCTGTAGTCGTTGATTGCAAGACGAGTTTGTGTGGGCTTGTTTAGTAGCTGGTCGTTCTTGCACTCGGCACCTGGTGAACGCACCACAAAATTACGCATAGCGAAAAAAACATTCTCATAATAATCCATTATAACTGTGAACAAGCAGCAATGCAATTTGCGTCCAAGAGTCTTCAACTTCTCTTGGTTTGTCTCCTTGGTTGGGATCGAGAACAAGGTTCTTCACAGGCGTGTCTCCCTTGACCTTGCGCCCACACTCCTTGTCTCCTCTTGAATAAACAAAGATTACTCTTTTATGTTCACAGGTTTGGCCGAGTTGTCCAACAATCAAATTGCCATCAAGGCAACTTGACGACGAATCAAATTAAACCTTTTAACGATGCGTCACAATAACGGATACTTAGTGCATAATAGCAGTGATGCACAGCGTAGTTACTCAACTGACGGTGAAGAGAGTCATCGAGCTACCTCCGTGCGAACTTCTTCTGAATATGCTATCGCCCACAAGCCGAACTCTGTGGTAATAATTCTTTCCTCTCACCTTCGCGTCACACTGGAAACCTCGCCTTTCTCGGTCAACAACTGGTTTTGTCAGACAGTTTCACTGAAATACTTCCTGCCTTTTTTTCAGATTAAAATCGTTGTACCTTCACGAAAAAGTCGCAGGTCGACACATGACAGGGAGCACGATAAACGAGTGCACGTTTCAAGAAACGGCCGTGGCTCAGACTTATCTAGAGACTCGCCACCAAATGGCAATCGCCACAATCCATCCAACAATGGATCTGAAACCAATGTACCCATTTTTATCACCAATACCACCTATAGAACCACTCCAGACCTCAGGTATTTCATTTTTCGTAATCTACCTTTTACTTAATAACCATTCCAAACCACTCGATGTTATCAATAAAGTGTTTCTGTTGAATTATAGTCGAGGATCACGTCACAGTCCGGTATCTAGCTCGAGAGTAGACGACAGAGCGCCCAGTCATTACAGCTATGGATCTGCAAGATCAGGCGGATCAACTGTGAAGACTAAAACCTCCCGGCATGGAGGAATTATCATAGAAACAATGTCGACACCCAATCCTTTCTGTCCGAACACCAAGGGAATGTGTTGTCTCATGTTGCTCATCAACCTCGGACTTATCCTTGTCACTCTCGGCTTTGTTATAGTTATTCAATTATTCCAGCCGCTCATTGTCTGGTAAATACTGATTATATCTTCATCTATTTATATCATTTTTTTCCTCATTAATTTCTCCATCAATCATCTGCTTTTTTTGCAGGATCCTGGGCATAGTCTTTCTCATCTTCGGGTTCATGACACTCATAGGTAGTTTAATCTATTGTGTACATGTCTTTAGGAATGCTAAACATCCCAGTGAATTAAATCCTGAAGATTTATACTGGACGCGCTATTGGCAAGGTCATGTAGGCTCTGCGCCGGAGATTCACTACAAGGCTGAAGAAAAATATCCTGATGACGGTGGCAGCGATCGGTACAGCAAATACTCCGCCAATTATTCAGACCGTCGTAGTCATCGATATTAATGAATTTCTTGTTCATTTACAACTTTTCATTATTGATGGAGCATTTGTTGAATGAATTGAACCAAATCTATGCTAGATTATCTGGCAAGTCGAATTATTTTTTATTATGGCTTTGTAACTAATAGACTGGTATAATGTGCCGTAACAAGTAGTGTTATAACAACAAATCATTTTTTTACAGTGAAAATTCGTTAATTATAGTACCTCACTCTTTCTTTTAATGATTGATACTCGATAGTTTTTATATACAAATTGTTACCAACATTTTTTTATGCTAATAATAAATTAAAATTTATGTATAAAATTAATTATTAATTATAGATTTACTTAATTACGTAAAATTGACTGTTGAATATTATTAATGAATTAAATTAAATTACAAAATTATATCAATTGTAAAATATTCTTTAGGCATAATTTGATTCTGACATACTTATCGTTGGCAATGTACTATCACTCCAATCTGGGTGGGGAAATTTGTGCGGTGGGCTTGGTACACTGACTGGACATTTACTTTTTTGTCTGACATTATCAAACATTACTTGAACTTCCTCCTTTACATTTTTATCAATCACATTTATCGAAGACACACTTTCATGGTAACTACTCTTTTCCGGAGGCACTAGAGTTTTATTTCCTGATGATCTAGATTTATTGTCATTAGATTTCCTTATCCTTGATCTCACGCGTTTCTTTCTCTTGCGGCTTTCGCGTGATAAATTATTGTTCTTACTGGTATCTACTTCATCTGCGCTTTTCATATCTAATTAATTAAGATATATTATTTATAAATTAATTTAAATTAGTTTTTAATAAAGTCTATTTTTCATAACAACTCATTTTGTTACTTCTTATCATTAAATAAACTTACCGTCATTATGATGCTCTGATAATGTTGATGATTGTGATGATTCATGATCAGCGAGACTTCCAAATTCCAAGTGGGTTTTTTCGTCAAATTTAGCATTATCAGTCTCTTCAAGAGTGTCTGATGAAATAATTTGCTGATGTTTTATTTCACCACTTAATTTTACTGAAGGATCTGAACTATTAAAAGGATCAGCAGACATTGATACTTCAGATATATCATGCCATGATGACGGAGCAGCTGTATTAATATTATGACGGGCTAAAAGTTTGTCCTTTTTAGGTAACATTGTTGAATGATGATGAGGATTTAATAATAACTCATTATCCTGAGAGAAATTATTGAAATTTTTCAATTGATTAGCAACATTCTTTTGTAATTCTCTGCAAAATTATTCATACATTTTTTAAAATTAACATACAAATTCATTAAAGTTTTAATTAGCACTAAATGAATTCAAGGAATGCAACTTACTTTATAGATTCACGAAGTTTCCTGAATTCCGAATCTTTATAAGATGATATAATAGTTAATTTTTCTTTTTCTAATTTCAGGTGTTGAGCTTCTTCTATTCCTTCAATTAATTCTTTTTTCAATTCATTTATTTGTTTATTTTCCAGTTTGAGGTCATTAATAATCATTTTATTGGCATAATCCGATTTCAAAGCATCATTTAATTTAGTTCTTAATTGCTCAACTTCAGCTTCTAATTCGTTTTCTCGAGATTTAGTTCGTTTCAAAAGCGATGACAATTCTTGAATACGTCTATGATAGAAAATAAATCATTAATATTACTTAAATAAATTTTAATCAATCAATAAAGTTATTATTATACTAATTTTTTATTACTGTTGAAGAGTAGTGTTCTCTTTACGAATAGATACGTATGATTCTTCCATTGTTTTAATTGTTGCTTCTAACTGTGCAGTGCTAGCTTCTAGTCTAGCTTTCGCAGCAAGTGTTTCCATATCCTGAACAATAAAAAAAAAAAATAAAAGAACAGAAAAAAAATATATATATAAATTAACTACTTTTTTCTTACAATATGAGATAACTGTCCTGACTCTATAGGAATTCGTAAAAGAGCTTGTTGCATTTCTGTTAATATATTGCTCGCTTTTTCACCTTCTATTGCATGCTCCAACTCTTTCATCAAGAAGGCTAATGCTCTAACTGGATTTAATCGTCTAAAATTCTCATTAGTACCGTCGAATATTCCTCCACATTGCACTGCTTTATCATAAACAATAACAGCCTCAGCACGGTTAACATATGATCTAGTTGAACACACACCGTTATTTGATTGTTTAGAACGCTCTTGGGGTTTGTAAGGAGATGATTGGTTTGATAATATCTCATCAAAAGGTATGGCCTGATTTACATACTTGCATGATTTTTTTTTGGTTTCTGCTGACTTTCTAATTTCTTTATCGTCAATATTTTCAGACTTGCTTCTGGCTTTCAAGTCTTGTGGATTTTTTGTTTGATGTAGAACTTGTTTAAGTGTTGAAATACTTTGATCTCGTAAGATTTTATTCCAATGATGATTTTGGAAAGCACCTCCTGATCGTCCATTATCAGGTAGTGGATTTTTATCAGGTGTTTTATTATCACTGGTTTTTGGAGAACCCTTTTTACTTTTTTTCTTAACCGTTACCTCCACAGTAGTGGTATCATCATTAATAAGAACAATTCCATTTGGTGATTTATATGGGCTCTGTAAATTTATAGTATTAATTTGCGTATTAAATATAAAATATTAAACTTTGAATTATGTTAAAGTACACAATGTTTACCTCACGGCTTACAGAACCACTTCTCCGTTTAACAACTTCATTAATACCGCTTTTAATATTTTTCATTGACGAGGTTTTATGATTATCTTCTGATCTACGATTCATTGCACTGGATTTCATTATAGAATTAATAATATTAACAAAAAAATTATATTTTTATTCAACTTTTAATCATTTAATCAAACCGGTGGCAGTTGTAACGATGCCAACGTTTATTTTGTCAAGAAGGTTAGAAATTAATTTTACAATGTTACCATCCGTCAGTAAATTTTATTTTCTGATAATCAAACATTTCAATGGCGCTGTAATATATTTCTGAAGTTAAATAGTGCACCGCAAGATGGCTATCCACTTTAATTTCAGTAAGTAACGAATTTTATAAATGAATGTTGTTATTCTGTAACTTTAAACTTTGAATTGATATTTTTTAATAATCATATGTGAATATTTGTCAGTAAAAGGTTCAATACACAAACAATAATGAGGTCAACTTTATCAGGCCGCAAATCGTCCATTAATCCTTCACGACTACCAACATTTGATAGGGGTGAGAAGTCTCTTGCTTCTTCTGAACCTAGAGTATCAAATTTGACTAAACCCAAGTCACAAACAACAAATACTGAATCACAAATTCCTAGATCAAGAATCACAAGTAGTTCTTCATCAGATAGAGGGAGTATTAGACGTTCGAATTTAAAATCAATAAGTGGAGCAAGTAAGTCATTTAATTAAAATGTTTATAATTTTATTTTTCAACACATAATTATTTAATTTTTATATTTTCTAGGTAAAGTATCAGGCAATGGAGCACATCATCAGTTAACAACACCCAGAACTCCACATGTTCAACCTACAAAATTTGCACCTGATCTTCCTTCAGGTTCTAGAGGTAGATCTCCATCAGCTGAAAGAGCAAGTGAAATAAAGACTAATCCTGGACCTAAAAAAGACACAAGGCCACTAAATGATAAAAACTTTCAAACTGAAATGCTCATGAGAATCGATAGTTTCTTTGAAAACGTGAATCAACAATCATTACTTAATGCTAATGGAAGTTTAAAGCCAATTTCTTTAAAGATCTTTGTAGCAGTAACAGATTTCTTACTCAAATTTTTGGATTTTAAATTATCACTCAATTCTAATAATTACATGGAAGAGCTACCAAAAATTGCAAAAAAACTAGAGTATCCTGGAGTAGTAGCTAAATCATGGTTAAAAACTGCCAACACCATGCATTCTTGGCCTCATGTTCTAGGCTGGTTGTCTTGGCTTGTTGAAATTTGTGAGGCTAATGATATTGCTGATCAACAATTTCAATTAACAAGTACTCCTTGTATTGATTCTATCGATGAAGGAGCTATTAATCGAAATCAATTGATCCAATTGCTACAGATGTATAAGGTTTGGAATGAAGGAAAAGATGAAAAGGTAAAAGAATTATCTAATGAATATGTTCAAAGTATTGCTGATGGATGTGGTTTTCGTGTAGAAGATCTACAAGAAGCTGAAGAAGAATTCGAAAAAAATCAAAAAAAATATGATGAAGTTGATAAAGCTGATCAAGATATCCAAGAAGAGATTAATGTCACACTATCAAAGTTAGAAGCATTAAAGCTTGATAGGAGTAAGCAAATAATGTATATGGAAGAGATGGATAAATTTTTGAGTAAAACAGAAATAGATATTCAAAATTTAAATAAAGAAACAGCTATTCTAGAAAAATTAGAAAAAAAAAATTTACAAATGCAACAGGAGTTAAATGATGCTATTGCACAACAAATAATAACTCCGCAAGAACGTGATGCAATTTTAAAACAATGTACAGACATGGTAAATTATATCAATCAGTTTGATATACATATAGAAGAGCTACAGAAAGAGATTTGGACTGATGATCTCAAACATTCTCACATCATAGAAAAATTAAGTGAAGCAATTTTTGCATACAATCGAGATGTTGTAATTAATGTCATTCCAGATGCTAAAGACTTACAATTACCAGAAAGTTCACTGAATGATAAAAATTATAAAAATTATCTTGATGAAAAAATAGAAGCAATGAAAAGATTGAAAGAAGTACTAAAGAAGCAACTTAATAATCATAAATCTATAATCAACACTCATATGGAGGAGTTGGAGACTTTACAAGATAAACTTAAAATTCAGGAACAAAAAAGAGAAGCTTGGTTTTCTAAGAATCATGAAAAGAAAATGCTGTTGAATAATATAAAATCAAATATGAAAGAAGAAGAAGAGAAGTTAATTGCCACCATTAATAAATATGAAACTGAAATAAGTCTTGCAAAGAGTCAATTTCCTGATTTGGAAAAAATAAAATATGAAGTTACTGAGAATAAGGAAAAATTGGAAGCTGTTGAACGACGAAAGACATTTTTAGAACAGTCTTCAAAGCGTCTATTCCAGAGATTTTATGAGCTAGTAAATTCAGATAAAAGAGAGTTACACAAAATTGCAGAAAGTTTAAGAAAAATTGAAATATAATTATTTGTTTATAAAAAATGAATTAATTAATGTAGAGAATTTTATTGTACAAATTGAATTACTTTTTTAGAATTTAAGTTATTATAATTTTGATATAAAAATTTTAATAATTAAAATAGACAACTCTTTTGTCGACTTATTTTTGTATGGTCGGATGAATGCCGCTCCATTAGTTTCGTGTGTGATTTTATATCACCAAGGTTTAAGTATTTTATAAAGTACTTTTCTATGTAAAAAACGCTAGAAATTGAAAAGAATTATAAATAAATAAATAAAGATTATTATTAAATATATATTTCGTACAGTTTTTCATTGCCGGTCTGTTGAGTTTATACAGATATGTGAACACGTTTTCATCGTTTGAGAGGTTAACTTTTAAATCTGAGACTAGAAAAAATTAAATAGACTGAATTAACAAATAATTCTAGTTATTATTGTTAATAAAATGGCATTAAATTTTTGTAAAACATTTTTTACGTTAAAATCTAATATTTTTTACGTCAATTGTTTAGTAAACAATGTAAGAAATTTCCATTCTTTGCGACTCCCACTGAGGACATTAAAGTAAGTTATTATTTTATTTTATATTTATAACATAACAATAAATAAATAATTCATCAACCTTTGTAATTTAATGAATAGTTTCAGGTATCCTAAAGGAAATATTTCTAGCCCAAAAAGATCATTTACACTTTACCCAAGCAGAAGGCAAACTGCCAAAGAAGTGAATCTTAATGTTGCTAATAATGTTGTATTATTTAAACACGAAAACAGCCGATACTTTAGAACATTATCACTACTAGCACTTGGTCAATTTCTTTTATTCTTTGGTGTCGGTTATTCACTGCTACCGATACTACCTGGTCGTAAAAATAATCAGCCATTGTTAAATTATATTATGAATGCAAAATTACCAGTAGCAGTAGTAGTTACCCCAATGTTGTGTGGTAAGAATGATTTATTTTGAAGAGTATCATGTACTTTATTACAGAGTCAGGCAAATTTGGACCTTCCAGCACCTAAAGCGGGTATAGGTATAGCAGGTAAAGATAAAGGTCCACAGTGGTCAGTACACAAGTGCTAGCAGGTCATGTTTTGACTGGCTCTTCTTTATTACCCACCTGTTAATACCTACTAATAGTTATTACTTACTAATAAGCTTAGTTTATTTACAGGACTTCTTGGGCCTTATCTCATGTGTACGTTTATTGGAAGATCAATAAGATATATTATTTTAAATAAAGGTGGTGAGAAAGTAACAGTTGTTACATATAATGTATTTAAAAAATCACCTCAGTTTACTGTACCCATTGATAAGGTAATTATTTTTTTACAATACGAATATTAGTGCACTACAAACATTGAAAGAGAAAATAAAAGACTTTTATATTTGGTGCAATTAAATCATAACGTGTTTAAAATTGCTCAATTATAATAAACTAATGTATTATTGGTTTTTTTATAGGTATCTGTTAATAAAAGTCGAACGGAGTTGAATAAATACATGTCAATAAAATTTGAGGGCAAACCACTTTACTATGTCATTCATAAAGAAGGGACATTTGTGAACCCAGAACTCTTTGATAGTTCAATTGCTTTTAAAAAACGTGGTTCATCAAAATAATTCTTTATCATTATAAAATTATTAGTTTTTATTTATATTATGAAGATAAATAAAGATTATTATTAGAAATAAAAAGCAAACTATCTTCTAATTAAGGAAGAAAAAAAGTGTACAAATTATTGAAGGACAAAATGCATGTATTTTATTGATATTTCTTTTCGATAAACTCAGAGAATAACGATTTTGCTATTGAAGCAGCCACATTATTTATAGTAGATCAGATAAAAAATTTTATAAGAATCATAAAAAATGCAATTGTGGAAAGAAAATGTCTTTAATAATAGAGAAATGAATACGTGAAAAAATAATATATTGAAGTTGAAGTAAAGTTTTTCCATAATAATAATACAATTGATATTTATCGTTATATCTATGATGTATGTAGTTTCTATAATTAAACTCAATTCAAATAAAAGTTATCGCTTAAAACAGTTTTTAATTAGTGGAACAATATTGCAATAAAAAATAAAATATAAATAAGAAAAAAATAAAAACATTTGGAAGTCAGAAAAATTGTGGACACTGTGGGTCTGTTTATCTGTATAAGATTTGATTTTGTTTTATACATCAAGTTATTCTTAAACAATATTTTTAATGCTTCAATTTATGTACATACAATATTTTTAATTATAATTTATTAGCTTAAATAAACATATAACGGTGAAATTTTATTAAATAATCGTCTGATCATAGCTAAGATATTTTGTAATATAACGATGAAACTATGCAATAAGAACATGTAAAAACTTTCAATATTGATTCCTTCCAAGATTCACTATCATTAGTTAATATACTTATGCTTATTTATTTAAATTCTCGCAATTAATCGTAATAGTAATTTATATAAAGTAGGAAATTTTCGTTTTTTTTTTTTTTTACTTTTTTACTTCTTGAGTATTTGTCTTTCACCACTAAGCCCATGGAAATAGCCCACAATCATTCAAGGTCTTTTTTTCTAAGTCGTTTAAACTAAAGATACAGCAATTCATCCTTTCACGGTATATTTTTCCACTAATAAAAATTGTCAAGTATTTAATGACAATGTAATTTCATTTTATGTACAGTATACAGATTATCACTGCATGAAACATTCATAAATTTAGTACGACGGCACATTCGTGTCTTTATTTAACATCATCGCCTTTATCATTCTCCTACAAATAAGGCACCTTCGACAAATTACTCTGTTAAAAGCTACAACGATCTAGCAGTTTTATCTTCAGTCAATTACCATAAAGTCTGCACCGATGATAGCTTTGTAATTGTCATTCGAGGCGTAGTTACAAGTTTTTCTTATACATTTACAAATATCAAGTGAAAATTAATTACATAAAAAATTCAACACTTCTCTATAACTTCCTTTAAAGATTTTCATTCTTTAAGTCGGATTATTATTTTAAAAATTTTCTTTCTTAGTTTCTTTTTTTTTTTTTTTATAACTTAATATTGACATCAATCTGAAGCATTTATAGATGCTAAAATCGATTGAGTTATAATATAAAGTTGATATACTTTAAGCAATTAATAAGTTTTTAAATATTTCTTTAAAAAACAAGCTTACATTTAATTAAATGTCCTCATTTTCGCTATTTGTGCTTGCGAAATATAATGTGGATTTTCGAAAGCACTTGAGAGATGTCAATTGTTTGAATAAAATAATTATAAAAGATTTCCTTTACACAAAATAAGATGATTTTTTAAAGCACAGGAAAGTTTAATTTATTTTTTTTTTTTTTGTTACCAATAATTATAGAGTGCCGTTAGCAAAGTATTGATATCGATCGTATAATTTGGTCGACCACGAATGAATGCTACCCTCAACGAGGTCTTCGACGTGTTGCCGTAATTGATCCTCTGTCAGTGTTAAATGGAATCGATTCTTGAGTCCTTGAACGGTCGCTGCACCTCCACTTCGAAAGCACGGAAGTTGCGAACCTGTAGAAATGAGGTCACGTATGAAACTCGCAATAACTTTATTTTAAATTTTTGTAATAAATTTTAAATCAAAATAAACTTAATAAAAACTTACCCGACAGCATTATCTCCACCAGGTTAACGACTTTATCCATGTGCTTTCGTGCAGCAACAAGCCCTTGAAGTATGAGATTTTTAAATTCTTGAAACATCTTTGATTGACTCCCACCCATAACTTCAACAAACTCTGGAGTAAGTTTAAAAGGACTTGTTTCGAATCCCAAGTTTCTTGGTGACGTTGATAGAATAAAACCAAAATCTATATGAATAAGATGTCCATCACTATGCAGTAAAATGTTCCCATTATGTCGATCTTTTACTTGAATAAGATAACAGACAAGACAATAAGCTGCACAGCTTTGAACAAAATGTTTTTGGGCCCTGGCAAATCCTTCAGAATTAGCTGGACCAAATTCTCGTTCAAAGTATTGAAGAAGTGTCAATTGACAATGTTTTTTAATTTGATGAAGTGAAACAGTGTTCAAAATAGGTTCAATTAATCCACTGTCATTAGATAAACACAAAATTTTATATGGCCGCACCCAGAGGGGAAGTTTCTCATCTTGCCAAATTTTCTGCAGCATCGACAGTAATTGTGATGCTAAAAGTTCTTGTCTAAGATCATCACCACACTTAACAATTACTGCTAACAACCGCCACGAAGCCAAATGACCGTAAGGACTAGATGCTCTTATCCTTCGCTGCTTCAATTCCCAAGGCTCTTTGAGCACCGCTGCTGAAGGATCTTCCGGATCATGATTAAATGTCGCGCTGGGAGTTGCAGCCAATTCACTTAATCGTCTTTTAATATCACCAGGCACGAATACTGGCTCACGACTGTCCGAACTTTCTTGGCTCAATTGAGATATCGTGTCTCGGTCTTTGGGCTTTCGGAGTTGTAGATACTGAAATCAATTCAAATTTATTATATAAACGTTTGAATCATAAATCACAAATGAAATCATTTGAATGTTACATTGTTGCAAAAGTCGTTACTGATGTAACGATAAATTCAATGCAGTTTATGAGACATTTGTTAAAATTTTGCTCAAACTAAACTTCATAAATTACTAAACAATGTCAATTAATTAAAAATAAAATAAATAATAAAGTGAATACATTAATGAAAAATTGTGATAAATTTTACAACAGTTTCATTATGAATTTTTATACAAATAATATATACCTGTTGCGTGATTTCATCGTCTTCTTGACTCCAACAGTCTGCAGGATCATCATCTGGATAATTAAATGCATTTTCTCCGACCCTCGATATGATACTTTTTATAGGAGTTTGTCGTTGTTGAGCAACTGCATTCGACGAACAATTCGACGAATTAGACTGTTCATTACCCGTTAAATTTTCTTCAGACTTAGTATGTCGTAGCGAACTTCCCATTATTTTCGTGGGAACTGGAGAAGTATAAAGATCTTCAACTTCCAAGACTTCGACATAAATGATATACGGTGCCTGTAAATTATAATAAATACTCAATGTATCGATGCTAATTTTAATCTTAAACAATACAATTTTACTTTCGAAAGTTATGAAAGCATATGTGAATCATATAAAAGAGAAATCATATAAGCATTCTTTTTACCTTATCTTTGCTATTAAGCACTGCTGCGCATTGCGGTGGCACTCTTACGATATGATGGGGTATTGTACTATGTAAAGGAAGCCATACCCTTGCTGGGAGATTCAAGTTGAGTGTATTTAACTCAGCTACTAGTTGAACGGTTTTACTTTCCTTTGTAGGAATAGTTCCAAGCAATTTTCCAATTGATATCAGTGCTTGAATGAACTCGAGCTCTGGAGCGAGTCGAGGGGCCTAATGATAAAAATAAAAAATAAAGTATCACTTAAATAGACGATTCAATTAAAATAATTGAATTAGTTTATTGATAGTTATATTTTTCTTACATTACAGAAGCAATCAGTCTTCTGTCCTCGTAAGTCATTAACCACACCTTGGCAGGAATCAAAACAGGTACATCCGTTGTCAAATGCTCGACCAGAGCTCAGGTCCCCAAGGCTCACCTTATTTGCTACACCTAAAAACACGCATTTGTTTATTAAAATTTTATATAAATAATTTAATTTACTTTTAATAGACATTGAAAAGTTTCCTATAATTAATTATACTCTAGAATAAACCTTCACTTTCTATCGTTTGTTTATTTATAACATCTCTTATGCAAACAAAATCTAACAGAATCTATTCTTACAATCTTGACACGTGTATTATAACAATAAAACATAATCAATTGAGATATTTAAATTAACTGATAATAGAATATAAAAATAACCAAGGCGACGTTATCCAGGAGGATTAGATGAATCAATTTCGTACGTATAATATGGAAGATATTAATATTTATAAATTATTACCGGAATGGCTTCGACGCAATGATTGAAAAAGACCAGTAGCATCAGATTGCGATCTTTGGTGGGTTTTTTTATTGGGCGATGCTACCATTTGAGCTGAAGGCAGAGGCGGAGGCGCTGGAACTTGTAGTCCACTAATTTTCTGCTTTCTCGCTACTTCATTACCCTTTGACCTATTTTTTCTATAAAAATAACGAACGTTAATTGATAATTATGAGCACAAAGATGTTAAGAAGATAAAGAAAATTTATTACACATACCTAAGTTCATCTGATAAAATAAGGTTTTTGAGCTTGGTCCCATGAGACTTTTTTTTCGATGGCAAATGAGCATCTGAACTGTAAGCATCTAGCAACCAAGCGCATTTTAACGAAAAGTCTGCGGTTTGCCTACATCTGTAATAAAATTAAACGTTATCTATATTGTTTATGCTCTTTCGTTTGTACGCTTTAGTATAATTTATTGAAAATTCTTTAATTACCTATGGACAAGATACGGGTAGAGAACCTCCGTAACATCGTGCAATTGTATATACATCAAGACGAGTTGTGGTAAATAAAAGTCCACTTCACTATCTGGGAAGCTAAACAACTTGTTGACTGTAACAGATTGATTGTGAAAAAAAAATATTCCCAAGAGCAATAAACATATGTTTTACGATGTAGATTAATAGCCTACCAAGATAGCTTTGTACCCCAGGCTCTTTAGAGTTGAAGAGGTAGGAAATAGCCATGGACATATCGAAAATTTGACTCTCGAATAACCTGAGTAGACATCCTTCACTTGGTTTTGGCTGGACTGTTTCTTGCGTATTAATTTCCAATGGTTTTTTTGCCATTTCATCATCTGGCTGTGTTGCCCCGCAACACAAAGTGATTGCTGCACCAGCAAGTTCTCTTTGTACGGCTACTTCGAGAGTATTATGATATCCGTTAGTATTACTACTGTTTGGTTGTTCATCTCGGAGTTCTTTGGCTGTACAATCACCGTTTTTAAGCTCTCGAGTGGTTAAATGATCACCATTAACCAATGGTTGTTCATTGCTAATGTGTTCTCTATCACCAGACACATGATTTGCTTCAGACACTTGGAGAATACACTGCTCCATGTTTTTTGACAATGACTCGCTTATCACAACGTCTACAGGCGACACTGAAACAACACTTTCGTCTCCGTCCACTGCATCAACACTATCCATATCTCCTGCTTGAGACAATGATGAATCAAGACTCTCTCTACTATGTAAATGGTCTACACTGGACTCTCTTGTTGTTGCATTAGCAGCGTCACTAGATCCACTATCAGATCCACAAAGAATCCCTGAATCGTCAGATCCAAGGCTGGCAAGGTCTTCTCTTTCTCTACTACGAGATTTTATTGATGGCGTTGATGTTTTTGCCGCCGGATCCGGCACAGTTTCACATTCTGGGCTTGGTGTTACATCCACTTCTGGAATACGTTGCAATGCAGAGTCGAGACTTCGATTTCTGTGATGCAGCGTCAGTGTCGTAACAGTTGCTTGCGGAACCGGAGGAAGTAGGATACCCATCGACCTGAAACATTTATTTTATCACAACTGTTTTGTATACAATTCTATTTCTCCCTATCTTCCTAACATTTACAACTGTCTCTACTGCTCTGAGAATATCTCTTTCTTTCAGTATTTTCGCCACAGAAGCTATTTAATTCTTTTATCGTTACACATTTAATTATATTATATTATACCAGTATCATCGTTTAATCACATTGCAATTTAATTTCCCTTTTTCATTAAAACGTAATAGTATCATTTCCACCAATAAGGACTAAGTAAAATTCTGCTTTTGATTATTAATTGATTTTACGTCATATTGGTTTAAATTTTTTTACGAATGACGTAAATTAATATATTCAATGTATTTAAATGCTTGCAATTGTTTTATTACTGATTTAATTTCATGAAAATCGTGATAATAATAAATTACAATAATTATCAAAAGTATTTCATTCTTGTAGTAAACGCGCAATTTAAATTAATATCAATAATTTATACACTTTACAATGTAATTGTAATAAAACTCAATATTTTCTCATTTGTCTCTTTAAAAAAAAAAACTACATAATTGATACATGAGAAATCATTTTTAATCCTTATATTATAATTTCACGTAAGACCCTTTTTTTACATTCACCTTTAATAACCTCATGATCTTCATAAGTGTTGCATTTATTAATAAATTTTTTATCAATTACCCGTGATGTATTAAAAAATGATTCTTTAATAAAGATCATAGGAGCTGATTGATTAAAGGGCCATTTATTTCAATAAATATACCAAGAATTTCAAAGAATGATTAGAATAATTTTATAGTCCACTTGATGAATATAAAATGAAAAGCTCAAATAATTTCTCAAACTACCTAAGCTCCGGCTGTACAAATCTCACTAATTTACAGCTCCAATTGGCCTACTTTGCTTCATTACATTTGCATTTTAACTTTTCATAAAGCTTAATGCAAGCACTGTCCATGAATGAGATGGAATAAAATCATAAAGCTTTTTACATAAAATACAATTGCAATGTTGAAAAACTAAACAGAGCAGTAAAAACACAAGGAAATTATAATTGATTAGAGTGCGTGTACCTAAAGTCCAAGCTATGATTTCGTTGATGAGTGGTCAGTCTGTTGCGTACGTTGATTGGTGGGTTCGGCCTGCCATGGACAAGAGGAACATTGCAGCCAGATGATTTGTGCCGTTTGATGTGTGCCATACATTCCTGGCGATTTTGTCCACTAGTAGGCACTGCCACGGCTACCACTTCGCTCATATTAAAGTTGAACGAGCTATGGCTCGGCTAACAGTCATCTGCAGCTCATGACGCTCACTTTACCTACAATCGAGCCAATCATCAGCATCAAACAATTTGCTAGCACATGCATTCTCGTGATACTCCACTTTTTAATCTTTCTAGACATTTAATTTTATGCACAACTGCAATAACTTTAGCAAATAAATGATTATTTGCTTTCCATTGAATTTTATTTTACTTCCTGATAGGAAGGATACATTTTATTTTTTTTTATTCCAAGTTCCAGATAGTTGGTTGATAGTTGGAGATAAATTATGACTATTTTTATTATCATGTCAGCCGAATATATATATTTATTTTCGTTGAATATTTACACCAAACAAGCATGCAAATACTTTTTGACACTATTTAATGTTTGAACGATAAACTTCTGTACTTGATTGGATGAGTTTTTACGAGGATCATCGTTCAAATAGTTCAACAAATTGACATGCTGACACTATATAAAGACATATTTGTTTTGTTTGTTTTGGTGGTGTAAATGATTGTGTATGTAATGTTTAATGTACGTTGTACTTGATTCAGATGGGAATAAATGAATTGATATGATATTTAATCACTGATGGAGTACAGGATTTAATTGGAATGATCATTATCTGAATGTGATATCACGAATAGGAAAAAGAGTTGGTTTTTCGACTCATGTAATATAATAAAAAATAAAATAAATTTTGAGAGCATAATAACAAAGGTAATAACTCGTGTTGATAACACGTCAATATAAAATACACTCTTTTGTCTAAATAATAAAGAAAAACTACGATGCAATGAGAAATAAAAATAAAAAAAAATAGCACTAGAAAATTTTCCATTGACTTGACATCAATGTATAAAATCTAGTGCAATGCCAGACTATTTAATCTTATCTGTACATATTTTCACGAGAGTAAAATGTCATAAATGGTGATAGATTTAAAAAAATGTTATAAAAGTAATTTAACAGAAAGTAACACATGACTATAATTGTTTATTTCTTTATAACAAATCTTAACATATTGCAAAAGAGAATAAACTTTCACATAAAGACGTCAGAGATAGAAAATAAAATAAAATTAATCCACTAGTAACTTTCATTTAATAAATTGCACATTTGTTTTGTCTGTTCACCTTTTAAAAAGCTAATATTTACTGTAGCAGTTTGATAAAAAGACAGATAATAACACGATTAGAAATGCATTAGCCTAAAGAAAGAAAAGAAAACAAAATTAACTGAGTACAATATGAGCATAAAGGCAGTGTGAAAGCCATGAAAGAGGTGGAGGAGAGGATGGAGAGTAGAGAATCTAGGCTACGGCATTCTGCTTCTCTTGGTTTGTACTCTTTCTGCACTCGTGTGACTAGAATTTTATCTCTTGGCGATATTTTTTTATTCGCCTTTTTTTTCGTGACTTCCCCATTACAAATAATAAAGAACTGATGGAAACGTGAGGGAAGTAGTCCCGGCGCGTCTTCCGATGGGTGTGCCGGGCAGGAACAAGGATGAAAAGACACACATACTTCGTGTTGACAATCAGATTGTCACGACCCGCCCCCGTGAAGTTTCCTATGCAAAATCGATCTAGGATCGTCTTTCTAACCCCCGGGAAAGAAGTCATGTAGTGTACATAAAGGAAGTGGAGCCAAACAGAAACAATGTAAACTCACCAGCAATGCTGTTTCCTTTTTTTTTTTTTCTTTTCTTCCTTTTTTGGGTTATAATCAGGACAAGAGCATAATCCACAGAACTTGGTGAGTTTTTTTTTTTATTAAATTGACACTAGACTTGACACTTTGCTGCTTACACTATATCTACTATACTTAGATGAAGCAAACTCACTGTAAAATACTATAAACACGCGCACAAGCATTACATGCACATAGAAAATATCCACACTTTGATGAGAATAATGATGATACTACACGACCGTGTGCCAAAGAAAGAATTCACGATTCACTTGTGCTACCAATGGCTGGCTCTCGCTTACTCTTTTACGTCTGTCACCGTCTTGCTCTTAACATGAGAGAGACAAACCGCTTCGATTCGATCTCAATGTTCAAACTCGCCCGGGGATACTCCCTCTGATATAATACTTCTACAAGTCGTCACTCTGACGTTTCCGTATGTTGCGATATTCTTAAGTCACTCTCTACGCTTTTGACTTTAATCCCGAGGGCGTCCTTAAATCCATTAGACGCACGTCTTGGAGTAACGTTCTTGTACGCCAACGTAGCACTAACGACCCTGGTGACTGGTCGTATCTCGACTGTTTGTGCGCGGTGAACAAGCTGCTCTGCCACAGTACACACGCCTACCAACTGGTACGATTCAAAGTCCGAGACCAGGAATGTATAGTGTTTTTTTCGTGCCCTTCTGTTTTGAGAAAAAAATGACAACATTAGAAAAAAAATCTTTGTTTGTCAACAGTAGTTATTTATTATCTAACCTCAAGATTTGTTGTCGATTGAGAAATTCTGTGGATTCTTATGATGAGAGAATGAAAATAACAATGTAAACTTAATGTTGTTAACCTTCACACGTTACTGGTTTTATGATGCGTCTGCCGCAGGCTTGATTGGGGGAGGAGCAAGAGAGATACAAGAGATAATGATTGAAAATCAAGTCTACTATTGTGGTATGTACGTTTTTTTAACAATTGATTAATTCCTTCTTCTCTTTGCCACTCTTTAACTTATTGAGTACTGCCTGATACATAACTTGACTTTTGTGTAGAGTATAAATTGCTCGGGCTATTGGAAAAAGAGTGCAACGGAGACAATCACTGAAAGGAAAGACAGAGAATGTAAACGGAATAGGTTTTCATGTTGGCAATACTACTTCGGCCAGGGTACTTGGGTGGGAAAAGGTCGTATAGCTATGAGTGTAACTGCACCAAAGTCGCCGGGAAAACTCCGACTGATTAGACCTCGGATATTCCCCTTCATCTCAATCACTGATCATTCATCTTTCACCATTGACTGATCTTAGCCATTAATTTCCAATGTAAGTCTACAATGCTCTTGTTTACTTTTAGCTTACCCAAACAATCTATTACCTGTTATGTTTTGTAGGGAGACCTCCGGCAATTCAATGACCCAGTACTTGGAACCTCCAGTTTATTGAGACTTTAAATCATAAGACATATTTACGTCATTGGCATAAACTTTTTTTGTAATAACATTGACAGAAGGTGACTCATGAAATTCAAATTGACACACATTTTTAGCTGTTATCAAACAATAAATACTCTACACTCTATATGAATGATGTTAGAATTTACAATTAAAAATAATTATAAAGTATAAAACTTTGATTCTATCTATCGACGTATCATGTAGTAGTAGGAATATCATGCATGTAAGTTAGAAATATTTTTAATTCTTTCTATACACGATCTATTACCCATTGCAGGTCACCAAACATTGGCTCTATTGTTTCATGAATTCTCAATCGTCCATTTAAATCTCTTCAAAGTTTTCAAGTAAACAATCGAGCATTCAGGATGTTGAAAAACTACATTATTTTGAAACTTTTTTTTTTCTTTCTTATAAATCTTGTTCAACATCTTCTAGACTATTGTTTTTCATGTAGATTACATTGAAAGTTTATTTTTTTCTTCAAGAGCAAAGAAAATGATAAGTAATTAACAATTATAATTAATAATCAAAAATGTTTTAATTATACCACAATATTTTAAATAAGTCATTCTTCAAGTGATCATTAAAAAATTCCTCCACAGTTCTTTTATGAACATTAATTTCTTATCATTTTTTTTTTACTAATTCCCTATGTCGGAATTGAATTATTACTATTGTTCGTTAATTATTATTTATTAATGCCCTCCTCATTTTCGTGTAATTGCATTATCCACATATCAATTTGTTTAAAGCTCGCGCAATTCCCTGAGTGCTCATATATACTCTTCGTAGTCTGAACTCAATGCTTCCTGTAATTTTATACGCTTTCTACCTGCTCGTTAAAACCAAGAGCATCGTTGAGTCTCGTATGTATTTACAAGCCCGAATTATTTGGTCATTGTTTATTAAGTCAGTTATCTTTAATACTATAATAACGATTGTTTTCAAATTAACTTAAAAAATTCTTTCTTTCTTCATTATAACTAACAAAAGTCCAATGTACTCTTTTTATTAACTCTCATAACTATGATAATCTAGTCAATGAAAAATAATGGATGAAAAAAATCACGTAAAGCTAATCATCCTTGATAAGGTAAGTCTTTTTTTATTATCCACACTTTATACTTTAAATCTGAGCATTCAACGGATTTTGTTTTATTTATTTTTTTTTTTTTTTTTTTTTTTTTGACAGCATAACTCACTTAAAAAAAAGTGAACACGTAAATACTTGGACTAATTTCCTGCAACTGACTCGGCACCGTCAGGCTTCCTTCTTCGCTTTGCAGCCGTTACGAAATTGTTGAAGAACATCGTAACCAGCGTAACAATAAGGCCAACATCACATAATGCATCTCGATTATTCTGTGTGATTCCATCAATAATCGATTATTTAATATTACAGCTTAGGCTGCTATGTAATCGTATTACTCTACAAAGTATGTTTGCAATGTCAAAGTAGATATTTATTTTTACAACAAATCAATATAAAATTGATAAAATTCGCTCCGATTACACCTGGCGTAATCGATAGCACTTAATAATTCGATAAATATCAATGCAAAAAAATGTTTTAAAAAATACATCGATTTCTATTATTGGAGTATAAGATGGTAAATACACCTGCATGTTGATGATAATAACGATTGTGATTATGATGATCAAGTAATTAGATATTGTAATTGGAATTTATCATTAATTATTAATTTAATGATATCATTATACTGAAAAAGTCGGTTAATTACTTGAAATAGTTGAAACTAAAAGCCTTTAGAAACTCCAAATCTACAAATAGTCTGAATTATTAATTAACAAATTGATATGATGATACGTTACATTGTTCATATTTATATTTGTGATTTAATGAATATTCTAGATGGTTTTTTTAATGCATTGTCTATTTAAAATTCTTATCGAATTATCATCTTAATGCGTTGCTTTGAATGTCGTATTTTTTCAATGTCTTTTCAAAACTGGTATAGCATTGAACTGAATTCTATTTATTCACTATATACCAATCCTGATAATATAACGTGAATAACAGTTGTAAACTTTTCAATTGGGTTTTTATTATTAATCAATAAAATAACCCATTTTTGTTTAAAAAAGATTCAAAATAATCTTTCATGAAATTCCAATTTATATATTATTTTTATTTAAGATTATTTTTTACATCATATCACTATCATTTTTATCTTAAAAAAATGTTAACATTATTTTTTTGTTTATTTATATGACTCAATTGCATTTCAAAAATATTTTTTTATCTTTGTTTACGCCATTAGGAGAAAAATATGACGTTAAATTGACGAGAATGGATCATAAAAAACCACGAATCATCTGATAGAATAATATTTTATGCATTTGGGGATTTTTATTTAAAAAATGTGGAAATCAAGTTGCCAATGATGATGATGTTTATTATGTTATTACGTGAAGAGCAATGAAAAAAATTTCTGGCAGCTGTTTAAACATCAGAGCGATTCAACCGAAGTAGAAATAAAGGAAGAGAATAAGGAGAAATAAAAGAATAAAAAGCTCAGGGATTTGGTAGTCCTTGATGGTACAACGCGATCGATATTCTGGGGATTACACCCGACAAGCCCGACTATACGACGAATGCGTCAGAGTTAAAGCCGGCAATTGCTCAACACCTGCGGGTCTTCCGCAAAACATTCGCTTATACGCTGGAGTGAGACTCCTGGCATTGATGTGATTACGTCTTACCCAAGATTCCAATCTGAAGAACGCAGTATGAAATTCGCCTGAAGCATTGCAGACGTTGAAATGATCAACTCACACAGTACAGTAACGGAATATATATAAAAAAGCAGAGGTGAAAGAGTAGAAATTGTCGATTGGTTACGAGAATTCCTCGACCTACTCCAAGAGAAATTTAGACTCGTCTTGACACTTGACTAGAGAAAATAATAGAGATGATGACCTAAGAGAAAGAGATGAAGAATGAGGCCAATGAACTTACTGTCTGTTGGAATGCGTCGTCATTGACCCTGACCCAAGCAGATATACCTGATAACCGATGCAAATTATGATGTTTAAAGAGATACATTAAATAAGTTATCCATTTATTTTGTAAATTTAATGGTAATTATATAAGCTATTTCAGCTTACATTCCGCTTGATTTAGAGAAATTTCAATATCTGAATGACATTAATAACATCCGGTGAGAAATAATGTGGAGGAGATGAAGTGATAATTGGATGAACGCATCAGCTTTAGAGAAACAAAGTATAACTGATGCTTGACAGACATCAGATTGACACGAACATCCGGAGACAATAGAGCGAATAATTCGACCAAAAAAGCAAGACGCACTACCGGAAGAAGTTGGAATACACACATGCAATGTTTGTTATTAGAATAGGTATCACATTGTGTGCATGGTACGACTTTGAAGTCTACATCAAACATAACGGTTGCAGGTGCACGTATTATCTTCAACGAGTGCGTAACGGTGAGTACTCTTTTCACTCACTGTCTATACGCTGAAAGCAGTCTAGCAACATCGAACTATCGATTTGAATGTCATCTAGAAAAGTGTTTCACATTTATTATATCGTACATGATGGTTTTATCAATGATTGCTACATACCATCATTCTAGCTTTCATCAAGCAACTAAAATGTATGAAACCATCAATGTTACATTTTGGAGCTTCCATCATATTGGTCTTGATTAAAACAATAATTCCGATTGTTTCCAATCTGAAATTCTGCCATGTGACACAAGTGTATCTAATTTTGAAACAATAGACTTGTAATAAAACTCTTGTCACTTTGATATAGATTTTTTTCAACATGGCATGACTTGTTAACAAAATATTGTGGGAACACAATTTTTCGTCACGACAATAATTATGCTGAACCCTCTACATGATACGGTAGATTATGAGGAGTAGTTTATTTTATTTTTTTCGATTGATTATTCAAGAGAATAAAATTGAACAAATGTGAAGGATTATTCTAATTTTATTGAGTTAATTTTTCAAAGAAGATAATCGAATCCAATTTCGTTTATTAAATAATTGAGCATAAATAAAACCCTAAGGGATAGTTTCTACAGTGAATCATCGAAAGCCGATCAATAATCCACTACAAGTGAGAAATAAACTGGTGAAATGAATGAAATTTGAAATGATTTCTATCAACTAGTGTAACAAATATTAATCAAGTGTTCAATCAACAGTTATTTATCAAAATTACGGTTGTCAATTGATTAGATGTCATGCATAAAATGAATAAAAATTAGCTTCAAGCTAAACATGTCTCCCTAGGGTGTGATAATAACACTCAGATCAATCATGACAATAATTTTTTTTTTTGAAGCATGAATTAAAAAAGTGCATCAAACTTTTTTCAGTGTTCATAGTTATTTAGAAGCTAATTCAGGAGTGAGGATAAAAAGTTACAAATAAAATAGGAAAATAGAGCAGAAAAGTTTTGAAATAGGAAAAAAAAAGTTATTTTTCAATCAACAGAATATAAATGTTGGGGATAGATATTTTCCATGTCGAAGAAAATCTAATAATGAGAAATTCGATGGCCAATTTGAATTTGAAAATGCTTCTTAGAGCATGAGAATTTATTCTATAATAAAATCAGAATTTTGTAAAAATGCAAGAGTGATCTCAAGTTACTTTCTAGTAGCCAATTATTTATTTTAACATGATAGAAGAAAAGTGTATTTTGATGATACTTTGAAGAGTTCTTATTTCGTCCTATTTTGGAAGACTCTCGAAGACCTAACAACAAAAGTAAATTTTTCATTTTAAATATAAAATAATATTCAAATTACCTACTCAAAATGTCTATAAATCAATTTTTGTTTCAGAAGTCTATTTCGCTTCAGGTATTTCTATCATACCAAATAACTTGCAATCTGTCTGGCATAAATCAACCATCAATGCATAAAAAACTTCTTCTAAAGAGCTCATATTTATCTAGAAGCGAGCCAATATTCCAAGCTGATTGGCAAGCAAGTATCCATTGGACAAATGTCAGTCTTAATCGTCAAACTTCCTGTTGGAATGTGGATGTAAATCATGTGCGAATTGACGAAAAGCGATCTCATGGGAAGAGCAAACGAGAGTTGAAGCTTTGAATAATGTTCTCATATACACGCTACTGTGAACGCAATGTCCCTTGACAAACGATTGGTTTTCCCCTGTCATTCTCTTGAGTACACGATATGTACATGTAACTATAATGCTTCCTATTTTTGGATGAGTGGGAGAGGACGAAAAAATACAGTGTAGGGATGTGTCGGGAATGGCATAAAGCATATAAAGTCAACGAATGTATATATTTATATCTGTGACATGTATATAACCAGACTGCATGGATGTTATTCTTTACCAAGTCCCTAAAGTCAAGTTAAAATTGGCGGGAACAATAAAAAGTGTCTGAGAACATGAATGCATATCTGGTGATTCGAAGGTTAAATCCGTTCAATGTATATGACACTGAATTATCAGTTTAATAGGATCGATCAGATAGTCTTTGATCAATGAAAATAATAGTGAGGAGGAACTAGATTGAATTAATATTCAACATAGAATACGATCATGGTAATCATCATGAGGGCAGATCAAAAGCTAGTAAAATAAACCAAAGCTTGCCGACTATTAAAAAATCATCAGCATGATAATTAGCTGCCCTACATGTTTAATACGCAAAGAAAAACCATGTTGAACGAGTGAGTAGTTAATTGAACAAGTTTATGGGCTATGAGCCTAGAAGCCATCATACCAGCCGCCTGAGGGAAAGTATACGGGTACTTTATAATAGCATTTATATACGGCACCCACCATCCTGTCTGCACGACGCCAGGCGTCTCGACGTTGACCCCGCGAGCGACGACCGCTGATAGTCAGATATGTACATAAACATGAGTGAAGGAAACAAGAATTATTCTACTTTCAATGCTATTTAATGGAGGCACTGACATTTGCTTTGTCTTTTACATCGATTTTTTTTGGATGATTCATTCTTTAATATTTATATCACGATCTTCATTTTTAATTTACCGAAAAGATTGATTTTAGTGTTGGTAAACGCTTCTATGAATTGAAAATTAATTTTTTAAATGCTGATAAACATTTTTGTATCAATTAGTGTATTTTATTTATTGCAAAATTACACTGAATTGAGCTTCAAATTTTTTTTTAATCAATGTTCTGATTGCTGGAACTTGAAATGGGAAGATTGGTGATAATTTAATGGGTTTTAATTAATTTTGAAAAACTAATTGCTTGATATTTGATAGCTATGAGATATGAGCAATGATTATTCAGTTTTAAGTTCACTATTAGACGGTAAATTTTCACTGTTTTGATTAAAGAGAGTGGTGACTATTGAAAGCTACCATGAATACTGGGATAGTCCATCGATCGGTTCATAAAGAAATGCATTTAATGCGTCAGCACCCTCCCTTTTGTATTCATTTGGCTACTACTATGCTACCAATATTAATTCGAAATGCTAGGGACTGTCAGGATCTGAGACGAAGACAGAGGATGTTGGCTTATGTGAGATTCATGTGTTAAACGCCCTTCCTTTGTGGCTATTTATAATATGTGTGTTATCCTATTGAGATCAAGATTATACGTGACTTCATATAAAGGGGAACTTTTAAAGTATTTGGAAGTGCTTCTTGTATTTACTATTTTATTTTGAGGATATATGGATGTTTTCCTACAACTCAAAAAATAGAATTTGTTTTTACAGTGAAAAAAATTACATCCTATTTTTTTCTCTTGATATAGCACGCTTTTATTTGAGATTAAATATTTTTTTTTTTTATCATAGCTTTGTTAAAAAATTTGTGTGCTCCAATTCAAAAAAATTGGAGCTATTTTTATAAATAATTTTATTTTACTTTTTTATTTGTTATAACAAGTTTGAATTTATTATATAACTTAGTTGAGTGATGAGAAAAAATTTTTAATTTAGTTTTTATCAATAAAATAGCCGGCAACTATTCTAGAAAAATTTTTTTCAATCAAAAGTCAATTTTAATTTCTGAAAATATTCAATCAATTCTTCATTAGCTTTGTTGATAACCAATAATTTCCATTTAATAGAAACTAAATTTAAAAATGGATATATTTATATTTTATATATTTAATTGCCTATATAAATATTGATAAACAAAGATAAAAATATATTAAAAACGTTATACAAGTAGGTAATTGAAGCTTAATAAAGTGGATGAGGTAATAAATTTGAGGATTACGATATTAAGAGTGTGAAATAAGAGCAGATCAGCACTAGATGTTGAAGAGATTATAGAAATTATATAAATAAAAGAGACAATTTGATAAGTTGTTATTATTGTTGCTCTAGATGTATATAAGGTGAAAAATATATTCACTTGTTTGAACAACAAAAAAACAAATTGGGAATAAATTACTTCCTTTGTATCTAAAACATTCTAGAAATGGAAGTTTTATCAGATAATAAACTTATAAGCATCAAACAACAGAAAATAGTAACATAATGTTTTTTCTCATTTTCAATTTATTCTAAGAGCGTAGTAGATAACTCGAATAAACATTATTTAATGAGCACATAATATCTACTAATCGTGATTATTAACACCTTCAACATTTATTAAGTTATGATACCCACTCGTTAGGAGTAGATCAGATAACCTTAAATACAAACCAAACTATTATAACAGGTAGCAGTAAAACTATTCTAAAAGAAATATATACCATTTTTCACAACTATAAAAATAACAATGAAACAGTTTCTCTTTTATGTTATAGTTTGAAATAGATGTTTCAATAAATAAAAAGATTTCAAAAACATGAAGCATTGTTTACACCTCATTGTTATTTTATTTTCTTCCACAAGTTTTTTTTAAACAAAACAGGAACAAACTTATATATTTTTATTTATCAAGCTTTGTTTTAAAACTAACAATTTTGCAATAAATAAAAAAATTATATCTAAGATTACCATCCACAAGTATAATGTGTATTGATAAACGATTAAATTCATGGGAGTTTTTCATCACAAAAAAATTCCAAAGCTCAACTGTGTTATTTTATTAACAGTATAATAGTATATTGATATATAAATATATTCACCATTGAGTAACGTGTATATACCAAGAACTTCCGGAGTCCAGCACGCAAATTATCATTATTTTTTCTATGGGGATTCAAGTGTCTGATTTATAGCAATTCTTTGCAATTTAACCATTCCATTGCGAGTTTATTTTATGCTTGATGGAGTGTGAAAATAAATGGTGTGTAGACTGAATAATTTAATGGGGAGTATTTAAAAAAATTTAGAATATAAAGCTTTATGTTGACAGCAGTAAATCATTCATATATACAAGAAGTTTCTTTTTATCTCCAGAGTTCACCAAATACTTGAAAAGTCTACACTAGTAAAAATACTTTGACTCTAAATGAAAGACTTTTTTGGAATTATTCAGAAGTGTTTTTTTACACTGGTTTCTTTGAAATGATTCAATAGCAAAAACTAGACATTTTTTTGAAACTACTTCATCTCCAACATATATAGTTCTTTGTCCATAGGTTCCTTAAATCTAGTCTTTATTACTTCATTAATGTCACACCTTTGATAATTTTCTAATTCTAGTATCTTGGCACACACTGCTTTGATAAAATCAGTGGTGAATATATTGTAGGTCTGTGTAGATAATGTATTGCTTTGGAGTTAAAAACATGCCTACGGTTCATTCCTACGGCCGTTCACCTGACAACTAGAATAAAATATAAATGAAGCAAAAAGCCTGAGGTTTATGTGAACTAAAGTGATGAATGTTTTCAGGCACGAAATAATAGTCACCAGTGATTACTATGCGGCCCTGCCCTTTTTTTCTATTGAGTTTCATTTCCTTTATCCATTGATTGCTTATAAACGTCCAAGAATTTAACATTTTACTTTCCATATCCATTTAAAAAGTAGAAGTTTCCAATAATCTTTAGGGACTCTTGGTTTATATTGATCGAAAGTTAAATGGAAAGTGTGTGAGTTGGATTCATTTTCAAGTAATTTCTAACTTTATAATGAATACCTATCGACTACTTAAGCATCATCTTGAAACTTTTATCATTATTTTTTATTTTAAATTAATTGTATTGCAATTAATAAATTTAGAATATTACTTCACAGCCTACTGAGAGATAAATGGTGAATTATTTTTTGAAAAATGATGATGTTGAATTTAATCTTGAGAATTTAATTATTAACGAACAGTTATCTAGGTGATAAACATATTTGTTGATGAAAAAATTGATAATGAATGATAAATAAATAAGTAAATGATGAGAGAAAATATTTCTCATTAATAAAACATCTATTTAATTGAATATTGAAAACTACATGAGCATATCTTAAAGATAAATAATTGCTCAGCATGTTTTTTTTTATATTAATCATATTAAATAATAATTACATTAATTAATTCAATAATTACTAAATGATTATAGATATTTTTGTATCATTTTATACTGTTGAAAATACCAAAGTGAGCTTTATAATATCAAAGTTTATTAATTTATGAATTTATATAACAGAATAGTGTAAATAATTTTTTTCTAGATTCGTAAAGCATAAGATAAAATTTTTGAATGTTTGAGAGAAATGATTCTTCTAAATATATTGAAGAAAAAGAAAAAATTCAGTGACATTGTTAATGAGTATTCCAAGATGCTAATCATTTAATTGCTTTATTGGTGAAATATAAACTGTGGAAATAATCTCAACTAATATTTGTCGAGAAATAATGATTATATTTGCATTTCAGTTCTGTAATGTAAAATCTGTAGATGTAAACGAGTTTGCAAGTACTCTATTATTGCAAATTTATCATTCCTATGTAAAGACTTGTAAGATAAAGCTTCTAAAGTCTAGACAAGAATTCTTATTGCATTATCTATTTTACGATGCAACTGACAATTTTCTTGATGACTTCTCTCTCTTTATTTTCTAGCCTCTGTAATTTTCCATCCTGGTGTATAAGATATGACTACATAAATTTTACAACGATGATAAACTTTGTAATTAGGTGTTTAAGCCATTATAATACTCTAGATTGTTCCATTGTCTATTATTAATAGTCAATCATCTTTTTTAAAGATGTAAATTGTATTTTCTTCTGCAAACCAGTTGTAATATAAATACTTGATATGAAGTTTTTCCTCTTCACAGTGAGCGACCCTGAAAAATATTTTTCAATTTCAATTCTTGTTTATTATTCAAAGCTGGAGTATCAACAATATGGTGATTCTGCTCCAAATTATGGTGAAAATTTCGAGAGAGTTTTTTTAGTGCATGGATCAATTGAAGCATGCATGTAAATAGAAGTGAACAGTAATAACAAATTATCATGCAGTTGTCACAAACCTATTGAATTTCCTTTGCATCGGGTTAGTATTATTATTATCTTGAAACCTAACACCTAGATGCAGATGAACTTATGTTAATGCATTTCTGTAAATGGAATTCTCTTAATGAATTAATTATTTGCTGAGAGAAGCAGCTGAGCATCAAATATTTATTTAAAGGGAATTTTATTTATTCTTTTTCAATTGAAAATAAAAAATTCTCCCTTTTTGTAAATATGATAGAATTAAATAAAAACAAAACAGAAATTGTTGAGGTTATCTATCTCAACATCGGATTTGTTGTTTATATTTTTATACATACACTAGGAATATATTGCGTGTAGAACATTTGATAGCAGGTGGTCTTTACATTTTAGACAGTCATAGTTTTTTGATAGAAAAAAAATTGTCATCAATGGAATAAGCGTCATAATTCTTCGATAAAACCATGGATTAAAAATCAAGAACAATAATTTTTAGAAAAATTCCTTCAATTATTAATTAAAAATCGAATTAAATAATGATACTATTGTTGATATTTTTCAAGAAGAAGTCATAATTATTGACTGTAAAGAATTTTTTAATGACAACTTTGGAATAATAAGGAAAAAAATAAAAGACACATCGTCATATCACTCAACTCTTCTAAAGAAGAAACAAGTGTCAAGGGACGCTTGCACAATTCTTACGTCATCAAAGTCTTTTCTCTTTTTTTCACAAGACAATAATAATTAGCAATGTTTCTACAAGCTAATTATCTTCAAGTCGTCTTCATAAACATTGGCAAACTGTTGTCATTTTACAACAACACTTAAAGTAATTCAAGATAATTCGTTGATTTCAATAAAAAAAAAGACATAAAGTTTTAATAGCAACATAACCTAGGACTCGTAAGCTTTTAACACCAAATTTTTCATGGTTATGCTGACTCAGTTTCGACCAGAAGATCTGGCAGATAAAGTACTATCTACCTAAATTAAAAAATATAAAGTACTCGAGTGAGTTAGACACTCTTTGTCATTCTCGATAAAAATAATTTTCAGCATGACAAGCTTATTATAACGAGCGAAAGAAAGTAATGACTCATTGACGTTGATAAACTATTTAATCATATACATTCTCATGCTTTTATATATTAATTTCAATTATTTTTTCTGCTTTCTATTCAGTGTAAAACATAGAGAAATTCGCAAACTAATTTCTGCTTACGACTTGGAGATTTCATGAGAATGACAAGTGTTCTTGACAAGTTCGACGACATCTGCAATAGCAAAAAACGTGCTCTAAATTGCGATTGAATGTTGGACGAGTTTTCTACATCTAATCTGACAGTTAATGGAAAAAAGCTGATCCATACTTAAAATATTTATCCATAAAATATTGAAAAATATTTCATACACAACTAAATATTTCAGTAATTGATTTGAAAATGACACAAAAGTAAGCACAGATAGAGTCAGATATCCCATTCAGTTTTGTAACATGACTCACCACCCACGCTTGACATTTGATAAACTCATAGCAGGGAACTTGGATGACCATAGAAAAAAATTATATAAAACAATATATAATGATAATAATAATGAAGCGTGGAAAATAGTTCATGAAAGAACTAGACCTGGAGCTATAAATAAACTAGAACAATGTAACACTTACTTGATCAATCTTTAGTTTTCATTCAAGACAAAGTTTCTGAATGAACTGTATCTGACTCATTTCCTTTATGAGCTAATTGTTGTATTATTTAATCACTCAAATAGCTTTATTAGTTAAAAAACAATACTTGTATTTTTGTTTTAACTTCATTAAGAGTGAATTAAATGCTCTTTCATGTTTCCTTTCTTTTTGTTTATATATTTAAAGTCAGTTAGAAATGAATATATAAATGAAAATACTAAAAGAAATTTATTTAACAACGATTGTGAAAATTTATTTAACCAGCAGAATTATCCTAGAGCATTCTATGTAATTAAGGTTGTAGTTTGTAATCTCATGGCTTTTCTGGAAAAGAGATTATTAAAAACTTGAAGAAAGAATTAATATCAGATCATTATTATAAAATTAATTACTTTCCATGTTACATTTTTATTATATCTTTTTTTTTAGAAGAATGAAGATTTATTCCTTTAATGTAATTAGTTTTTATAAATATTTAAACTATTTATTTATAAATTAATGTATTAAAAGCATTATTAATAACAAAGGCAAATAATTTAAATGCAAAAATAGCTGTTATTTAAAATGATTAAAGAATCATGGAATTGAAATATTTTCTCTTCAACTATTTATTCTATATTTTTTTGTAAACAGAATAAAGAAGTTCAATATCAGTGCAGAATGTTTAAATAAATTTTCACCTTGATAATAGTTGTTGAAGATGAAATATTTTTTTTATTCGATTCTGTTGGAAATTCAGGATAATGGTGAAGGAATGATAATTAAATATAGTCTGAATTTATTTCTTTATATCAAAAGTATGAATACTTTACTGAAAATAACTGATTGTGCTGAGAAGTACATCTGTATCCTTTAGACTCTAAAGTTTTGAGAAATTCTTAAGAATTCAATAGATTCACTGTATTATTAAAGTTCAATGAATCAGACATTTTACTTAGAATTTTTATATCATTCTGCGAGCTATTATTTTTAAATTTCAAAATTATTAAATGATTGAATAAAAACAGTTTTCATAGTTGAATAAAACCAATACGAGCAATGACATAAATTCAAATTGAGAGGAAACGTTTGAAAGATGAATATTACCCACAAGTGAAAGATGAAAATATATGAAGAAAGAATTGAAAAAGAAATCAAGTAGATTATCTTTCTTCTCTATTACATTTTCCTGGTGCGCGATTATTATTAATAGTCTGGTGACGTTGGCAGGCGAGACGGAAAAATGACGAAAATATTGAGTGAACGTGACCGCGAAACGTGTGAACTAATTTTGTCACTTTACTCATTGTGATAAAATTGAATGATAAATTATAGAGCAAGGTATTCAACAAAGCAGCTGTATCAGTAATACAGTTTAATGTTGCCAGATTTTGCAGCTCCATTTCATGTATTTTTACTCTTTTTGCAGATAATCTTTTATTCAATTCTCTCATGTGCCATTTATCTCCGGAGGATTTTACGGCAAATAAAACAATGTGTAGTAGCAGGTGCGACTGGAGCAGCCGGCCTTAATGATCAGATGAACAGTCGATGATCAAAGGACACCTGCTAACATCAATCACATTGAGATTTTTTCTTTGTTAGAAGACTGAGCTTATAATGGTGAGATAATTTTTATCAGAAATAGAACATTAACCCACTTAATAATATTGCTAAGATTCTATTAATTTTAATATCTAAAATATATTCATGATTTATAATTAACAGATGGATGAGTACTATCATCTATTTCAACGACTGTCGTCATAATTGTGATCGAGCAAGTGGCTCCCGGATTTTCTTGGCACATAGGCTAACACATCTGCCAAAATTTCGCAAGTCAACTGGATAACACCATTTACTTTGTGACGCAGAATTCACGTTAGAGAAGTGTCATCTGTGAACTAAACCTCGTTTTTCTTCAGTAATGACGTCTTCATATAGTTCATTGTATTTGTTTTACTTTGCCAAGTGTAACACATGTTTTACTTGCAAAAGAACTACTCAAAAATGCAGTTTAATATTAAACTAGTTCCTGGCAACTCAGAAGGCATGCTTATTAATTACAACTGCTGAAGTAATTTACTTTTTTTTAATCCAGATGATGAATATTTTATTCCCATAGGTTTCTAACTAATTCAAAAATTATCTCAACTCTAATTAAAATCATGATCCATGATAAAATAATGAAATCTTTTTTGTGCAATATTTATAGTGATGATAAGCTATTATTGGTCTATTCTACTCTTGCCAACATGGTGATGATGATGATAACTGACGCACGGGAAATACAATTGGAAGGAAAACAATAGAAAATAAAATAGATAAAGAAGAATATGTTCATAGTATATGTTAGAAGAAAAATGGATATTTATAAATAATCATTTTCTAAGAAAAGAATAAATAAGTATGAAAAGCAACAATTTTCTGCCTGGTTCTTGGATCCATGAATGTTCATAACTTCTACGAAAAAAATTGTAACAAGTTTTAAACTATTTTTTAGAATACAGTACATTAATAATATTAATATTTATTAATTAAAAATAATATTTTTTTCAGAATGAAGAATTGTTTAGTAACAAAAATCAAATATTGTGTAAAATGATATTAAAGTAATGGAAGAAACTTTTGCTTTTATAATTCAAAAGTTTATTCACACTTGCGATGCAGAAATTTTCAACTGATCCGATTTAATATCAGATTTAATATCAACAATCTTGACATTATATTTATGAGAAGTATTATTTTTCGATAAATGCAATTTAAATTTCAATTCTTTAACACCATCGTCTTTCTGTTCCATAAATGTTTTGTTTAAATTTTCCAGCAGGATTTGATTTATCCATTGGAAATTGGGCCATATGAATTGGTTGAATACTTGGCCCAATCCAGATTTATATTTGAGTGTGCTGTACTGTAAATCGGCTTTAAATCCCATGAAATAGTATGTTTGTTTATTTTCTATTTTCTTCTTACCAAATACCATATTCACAGTTCGATTCTGCAATAAAATATTCAATTGAAAAAAAATATTAGTCATAAAAGTGAAAAATGGTTCAGGATGATTCATAATTACTTACATTAATCACAATGTCACGATTGTGAGATTTAAGTGAGATGATACCAAGAGGTTCTTGAAATGATTCTTCTGCAAAATTGATTATCATTTTAATATCACTCATTTATATGAGTCAACAAATAATTAGAAAAATGTATTGCAGTTATAAAAATGTCTATTTTAATCATTAAAAAAAATATAATGATCATAAATGAACTTACTGTGGAATAAGAAATCAAAATATTGAATTCCTGCTTTTCTTCTCGCACCAAAACTTAAATTCGTCCAACATATATTACTGACGTTGGAATTAAATTCAATTGATGATGACAATAACAAAATAGCGAAATTGCTGTACAAATAAGTTGAGTGAGTTGGCTGCTGAATTACGTGTGAAACTCGGTAATCTTGATTGTTTCCTCCATGAGAAATAACGATATCCTTCGTGTTAACACTGAAAAATAAGAGAAGTATGTTTGTAGTTTCCCGAAGTAGATTAATAAATTTGTTCCAATTACATGAGAACAATAATTTAAAAAAAAAAACTAACTCTTACTTATTTATTTTATCAGCAAGTGTCAAAACAGCTCTTGGATGAAGAATTACTCCAATATTTAAATGCCAATTGTACATTCTTTCTCTGATGCTTACAATCCACGTTTTATAGTTTAATGCATTACAACATTTTGGGATTTGAGAATTATTTATTGTTGGATTTATACATTTGAATGGTCCTCGGTTTCCGGTGATTGATTGAGCGTTTCCGTGGACCACAAATAGTCCAATTATAATCGTGGATAAAATATTCCTGATAAATTATTAAAAACTTGGATAATTTTGGAACTCAGTAGCTAATAATAATGACTATGTCAGACATAGTGATATTTTATTTAATAGAAATCATTCATTGATTAGTTCTTTTTATGGATTTTTTTTTTAAAACACTTTTTTGATCATCAAATACTTATTGAAATATGATTTCCTTCAAAAATCGGATTTAAAATGATTTGAATAATTGTTAAATAGATCAAAATTATTCTTGAAATGTATATCAAAATACTGGTAAGTTTTAATAAGACTTTTTTATGATGAAAAGACCTTGAAATACATTTTTTACCCCAAGTATAATAAGATCATTCCCTAAATGTGTTCTAGGTCACCACAATAATAAGGGAATCCATTGAAAAATAAAATCAAACACAAATTAAGGATTAATACTTACATGTTAACAATCATATTATGCTTATTGACTTGTGTACGATGACTAAAACTAATTCTCATTGTTAAAAATACAATTGATAGATATGCACTAAACATCCGCCATATATAACTACAAAATATGACATAAATATTATCATTGATCAAATAATCCGAGCCTGATTATCTTGTTCAACATCAGAAGAATTCTTCAATTAGTAGATATCACTAGTAACATCAACGACATAGTTATAATATCAAATTACCACATTATAGACCAGTTTATGATTATTACATTCCATAGAAATTGTTTGAACAAATGGTTTGAATATACTTCAAAGTCAAGTAATTCTTCTTTCAGATAAACAGTGACACTGGTGCTTCATTATCATCGTTATCTCCATATTTATTCTTATTGAATCTTTATTTTTCATAATAGTCGTCATATTTTACATAGCTTAATATAAATATGATAAAAAAAATAACGATAGAAATGATAGTTGATATTCTTATTGAAATTAAAAGATGATAAAATGATCAAAATATGAATATTAAATTCGATAATATTGATATTCTTCTATGACATAAACATCGATTTAAATGATAACTATATTACGTCAATTTACATTTCACGTTTATTTATATTTTATATCAGGTCACAACAAATCGTTGGAGCCAGCTAAAAGAATATTTTGCTTAAGAAGAAAAAAAAAAATACTGTGCTGGAAGTTTGACTTCAAACATGGTATTTCTTCCCTCCTCTTTTAGATACTTGGAAATTTTTTCAACGAATTTATATTATTGGCATTTTTTAGACAGCCCTAAATCTCTTAGATTTATAAGGAATGAGTACAGGAACTTTTAGAAGGTATAGAATTATTGAATGTGGAATTTAATTTCTTGTAATAAATTAAATCTTGTTTAAAAATAGTAAGGAGATTGATTGTGTAAGTTTTATTGATTTTTTGTAATTTATAGCGTTAATTATGCTATGAATAGATGGCTATCATCTTGCTAAACATTCTTTTCATACTTTTAAAGCCTAAATTTAGATGTAGAATATGAAACAGACACTGAGTAGAGTTGAAGTATTTTTTTAAGCCAAGTAATATTTCTAATGGGTTTAACTGCTCCAATAATAAGTTAAAATAATTATTGTAATAATTTATCTCATATTCTTGGTACCATTTTTTATGTAGTTGTATATTAAAAAAGTCATATTTATACTCAATGTGGGAATTAGATGGTAATTTCCAACAGAAAGCAATTTGATAATGTTTTATTTTTTGGCAAGGATCTTTGAGCTCTGAAGAATTGTATTCTTGTGTTAAAAAGAATAATATGCAGCATAAAAGGTTTTTAAATTCATGAAGATTATGTAAACATGTCAAGGAAATACTTTAATCATCTAGACACTTTTTTTCTACTGGTAGAGAGGAAAGGAAATTTGGAAATTCAGAACTGCAACTTTACACCATTAAATGGGTGAGTGTTTGGAATAAAACTAAGTGTCATAAAGAATCTTGTCTTGTGTCTTGAAAAGAATTTATGATATTACAGGTCAAAGACAAAAATGCCATCCTCAATAAGTATTTCTCAGACTTTGACTCATTTTAGCTTTTAAAAACAAAAACTAAAAGTCGATTAAAAATCTTGGACTTTTATTTTCAACTGTGATTCAATCATAAATAAAATTCAACTTTTCGTTGGGTATAAGAATCTTAACAACACTTTGCAATAAATAACATCAATAAAAATTTCCTTTTAAAGCATTTGTGTATTTTTTTTCAGTTTAATGTAAAGATTCATGAGAAGGAGGAAGAAATGTCACATCTTGGATGACATTTTTGCTAATGAATTAAGAAGTTGATGAGAAGAGTTTAGTTGTGTTGGTTCAGAATGCTATAGAATTGAAAATCATCATGAATAAGGTCTGGCACCATCCATGAACATGAAGAATTCTGCAAAATAATAAATATTCTATTAGTAGAAAAGAGTTGATTATAAAATAGTAGACATGATTCTAGTGAAGAGAAATAAAATGGTTTCTTAAAAATCACATATCCTAGATGAGATAGACCATATCTAGAATGAACCAACGTATCTCCTAAACCTGTTCATGAATAAATAAAACTAATTAACTGATTAAATATGAAAATTTTCTACTTTCATTACTTGGTAAAAATTGTTCCAATTTTTTATTGATAACTAATGGACTAGTACTAATTGTATCCACTTGACTGCACCTAAAGAGCATTTAAACCACTAGTCTATGCAACTAAAACAAGAAAGAGCCAACTGAACAAATTTACTCTGGCCTACTAGACAAATAGTAAAGTTTGAAGTAAATAGAAAGTTACATTTGTTGAAGCTAATGCATCAGTGAAGTATTCACGCGTGTGTAGGGACGCATAGAATAATCGTAAGAGGCATTTTGCGGTCGTGTTAATGAGGTCGACAACCCACCGACACTCTGAAGCCCTATGAACAGACTCTAGTTCTATAAGTATCTTCATGTGCTGTCATTTACCCAAGCATTTGTTATACGCTCCCACAAGTGTGATATTCATGAATTGCCATACACACAGCCAACTTTCAACTGGATAACATTTTTTCCAGCTTTCAAACTAGCTATTCCACTACCACTTGGTTTATATCTCCACGCCTTTATGTTGGTGCTTCTCCTCAAGTTCACGCTGTTCTTTTTATCTTTCCCTTGCTATGTCGCGTGGGCGTTCGATGAGATACGACTTTCGACAGCCTAAGTCATCTTGTGTCTGCTGGATACATCGCTAATTCAAGAGGATGACTAATTGTGAAACTCTACATGCCAAACACTGAGTTCAAGTACTCGATGAAAGTTTATTGAAGATCATAAATGATCCCCTTACATGGAAAATTCCTTATCGCAGTATTTATTGGTAGCCAGAAGTTTTTTTTTATGACTTTTAAGGAAAGAGTCGAGAGGAAAGGTTGAATGATGGGGTAAAAAATGAAAAAGTGAGAATTTTGTTCAAAAGCTTTCCTGAGGGAGATTTTAGAGTGGATATGCTCTGATAAAAGTTTCTTCTAAATATTTGATGGATAAAATAGTATTTTAAAAATATATGAAAATAGTATGCTTAAAAATTTTCAATTTTCAGTCAATATTTGTAGATGGTTGATGAATTATTGATTTCATATGATTTATTCGAGTAAACAAAATATTTGTTAATAAATAATAAATTAATTAAATATTAATAAATACTTGTTTTGATTCAATTCAATAGAATCATTGATAAATAAATCTATTATTATTAACAAAAAGTCTTAAGGCATTTAAGTACTTAGTGTTTATGTCAATAATTAGTGCATAAAACATCAAGTTTCTTCATCTTTCTATCATTTTAAAGTCTATAATTCTTTCTATTGATCAAAATTACTAGTGCATGGGAAAAATTGGTCCCACAGATAATCGACTGTGCTATATGCTGTAGGCCAAACAACATATATTAATAATAAAAAAAGTTTTAATAACAAAAATGTGTAATCATGTTACCTAACAATTATGGAAGCTCTACAGAAACATGTATTATATTAAATTATTATTATTAACGCTTTTTTTAAAAATAAAAATACGTGTTATTTTTCTCAGTTTCATTTTTTAACTAAGAAATTCCTAAAGAATGATGAGAATTCCAGTGAATGTATTCAACAATATCTTTTGCTACTTACAAATCAAGAATGACATAGACACTCATGTAGATAATTAAAATAAGCTGTCAAGTCAGCGGATTTTATATCATGATGTAGCACAGCATGTTTTATCACATTGTATTGTGTTGTATGTAAAATTGAAGTGAAGAAAAGATTAACTGTGGACATTTAATTTTGTAGTCTCGAGGCTATTGCCACTAACCTTGGCATCAGTGTGTCAGATAAATGGTGAATACAGAAAAAAAAAAAAATAACACCGACCTTCGAGGACTTGTTTGAAAATCTTATCTCGTTCCTCTGAAGTTTATCCGAGAATTTTGTAACGCGTATTAGCGGTAAATATTCACAAGCTCATTCTACCGTGATGTTATGTTTTGCTTGCTATTTTTTGTTTTAAATTAACTCGCACATATTTTCGTTAAAAGTACAATCAATTAAGCTGAAACAAAAATAATGATGATGAAGAATTGATTCTGAAAATGATTTAATCGTGAGAGCAAAGTATTTTTTTCCATTTAATTACTCATCGCATTGTTATCTTAATGTATATGAATAAATCGATTAGCTCTTTATAATTATTCACAGAATAATGTCCATGTCATTGATGATTTTGAAGTATTACGTGGTGATTTAATTAAAAATAAATCAAGTTAACGCATGGATATTTCTAGTTATGAAGTTAATCGATGATGGTAATATATTTCAATTTTGCTTTATCAAATAGTCATATATAAGCATGATGAAATATGCATCATAGTATGCTAATTAATGGTAACAAATTTTTAAACTTGAGAAAAATATACTTACAATAAAATACAGAACATAGCAATAAATGTTCATTTCTTTCATTCTTAAAATTAAAATACTTATAAATAAAATTAGAATTGGAGTAAATATGACCAGACTTTGGAGTGTTGCTTCCATTTCAAGTTTAACTTCAATAATAATCACCAGATTTTTTTCTCCACATGAACTTGGTATTATTTTGACTTCAAAAACTTCTTCTAAAAATATATTCCAAGTGAAAAATACTTCAAAAGATTCTAATTGCTTGAAAAAATGTTGAAACTCATTATACCAAATCAACTGGTAGTCATCAACTCTGAAAAAGAAACAAGTAAAAATATTTCTAAAATTGCTGTTAGAAAATGTCTAAGTCACTGTTGATCTAAAAGTACCTTCACACATTGAATGAATTATCCCGTCCGAATCATCATTCAGGAATTTGTTGTTAACAAAAAACTCCAGAATATAAGTCCCAAGTTTGTCTTGTGGATTTATATCAGTCGACAGCTGGTAGGTATTTCTGAGATGCTTCTTTTTCTTCTTCTTCTTTCTGCTCATGCACGTGATCTTGTTCCGACAACATAAACCCTAGATCTCTGAGCTCCAAAATTCACCAAGTCTTATATTATTCTGAGGGTTAGTGAGTTTCGTTTCATCATGCATATAGGCCTGGTATAAATCGGAGTGGCATCGCATTTATTATAAACTTGAAGGGGCTAGAAAGAAAGCCGAGAAGGAAAAGGATCGTGTAGTGTAGGGCGTGTTTTACCCTTCTCATAAGCCATCAACCCAAGGCCAATTTGCTCGTGGGTGCGCCCGACTCGATGAATATCCTCGACACACGTACGTTAGTCGCGACGTTTCAAAGTCACTCAACGTAAAGACCACCCAAAAACACGCAATTCTTCTTCATTTTTTCTACAAACTACCTGTCATTATTTATTCACTTTAAGTTTCCCTACGACACTCTCTTAGTTCTACCTCTAATTTACCTTGTTTGCTTTTTTATTCGTCTCGTGAGTAGTAAAGGGACCATGAGAACAAGACTATGGATTTATTTTAATCAAGGTTTTTAACTAATGAAACGAATCATTTATTTATCAATACTCAGCACATTGTGATCTTTATTCTCAAGCTGGATAATTTGCTGAGCCGCTGATAAATCAATTTGAAACATTCCTACTTCTTCATTATTTATTTCTAATTTTAAAAATTAATTTATCCTGATATTTAATCATTCATTTAGTTTTTATTATTATTAACAGTAATTAATAATAACAATGTGGATTATTAATGTACATTAGTAGTTATCAATAAATTAAATGTACTAATAGATCATTAATCTATATTTGAAAATAAATACTACCTCACATTTCAAATCTAAAATTAATATTCGTTAATATCATTTTAAATCTATAAACATCATCTCCAACATTTGTTAATTATATTTTTCAGCACAATTAAAAATTTGGTATTTAATACGATGATTAGATATAAATATTGATAATGTTTTTATATAATTATCAGATGGATAATAACATGTTGGAACACAAGTGAAGTTTAGATTGATTTAATCTTCAGTTTTTGTGAAATCCGTAATCAAACCCACGATTTCCCGTAACATGAGAACAAATATATTCTTGGCTGTTTCTATTGTAATTATGCACACATTAATAAATTATGTACATTGTATATTGCGAATAATTATATAACTTTCGATATTGCATACATGGGTTTGCTAAATTATTAACATTGTTGGTTTACATAAATTAAAAAGTAAATTCTTTGTAATTAAAAATTTTTGATTGGTTTTTGAATTAATGTATTATTTGTTGGATGTTTTTTTTTTAATTAATAAATAAATGAGTTTTTGGAAATGATAAAAAAAATGAGCTCAATTGTATTTCTTAGTAACTGTTAATTTATAGAGTAATTGACAAAATTTTAATATCATTTTGATCACTTTAGCAAGCCACCCCCAACGACCTTTTAATTCCCTCGTGTCATAGGGGTAGTGTCGTTAGCTATTTATATGTATTCTGGAGGTCATGGCGTGAGCAAAAAGAATAATTGCCAAAAAGCTGCTATTAAACGTCAATAAAAAACGCATTAAACATATTAAAGACTCCACAAATAATGTGTCGAAAAAAAAATACCAAAATTTTCAGTTAATGTTAAACAAAAATATAATAAAAATAATATTTATATTTATCTCAGACAAAATTTTGTGAAAATGTAAAGAAACTACTCGTTAACGTAAAATGCAAATGAAGGTAAACTACAAAAAAAACTTAATTAAAAACATCAGACAATAGAGATAAAGAAGTTGGTAAAAAGATTAAAAAAAAAAATTATTTTTTTCACTAACTTTGTGAAGATTCTCTTCTCTTATGTTTTTTACTCTTCCATTTTATTTCTTTCCAAGCGGATTATCTTTTCTTCACTAACATTCTAGAGTACAATATTAATATTCAACAAACGCTACGCTTGTTGAGCAAAGAATTCCATGTGAATTCCTTGGCAAGCGATCCAACAAAGAAAATCGGTACTTCGATCTTACTACGAAAGGGAGAACCTGGAGATTGAAGTAAAGAAGTTAAGAAAACGAAGAATGCTATATGATGTTAATCAAGAAGATTGAGTTGATTTCTTTTCTGTGAAAAACCCGTCAAAGACTAAAGAATGTTTTCCTTTGTCATACAAAGACTTTTCTGTATTATATTCTGCTAAGTTGATGGAGAAACCCGTTATTCAACGATGTTCATTAACATTTACAATTAACAGCGTAAAAACACCAATTTCCTTTCAACTATATCTTGATGCTGATCTTTTAGTTTTTGTCATCATTTTTTTTATATAAATGCATGCCTAATGATAATCCATGTTGATTCTGCAAAAAATTTAATTAATATTTTAATTATTAATCCAAGAGTTGAAAGAAGAATATTCAAAACTTACCAAATAATTTTTTTTGGAGTTAAAAATAATTCAATTTCATGGTTTAATACTTGGTATATAATATGTTGATTATTCAAACTCTTTTATGAATTTTTACATTTTTATTTTGTAGAACATCAAAATTAATTTTAAAAGCTTCAATGAAATGTTGGAATTTTCTCAATCAATTAAACCACGAAACTATTGATAAAGTATCTTATCAAATTAAATACAAATATTTCACTTAGTTGAGTTTGCAGCAAAATGACGACTCCAACCATTTGAAAACTTTATCAAAAAGTTGTTGTTAGAAATAAATATTTGTTTATTCGTTATATTTTTCCCTCAGGGGATCATCAATTTTAATTGGATAAATTTTTTTATTACAGACTTTTTTTTATTAAAAAAACTTCATTTTTTTCAATACACTTGCATTTTTTTCATGAAAAAATATTTCCTATATTTGCATGATTGAATTTATTTGCACTAAAAATTGTGCATTCATTTATTTTTATCTAAAAAAAATCCCAAAATAAATCCTTGTTGTTAATTACTCCATTTTTAAATCTCAATTTATCATAACCTCTTTATTTCGTGTCATTAAAAATAACAGCATAAACAACATTTCCTGATAATTTTTTTTTCAATTTTATCCATATCATTTATAAATATTTTATTGTTTATAACTGCTGTCCAATGTTTCGTTCTATTTTTATGAATATCAAACATTTGAGTAACCTCAAAATCCATCAATATTCCAAGATTTCACTTTTACTATCCTTGATTTATTATCGAATTTTCCTGACATCACGTGTAGGATGCATTAAACAAATGCTCTATATAATCATTAAAAAAATCCCCGAGTTCAGTGATATTTAGTGATAGTTTGTATATGGGCGTCATTCGACCCTCGCATTCCACACGAGGTTATTTGTTACGCCACGTGTTTTATAACGGACAACTACAATTTATACGTCTTAAATTGATATAAAGTGTAATCAAGTCAAACGGCCTCGAGCAAAAAAGGGAATGTATGTGAGTTATTTTTGTATATATTGAATGAAGAAAAAGGAAAAGAGATGAAAGATAAATATAAAAACGATGAAGTTTGAGCTTGGACTCTTGAGAAATGATCATCAGTACTCGAGACTTCTTGATAAACTAGTTCGAGTGATATAAGAATATTAATTTGTCTCTTCAACTGACAATTCAACTTTACTCAGACATCTTATATCGAAGCTACCTACTTTGACTTTGAAATTACCATCAAACTTTTTTGATTCCCTTCATAAACTTCTCTTCTTACAGACTAGGCCAAGATTCATTCAACTTTTCTTATCGTTACTATTTTTTCTAAGAACAATAACGTCTCTATGGTTAAAGCTGATGCATATTCATAGAATTTTATTAAATATTGAAAGCACCAAGTTGGTGGATGAATTATTTCAAAATTTTAGAATATTAAATAATGTTTTTGTAGATTGTATAATAATTTGAAGTTAATCATCTTCAGTTGGTCAATAATGACATATTCATAAGCTTTTTCATTGCTTTAAAGTTAAACTAAGTTGGTATTAATAAATTTATTGAATAAAACTTCATAATTAAATCGCTAAAGACCTCTTTTAAGAAGTGATTTGAACGTTTGATTGAAATTCAGACCACGAATTTGACTTGATTAAATTATAACCAAAAAAATTAACGCTTTTTTTCAGTTTAAAATTTAATTTCCGGGTGAATAATCTACAACGTGTTATCATTTATGCATGAAATCAAGTTAGAAGTATTAAAACCTTTTTAAAAACTACGGAACTTTTCACCAAATAGCAACGATTTAACATTAAAACAAGTTTTAGAAGAAATATTTTTTCTACTTTTTTTTTTGAAAAGAGAAATATATATCTGATGTTTAAATATTTATAAACTTTTATTAAAACGCAGAACTAGATCCAGCTACTTATTTTCTACAGCTAAAAGGATTTTTAGCAATAAATTCCACTTTTCTACAAAACTTCCTACTTTTCTTCAATCCCTTTTTAATGTTAATAAATAGAATTAAAAGCCCAGATGTAATACCTATGTCTTCAATAATACCTGCTTGCATTTTAATTTTAATAATCCATAAACTGTGCACTTTATAATGAAACATAAAATGTTGTAATTAAATTATTAATAAAACTTTTGATATTTATTTTTAAACAAAACCTTTTTTATTAAATTATTCACCAAAGCATCCATGAACATCATTCGTTGCAAATGAATGTTTATATATCAGTATAAATAATTGTTGTTATTACTCTGTAGTTTATGATTCTAAAAAAATGTTAATTTTCATAAATTTTATAGTCAATTAGTTTTAAGGTTTCGTAATGATAATTTCCATTGTTTAGTAAATGAATAAATTAAACTTGATCTGAATGTTAAATGAAAACAAAAAAAAAAACGAAAGATTTTCATCGACTTCATCCTGCTCCGCCCACCTAATTTTCAAAAATTCCAAGGCCTATCCTATTCTGCCCCAAACGATCTCTAATAGTTTTAAATGTTCATTTCTTTTCATCCAATCTGACAAATGCAATATTCATTGTTGTTTTAAAATCCCAAAAGCCTAAATGTTTTTATTCGAATAAAAAAAAACTTAAAGCTCATTAAACAATCAGGTCCTTATCAACATTCCAAGTCATTACCCTACAAATTTATTCCTACAATAAAACCCAACTAACAAAATTTTGTTATTTTCTGCTTATCTTTCCCAAAACATCGCGGAAACACTAAAACTAAGTGAAATAAATGTACATGTACCATGCAGACCTCCATAATCATCCTCACCATCATCATTATTAAAGAGAAGAGACCAAGCTGTACTTTGTCAACTTCACCAAGCAAAAAAAAAACCAAGTCAAAAGGGCTTGGCATATTTAACCCTGAAGTAAGTTTAAATAAAAATGATGATGTGTTTCATGAACTGTTGAATTCACCAAGTGCATGAGTGCAATGGCAGGTATCAAAGTGCGTAGCTTGGGTTCAAGGCTTTCAAGATTTACCCATGTATTTGCTAAGGTGGTGGACGGAAGTGTAAATACCATACGAACGTTCTGGTCTGGTAGGTACATACTACTGAACTGTAGCAAGTACTTCAAGGGCGTGGAGACGGGTTTTTATTAGTGAAGGAATATTTAACATTACTGCATGATATCATGGACAAGTACTATAGCACTTAAGAAGCTACATTCCATTGATATCTGCTGGCAACTGAAATAAATGATGGCTCGTTAGTTTCCGGATACTTGGTAACAAATTACTCTCAGCCACACAAGAAAAGCCTAGAAGAAGAAGAAGAAGAAGAAGAAGTTATAAGCACCATTCTAGGTGACTAGTGCCTGACTGTTTAATATGATGATTAATCAATTCATAAGAATTAGCATCATTGAAAAACTACATAACACGAATCATGATTAATTGCATCAACTATTCAAAAGGACGAATGATATAAATGTTATGTAATGTACACAGTTTAAAGGTAAATAAACAAAGATTTAAATAAAATAGCACCTAATCGATTTATTGCTAGCCAATTGGCTTTATTCTGAAAGATAAAGAACCTTACAAGTTCTATTTTCATGACTATTACATCACGCCAAGTCCTTTCACTCCTTTTACACGATGTCTACAGCAAATCGCTGATATACCAACTTTGAAAGGTCTCTGAATATTTCTATGAAACTATGCATACACGTTTTATTAAACTAGCAAGTTTTAAAAAAAACCGGTAATCGACTTTTAAAATTTCATTATCATGATTTAATTTTATTAGAAAGTTGCTATGAGTAATTATTACTACCATGCTTCACTTTATTATTTGAATTCTGTGAAAAATATTGTCATTGATTAACAGTTCAAGGAGGATCATCTCTAGAATGGTTATTTAATGATGAACTTCATGAGATTATTAATTATTTTTATCATCTCTTCGCATAACTGATAGATTAGTTATTTATTTAGACGTCTGAACTCAAGTCTAGACAAATAATGTGAAGCTTGAGTTTGATAAGACAAAGCAGTTTAATTTATTTGTACCATTTAAATAATTGTATATATTTAGGAAATGTCAGAGTAATAATACACAATTATTCACTTTCAGATGTGTTCTATTTAAAGGTTTTTATTTTAAGCCGATTGTCGGATTTGTGAGGTGTTTAATAAGAAAAATGGAATAGATGCCAGAGGAAAGTTTTTTCGATGGAAAAAAGAAACTAGAAGCTTTTTAGGATCTTGAAGAGCGAGGATTAAAATGGATTAAATTGATGGAGTTAATCTAAATATTAATGCTAATTAACTTACATATATTTTTGAAAAACTAATTAGTGGAGAGAGAAAATTTATATTTCATTTATATTAAAGTAAAAAAGTAATTTTAGCTATAAATTTATTCTGGAGCTGTTGCAGATGATGAAATTGATTAACAGTAAAAATTCTATCTAGTGTAATAAAAATCATTGTTTTCATTTTATGTCTTTCTCATATCATAATAATAATATTACATCATTTTTATCACGTCAATTTTTTTCAGTAGCTTTCATAAGAAATACTCTCTCACGTACCATTCACTATATTGTTCAAGGATTGTAAGAGTAAACATCTGAGAGTAATTCATTTCGATTTAAAAGAGTCTTCTAGACAGCACGAAATAGATCTAAACCATTTTTGTCAGGTTTAGATTCCTTTAAATTGTTCAAATATCTTAAAAAATTTATACCGTTTTTGCTGGTTTTAAATTTTTATTTAACTGTAAAAGTTTTGCCAAAATTTATTATTTATGTGTCTGGATAAAAAAAAAAAAAAAACTTACCAAACATAACCAACAATAACATCTTCTCTTGAAAATATTTCTCAATAATTATGCTTCATTGAATGCTTAATTGATGATTACAAGAATATTTCCAACATTTTATTGCAAATTTAGTTATTTTATAATCAAGACAAACAAGTTTGCCAACTGTAAAAATTTAATATTTAAAATTCATTTTTTACAATGGCTGGTTATGAACCCAGTTTATAATATTTTCAAACTAACCTTATTATAAATAATTATTTCTACTTAATCATAATACAAGACGTCATTTATTATCTGACGTAAAAATTAATTTTCAATTAAAAAAAATATTTTTTAATTTTCAATTTCAATTAAAAGTATAAAAATATGGTTTTTTAATGATCTACTTGTTAAAGTATTTAATGACTTATATAGAATCTCAATCATAAAATAATCATGTTCAAAAGTCGAAAATTAGGACAAGGTTAATTTTTTTAGATAACTTTCAATGCTATTTTTATCAATTATCTCTTTTCAATGAAAAAAACAACCTTTTCTCTCTGATGGATTCATTTTTTTTTCTTTTATAGCATCTAGACTCTAGAATGCATTTGATGGTGGGTTCCAACTTCCATTCTTCGTCATTATGAATAATCTATAAGACATGTAGGAGGAAGAGGATTGGTAGCAAAAAAAAATCCAACTCGTTACTTTCCTTGATGCTGAAAAATTTACAGAATAATATGATGTTATATGATAGATGATGTTGAATAGCATTTTCTGTTGGTTTTATTGATGAAGAGTTGGACAGGTCTTCAAATATGTGATATGAGATTCATGAGTATGAATTTTTGTTGAGGAAGAATAAATCGGCCTCTTAAATCTTCTAGAGACTACTCATATATTGATGTAGGTTATTTCTCTTTCAGTTAATAGAAGCACTGTATTGGAATTTCATCTGAATGTGCTATGTCCTGCACATACATCATGACATTCCCTAGTGGTTGATGGCTACTGTAACTAATGACATCAAGTTGACTAACGGCGGATTTCGATCGAACTGTATTATGCAGTATATGTACATATAAACGAGGATGTCTCGTAGGGATATATGCCATGATTTACTGAAGTTCCCTTCGCTTAATTGTGATGAGGAAACTCTGAAGTTTGTATCAAACTATTATGACTATCAACTGCGTCATATCAGACTTCTCAACTTTAGACTACATGATGCAATGGATAGATACAAAATAAAATTAAGGTGAAACAAAACCTTGATTATGACGAAATCATCAGATGCATGTGGACTTGACATTACCACTACTCTTTTAATATGTATTAAATTACCAACAAAAAAAACCTGTTTGTATCAATCATCATTCAGATTCATTGAAGGTTTGTTATTGAAATCTATATTTATGATAAAAAAAAATTATTTATTCATTGATTAATTTTATTTTCAATAATCAAACCCTTTTTCATATTTTTCTGAATGTTAAGTCTAATTTTATTCAAAATTTATTTTGAATTTAATGAAGTTACTTTTGTTTATTCTTCAGAATATTTACAAGTACCTTCTACCGATCATTAACATGGTATATATTTGGTTACATGTTAATAAAAGTGAAATTTTCTACTCAAAAAATATAAATGTGAATTTTAGAAAGTATTTAATTAAAAAAAAAAGACTCCAACTCATTAGTCTTTTTATGTAATTCTCTGAACTATATTTTTTATCGAAAAGAGAATATTGGAGTGTATGAATAATAAACAGGAAGATAAAAATTTGAGAGTTGTTTTGACGACAATGAATAAATTTCTAAAATTAAAACTCATCTTATCGAGGTGATAACCCACGTAGAGTTAATGAAAAATATAATGAAATAAATAAATTAAAAAAAAGTGGGAGTTATTCATTTAGTTCATGCATTATACATATTTGTATGTGACATGAAAATGAATAAGTATTTGAAAGTAAATTTATATACTTGGTTAAATTTTCTTTCGCTAACATTTTTTACATTAAGACCACAACGTTTGTACGCACACCACGTCGACAGACCCTCCACCAACACAACTCACCACGTGGGAATTTATGGTCGCACAATTTTTTTATTATGTACGTATCTATCAATTATAAAGATCAGTTTTCAGCCACAGAGTATTTCCTTTGGGATTTATACCAAAGCTTAACTATCCGAGAATCAATAGAGCTAGAATTTTTTACAAAATAAACTTGGTAATTTTTGATAAAATTCTGGAAAACTGTGTGTGCACATGTTACAAAATTTATCTGTGGACAAAATCTGATTGAAACTGGTGCACCATTATGCTCTAGGGCTTTCAATAAAATGTTTCTTCAAAAGAAATCAATAAAACGATTTCAAGAGAATAAAATGTTGATATTTATAATTATAATAGTCTCTAAATTCATTCAATTTCATTTAACTAAAATCATGTATTATTCAAATTCAATTAAATCAATGAAAATCTGTTGACAAATTTAACTACACAATGGGCTTGAAAAATAAATCTTTTAGTTTATTTAATTATTATTATTATTATTATTCTCAATGTTCAATTAAATACTGTTATTAAAAACACAAAGAGAGAGAGAGAAATGTTCAAACATATGCTTAAACAAACATAGAGAATATGAAAATTGTTATGAAAGTTTGCAAATTATAATAATCATGTTTTAATCAGGAAATTGCTACAAAGAGATATTTAAATGAAACTTTATATGTTTTTGTTACCCAGAATTTTCTCTCCACATTATAATATTATCCTCGAGAGATAGTTAGTTAAAATAATTGAGATTTTTATTCTGATGGATTTGCATTATTTTACCTTTTAATGAACACAGAAACTTTTTTCCCCCAAAAAAAATTATTATATTCATCATAATTATGATTACTCTACAAGAAAAAAAAGCTGAAAAATTTTTTTAAATTCATCTAGAATATTTCTTTCAAATCTCTAATGATACTTGACAGCAACAAAATCAATAAAACAAAAATTGCAGAGATGCAATTCTATTAATGTCGATGAAATTTAAAGAGAAAGTGTTGGAAGTAATTAGAGAATAGTTTGGAATTCCTAAAGAAGCATTATAAATTGTTCCAAGTATCAACAACGGATATGATCACCAAACATTTGTATCCTAAAAGCCACCAAACAGCAGTATGAATATGCCACAAATATGCACACGTGTACAACCAATGCGTTTCGCTTGCGTAGATACGAACACCCGTACCACATGGTACGATCTAAGACAGCAAACCGTGTGCATTGCCATTGCGTAACCTTCTTGTGGTCGTTCAAGGTAGCCTTGATGGATGGGAAAGGTATGCAGAAGTTGACAAGTGTATAGAACTATATTTACATGCTTTTTACAGAATTTTCAAATGAAGATCTACGTAAAGAATTCACATGACAATCATTTATTCTCACGAATTATAACAGAGAATATTCAAGGTAAATGTACTAAGCACAAAGGAAGCTTTTGAAAAAGCAAATATCATTTTTTCTGTCAACTTTATTCTATTTTAACTCAAATTTAGCTTGTACTTGACACTTTGAACTTTAAATTAAAACATTAAGTCATCAACTCTACTATTTTCTCGTTAGCTAAAAGCTAAAAATGTTGAAATATCAAAGACTGAAATGAGTTGAAAGTATTTTTGGAGGAAATAATACCTTTTACAATGAAATAAAATTTAAGTACCTCGTAAAATATGAAAATTATCTTTTTTATTGAAAAAATAACTGTTAAATATCTTTATCAGCTTGATTAAAGTTTCTTTTCTATTATGATGTTCATTTTATGACATTTAATATGATCTTTATTCTTATTTAACTTAAAATAATTGCTATAATAAAAAATAAAAGAACAAATACTGCTATTAGAAATGGTCATAAGAATTAAAATTCCTGATATGATGTTGAAAAAATCAAGTATTTACGTCAGTGAATATTCGAGAAGATGCAAAAACACTTGATAAGGATGAAACGTGTTAGAATAATTTTCTATTAATTTTCTCTCTGTATATAACAAGGTTTAATTACCGTGAAAAAGTTGATTGTTTAAAATTATATGCTATTAAGTCGGTCAGATTCTAACGTTACCTCAATCATTTTCGGAGAATAATTGAATCGCACGTTTACGTCTTCAGAAACCTTATGAGTCTCAATAACACACGGCCTTTTAAAAGTATTACGTATTTAGTAAAAACAAAAAAAAAATAATAATCTAAAAACTATGCTTAATGAGACCAATTAGAAATGATATTATCATGATAGAGATTGTTAAAAGTGTAAATAGTTAGGTTTTTCTGTAAGTATGTTATCGCTGGTGAGTGATGGTGGGAAAAAAGGGGAGTTACGGAATATTTGATTAAGAATAATTACAGATGGAATACGTGAGTTGTTGGTTAAATCATTTAGAATTTGAAATAAACTACGAATCAAACCCTTCGCTGTTTAACATAATCGAGTAATTACTCTTCTTATGTATAAAAGCAATTGCGCAGCAAGATGCTTCTTTGATCAATCTAACTAGGCACTTGATAACATTTCTGTTGAGCTGTTGTAATAAATTACTCTTCATCATATTAAATACTAAAATTTATCTAAAGATTTTTTAATAATAAAAATGAACTCTGTGACAAATTGTTTTTAAAACTCTGATATTTGTAAATTATTTTACAAATATATATGTTCTCATAATTTAGTTATAAAATAATTAATTAATTAATCAACTTATAAAGTAAATAAAAAGAATATTTACGATACAGAAGACGTCTATCATTTCCTTATTTTATTTCTTTCTGTTTGTTTCTTCCGTTTTGTTGCTCGTTACTTCGTGTTGGATCTTCTTCAATTCTCATTTCTATTTTGATTTCCGCATCACGCACCCAGAGAGATCTAAATTTCAGGATAAGTTTTAATTAATGAATATTTATTGAGATTTATCGTCATAATTTCTTTAAAATTAATTGCAGTTTTATTCTGATTTTATAATACTTTAGAAACTTTTGTTGAAAAAAACTTACTTTAAGTAACAAGTAATAAATATAAAAGCATTTATCTAATTATTATTATTCTTGAAATAAAAAATAATAAAACATTCAAGTTCTTAATGAATACAAAAACGATACAAAAGCTTAACTCACGTCAATTCAAACATTTATCGTTTCCTGCTTCCTTTATGTCCTTTATCCTTCCTTCTATTATTTCGACCCCTCTTTTTTGCTTTTAATTTTCGCTGCTTCAGAATCTGCTCAGGTCTCTTTAACTCATCCTTCGCCTTTTCTTTTTCCTTCATTTTCTGATTATATCGCTGCCAACGACTCTTTGGCCCTGTATAGAACAAGAATAAAATAAAAATAGATTTAATCAATGTAATGATTTGTTGATTGATAATAGAATTAAAATTTTCGTCAAGTACCCGGAAATATTTACATTGGCGAAAGTTCAACGAATAGGTCTTCACTCTTTTCTATTTTAAGAGTCACGATGACTGAGTATATTTTCTTCTCAATTATACACTGTCACACGTGAACATTCAGCATCTTAAATATGCAAATTCTTCAAATGATTTACACCGAAATATTTTGTCAACATATTTGCCAAGGTTTTGTGTTTCAATTATCTAATAATTCAATTTAATTTCCGTATTTTCAAATAAAAAATTCCGATTTATTATATACTATCTCACGAACAACATCTCTCATTCTACCTGCCACAGACAAGGTCGAACTTTTCCGCAGAATGTTTTTAATGATCACTATCTAATCAATAGGACAAAAAAACATGAAAAAAGTATGACGATTAACAATGTTTGGACACGCTTCGTTAGATCATGAAAAAAAATATATAGAAAATATTTTAAAATTGATAACATATAAAAAATAAAATCCGAAAAATAATTGTTGACTCGTCACGCAAATATACAATAAAAAAAAAACCTACATGAATTTGATAACGAATTCTTAATTGATAAATTTTTACGAATAAATTACCATCAATAAAAAGGCTTTGATTTTTTAGATTCATAAAAATGACATAAAGATGATGAGAGCTGATGAACTAAATCAATGGGTACGTTATAGTCAGTTGGCTAAGGTCATTCTAGAATTGCATTAAGAGTCATACAAGATATTCGAGCACGTGTGCATCTAGCGATAAGAGAGTATGAACAAAAAATTAATCCAGCCTCAACGATAAAGCAGGCTTTATTGAAAGACACTTAATTGCGGGTTTAAGACCGTTAAGTTAACGAGTAACGGTCATGGCTGATTTTTCAATGTGAAATTCTAGTGGTGCTTTTACAAAGCCGGCTTATATTTTACGAAGTTGGAGCTTCCTGGTCGGTATAATTCTTACGACTTGGCAAAAGTCGTGATCAAATAAATTAGACCGATGGTAGATAGATCAATGACCCGTTTCCTGTATTTAACTCTCGCGAGATTGGACTTGAGTTGCATCAATTTGTAACAGAAGTACAACCAGAGTAAAAATATCCTTGACTCTTCCCCGCGCTCTCATTACGTGTATTACTCAATTAACAGAGCCGTCTGGTCTGCTACAATCACTTCCATCATTCAAATATCAACTGAATAACTCGGTGAAATAACGACTGCTGCGCAAATTCTTTAATATCAAAAGTTGACATACGTATCATCATCAATTACTTACAGCCATCTGACTTATCCTCATTTTCATTATCATCACTTTCATCATTATTGCTTTCCATCTTTGATTTTTCCTTCCATTGAGCATACCGGTTTGTTTTGTAGGATGCAGAGATCCATGTACCACTCTCTGTTCGAATTTTTCCAGCCTTAGAATTCTGTTATAAAATAACGTTGTATTAATATTCAATATTATTATGTCTAGTCAGTTATAAAAATTCATGAGTATCACGTACATTGTCTACAGTTATCATTTTTTTCTTCTTTCTATCCCATTTTTTTATTTGTGTTTGCAGTCTCCTTGAATCTTCATTATCCACATCCAAGTCCATTTGCACTCGTTCTGCATCGGTCATAAAATTATTTACAGCAAGTCTAAGTAAATAATTTACATTAAATTAATACATAAAAATCGTATTCATAATTAAAGCAACTATAAAGATTGCGAAAGAATTTTTTTTACCCTTCTTCTGTATGTTTATCAGGCGCAGCATAAGGAATATAAAATTCCTCGTCTTTTACACTAGCCTTCTTCTTTTTTTTCGTAGGCTTATATAAATCATCCAACTTTCTCTTTTTTGGAGTAATTATTTCATTGAATGCAGCATTTATTTCATCAGTACTACTTTTAGCTAATTTTAATTTCTTCTCAGCAGCATTGGTAACTTTTTCAGAAGTCTCTTGTCTTTCAGCGACTTTTTGTTTAAAATTCATAATAACATCTTTGTGGAATGCTCGCTTGGCTTTCATTACTTTATAATCAGTTGATGAAGGTTTCTTGCATATTTCAAAGACAGTCTGCAATCACGAATAAAATAGTTAAGTATTGAACGACTCTGTCATCGATTTATCTTCAGAAAAAATTTATGACTTACTCCAGGAGGTCTGTAATTTTTCATCTGTGATAAAATACTAGCTGTTTTTGGAGCCATATCTGAATATTCGGGAATGACACCAGCATTCTTAATATCTAATTCTTTAGCTCTTCTGACACTATCTGTAGATGCGCCTGGCCTTGATCTCAAATATTGTTGATACGCATTTTTACATACATTTTTCATATTTTGCTAAAAAATTAAAAATATAAAAACGTTACTTATTTATTCACATAGATTTAGTTACTTAAAATATTATCAATTTACCAAATCTGTGTGAGTATCATGCCAAATAATTAGTTCTGAGAGTTCCTGTTCTATCATAGATTGAGGAAAACTACCAATTGCTCCCTCAATCATTTTTTTAGATCCTGTGGGTGGAATAATTGTAAGTGGGAGGCCTAGAAATAGATGCAGATCCAAGAGATATGGGTACTCATCGTTGGATACTATACTGTAGGCGGTTCCAGTTCGTCCAGCACGAGCACAACGTCCTGAATGATTTTTTAATGTTCAATTATTTTATGCAGAAAGCTTAGATTCGTTTAGATATAAAAATTAATTCAGTAGTTAATCAAAAATTTACTAACCAACTCGATGAACAAAGAGTTTACTTTTGGCGGGGAAATTAAAATTTATCACATTATCTAAATGAGGAATATCAATTCCTCTAGCAGCTACATCTGTTACTATCAATACTTTGACTTTATTCGACTGAAATTTCGCTGCATTTATTTTACGTGCAGTTGCATCTAAATTCGAATAAATGAAAGTATTGCTTATATTAGCATGATCTAGAATCTAAAGATGAAAATTGATTAATTAATTCATTCCTTCATTTTTAATTATTTGATAACCAAATTAATCATTACCATATGAAGATATTCAACATGATGCATGGTACCAGCAAAAACAACTGTTTGTGAATCCTCTTTAATGACATATTTCAATAAACACAGAAGAACTGCTACCTTTTCTTCTAATCTACAAGAAATAAATGATAATTTCAGCTCATCTGGAAGTTTACTTTCTACGTCCAGACGTATCAAAATTGGATCACTAAGTCCTGCTTTAGCAAATTCCACTAAAACTTTTGGTAAAGTGGCAGAAAATAAGAGTGTTTGCCTGTTCTCTGGAAGTCGATTTGTTATTTCATGAACTTGTCCTCCCCAACCCATTTCGAAAAGCCTATCAATGAAATAAATAAGTAATCATTTATTTTATAACATTAGAAAAAATATGTACTGCATATGATAAATAACGTACCTATCAGCTTCATCGAAAACAATATACTCTATACTATCTAGGCTAAGATCCATTTCCACACAAATGTGAAGAAACCGTCCAGGAGTAGCTACAATAATATCTGGATTTCCATGAATTGCTCCAAATTGTTCATCCATGCTATCACCTCCTAGTACCACAGAAGCTTTAAGATCAGTAAATTTAGCAAGTTCCTTAATGAACTTCATTGTCTGAAGAGCTAATTCTCGAGTTGGCGATAAAATTAATGCTCTAGCCCCCGTCTTTGCTTGTCTTGTTTTTAATCTTTCAAACATTGGAATTAAAAAGCAGGCAGTTTTACCACTGCCAGTTCTAGCCATAGCAACAACATCTCGGCCTTCTAAAGCTAAAGGAATTGTCTGAAATAAAATTAATCATTTGACATAACAAGAACAATAAGATTTAGAAGAAGTATTTGACTAATTAGTATGTTTTAAAAAATTAATTACTTTTCTTTGAATAGGTGTAGGAATTTTATAACCCCTTTTCAAGATGCCTTTTAGTACAGGATAACTCAACCCCATTCCTTGAAATCCTCCTGATTTCTTTGATATCTTTTTTTTGTGACATATTTCGTTATCTTCATCATCGTCAACTTCTTCTGGATTGGCAAATCCAACTATCTCCGAATTTTTCATTTTCACTTTTTTATTTCGGATACTTTTGTTTGGTTAGGAAATAACACGTGTTGACATCAACAAATATTGTCTTCTTTTAAAAAAAAAAATTACATTTGCACTAAAATCACGTCAATAGAATTCCTCTCACTACGCCATTTTGTCTACTTCCACGTCAATGTCCTTTAGAATGTTTGCATGGTAACAAACTGTCATACCGTCTGTAGGTATAGGATCAACATTTGTTTTAGTTCAACCAGATCCATTTTATCCAGATGGCGACACTTACGGTTATACATGCGATTTTCCTATACCTTCCTATAGAAAATCATACAGCATTTATGTCCGGTACTGTACTCAGTTAGCTCCTGACGCTCTTCAGAAAAACAACTCAATCAGAATCGTTTAAAATGGCGGAAGGAAAGTCACGCCGTGTCGCCCAAACAGAAGATTTATCAAACGTTGAATTTGAAACAAGCGAAGATGTCGAAGTTATCTCCACATTTGATAATATGGGACTTCGTGATGAACTTCTTCGAGGAATCTACGCTTACGGTGAGTTACAATATCAATACTTTGTTAAACGAATCATCCTAACCTCAAAGCGTTTGATGGTTGTTTTTTCTCACAATAATTTTGTTTCATAAATAATCATATTTTTACCCATAGGTTTTGAAAAACCTTCTGCTATTCAGCAACGTTCAATTAAACCTATTATGAGGGGAAGAGATGTAATAGCACAAGCACAATCAGGTACTGGAAAAACCGCTACATTCTCCATATCAATTCTACAATCCCTAGACACGCAAGTACGTGAAACACAGGTATTAGTTTTGTCACCAACTCGTGAATTGGCTGTCCAAATTCAAAAAGTTATCCTGGCTTTGGGAGATTTTATGAATGTACAATGTCATGCTTGTATTGGTGGTACCAATCTTGGAGAAGATATTCGAAAGCTTGATTATGGTCAACATGTTGTTTCTGGAACGCCTGGCAGAGTTTTTGGTATGTTTCCATTTGCATTTGTTCATCTGAACTAAGTTAGTCAATGAATCATTTTATTCGTTCTAATTATAATTTTTAATCCTATTTATATTTTCAGATATGATTAAAAGAAGAGTTTTAAGAACACGAGCAATCAAAATGCTAGTACTGGACGAATCTGATGAAATGTTAAACAAAGGTTTTAAAGAACAGATCTATGATGTCTATCGATATCTACCCCCAGCGACTCAAGTGGTTTTAGTATCAGCTACATTACCACATGAAATTCTTGAAATGACGAGCAAATTTATGACTGATCCAATTCGTATCTTAGTTAAACGGTGAATATTTTATTGTAAAAAATGTATAAAGGTATCAATTAAGCACTTACTTAATTTTATTCATTTTATTTCTAGTGATGAATTGACTCTGGAAGGCATCAAGCAATTCTTCGTGGCGGTAGAACGTGAGGAATGGAAATTTGACACACTTTGTGATTTGTATGATACACTCACCATCACTCAAGCTGTTATTTTCTGTAACACAAAACGCAAGGTTGATTGGCTTACGGAGAAAATGCGTGAGGCTAATTTCACAGTATGTTCAATGCATGGAGATATGCCGCAAAAAGAACGTGATAATATCATGAAAGAATTCCGATCAGGACAAAGGTAAATTTTCAACCAAATTTTCTCTTTATTTTTACCAAAGCAAAAAGCATTTAAATCAATCTTATACTTTATAATTGGAAATTTATCGGATCCTTAGCTTTTTTTATTTTTCATATTAATTGTTAAAGTTTTATTGAATGAAATTAAAAAGAGGTATTATTTTTTTTCAGCCGAGTTCTAATTACAACAGATGTTTGGGCAAGAGGTATTGACGTGCAACAAGTTTCATTAGTCATCAACTACGATTTACCCAATAACCGTGAGCTGTACATTCATCGAATAGGCAGATCTGGTCGATTTGGTCGTAAAGGTGTTTCAATTAATTTCGTAAAGACCGACGACATCAGGATTTTAAGAGACATTGAACAATACTATTCAACACAAATCGATGAAATGCCTATGAACGTTGCTGATTTGATCTAAATGTACAAAAAATTTCAATTATTTATTTACACATTTAATTAAATGTTACTCTTATAAATATTATTATAAGTATCCACTATTCATTAATTTCATTCTATTTCAAGTGCACTCGAAAGAAAGTAAGAGGTAAATTATCAGGATTACAATATTAACTTATTCAGTATATTTACATCATTAATGGAGTAAGATTCGATTATCTTACCTTATCTTATAAAATGAATTCGTTTATTTAAACTTGCTTCGTTAAAAATAAAATCAATGGGAATTAATTTTTCAGTTTAGTATACTTAATGAGTTTTTAAATAAAATAAAAGTTTTAAATAATTAATTTTTATATAAATTTTCTAATAGTTAGAAAAATATCTTACGTTAAGTATTGTAAAGATTCCATGTAAGAAGACTTAGAAATAAAATGTTTAAGACTAATTAATGCTTGTAAAAAAAAACTTCATTTTCTTGCCCTTTTAATGTTTGAATTAATTACAACTTAGGTATAAATGTTCCAGCGGTAGTAAATACAGCTTGCGCAAGCGTTTTAGTACATTGTTAATCTGCTCGGTCAGTATCACAGCCATGAGTTGAAGAAATCAATATCCACAGTTTCAAGAACTCGAATGGTACTGCTTTAAGAAAATGCTTACTTACATTTGCTGTCATTAAACCCAACTTATTACTCTACTCTTATAAAATGTTTTTTTAAAACTTCACCCAAGTGTACTAATTATCAAATACTATTAAAAATAGCTCAATGTGTGAGGTTTTATTGATAAAATGTCTATCAGAAGTTAAAAATATTAAATTCGATGTAAATGTTTATCACAATGAAGAAGAGAAAAGCATGTGGTGTAAACAAAACAATTTGTATCATAAAAAAATGGGGTGAATAAAATGTATTCATTGTAAATTATAATATTTAGAATCAGATACTTGATTAAGAAGAAAATTTTGTAAAAAAGTTATTTTACTAATAAAGTGTGGAAACGTGATTATATTTCATTTGTATGTCACGAATCATGGATCAACAAGAAGACTGTACGATGAGAAGGCAGCAACAGCAGCCTGTTCGTCGTTTTCAAAACGCATATAAAAAAGAAAATTACGTTTTACCCCGTAAGTATTAAATGAAACCAATGAACAAATTAGTATTAATAAATCAAAAATTAGAAATGAATGAATTAAAATAAATATTATAGATCTCCAAGCATCTAAAGTAGACAATATTAATCAACATCCGAGTGTTCCTCAAAAAAAAATACGGATAGCTGTGTACTTAATGTCTGGAGTACTTCTGACAATGGAAGTAGAACGAAACGTGTCTGCACAACATATTTTATCAATCGTACAATCAGAAGCAGAATTGGGATTGTCACGAACACCTCCAGTTAATGGTCAGGCTGTCTTTGCCATGTGGATGTGCTCATCACAATTGGAGATACAGCTGAGGCCGAATCACAAACCTATTGAACTTGCTGCTAAGTGGAATAAGTTATTAAATAAATACGGGTCAAAAGAAGGGCAGAGTGATGACGAACCTCTGCTTTACTTTAGAAGAAATGTTTTCTTATCACGCAAAGATGAAGAAATGATTAAAGAACCAAAAGTATTAGAGTTATTATATGCGGAGGCGAGACATAATGTGCTTGAAGGTAATTTCGAAACAAAAATATCCCCTAATGAATATAATTATTTAATGATTGAAAAAAAAAAGAAAAATAATACATGAAAAAATATTATTTATTTTTCAGGAAGGTATCCCTGTGAAGGACAAGCTAGATATGCTAGTTTAGGAGCACTTCAAGCACGAATAGAACTTGGGCCCTACAATGCACAAACTCATACATTAGCATACTTTAGAAAACATCGAGCAAGATTTTTACCTCATCATTACACATCACCAAGTCTTCTTCTAGGCTTGGGGTTTGGTTTGGGTCTCGTGGGTGGTAAAGGTGCGCCTGAAGCTCGGCTTCTCGAGCAATATAAACGAATACCAAACCATTCAGGAACAAATCCAAACTCTAGAAAGTTAGTAAGAAAATATCTCGAATTTTGTTGGGGTTTACCTTGTTATGGAGCGGCATTTTTTCATGGTCAAATAGAACGACCTGTTCGAGGATTAGCGTCGTGGATCACCAACCGAGATCAAGCAATTCTTATTGCTATAAATACGACGGGAGTTTATATTGTTGATGATACTCAATGTGTAAGTGAAATAAGAAGAAACTGTATTTTTCTTTTTTATCATATTCTTTATACAGTGAATTATTTTATTTGTTTATCTAGAGTTTATTGTTGGGGTTGAAATACTCAGAGTTAAGTTGGGAAATGGCTAAACCTTCAGATGAAAGTAACTCCGATTGTTTGCCATGTCTTTTTCTTCAATTTCCCGTTCGAGAAAATGGTGCACGTGTTTATAAAATACTACAAGTATTTTCTCGACAAGTAAATATTGAAATATTATTCATTCAGATTAAGTTGAAACTTAATTTTGATTATTAAAATTGAATGGTTACTAATTTAAAAATTTTCTTTAGGCAATAATGATGGATACATTGATTTCGGTATTTGCTGAAGAAAGCCGCCACACTGAAGACAATGTAGATGCAACAAATCAGAATCGAACAGAAGGCTCTGTGATAATGAATACCTGTAGTTTTACAAATAAACTCAGTAAATTTACACTGGCAACTTTTGACGACCAAGGTACAGAAAAGAATTCATTTGCATATCACATAATCATAAAGAATTTTTTACGATCCTAAGACCTATGAAAGCAGTGAAATAAAATAATTGAATTAATTTTACAGGTCGTTGTATCGGACAAATGGGTTCGTGGTCTTTTCAATGATATTACACCCTATTCTCTTGTGCACAAGTGTTCATGACCAAATTTAAATATAGAATAATCGTGATATTAATAAAAAAGACTTTCCGCGAGAATGTATTTTCATCGAAATAAAAAAATGACTATAAAAATCAGTGCTATAAATTTTCAACAGACAAACTTACTCTTATTACTTATTCAGCAAGAGAATCCAATCGCCAGTGTTCCTTCAGTTTCTTAACCATTGATTGATAACGTACTGATGCCAGAGCACAGTGACGTTTCAATCTAACGTCCAGTGTCTGCATTTCAGAGTTGACATTATTCGTCTCCTCAATGAGTTTCTCTTCCTCTTCCTTTGATAAATCGTCTACCTGTAAATTTAAAGAAAAAAAAATAAATATTAATACATATTTTTATAGGATTATTGGAATTTTTATTAATTAATTGTTAAAAAAAAAAAAATTGATTAGTGTCAATAACCTGTTCTAATTGATTTTGTAATTGTTCAAATTTACGACGACTTGCTTGCAGTTGACACCATATCTTATTGGCACGATTGACCAACATCTGCTTCAAGTCGTCAAGACATTCTTGGGATATTTCAAGAGCTTCACTTTTTGTTAACTTATCAGGATTTCCGCGTCGTGCTATATACGGAGCCAAATAGTCCACTTCTTCTTCAACTTGACGAAGACTTTGGGCATGCAGTGCTTCTTCCTAAATTATTCATTGTTAATTATAAACATTATAACTAAAATATTTTTTAAATGTGTTCAATAATTTGTTTATTGCACATAATTACTGTGTACCGTAATAAGAAAATTAATCATTGTAATTATACACCATCAATAAATGATTTTTTTATTAATTATGCACATTTATTATATAATTTACTGCTAAACTCCATTTTAAAACAATCAATATTGAAAATAGTAAACTAAATTAATGATAGTCAAGCAAAAAACAAATTATTCTCTTTTATTATTGAACGATATTGAATACTTTATTACCAAAAGGTTAAATTTAGTAATTGTGAAATTAATATTCAAATTAAAACTAGTAACAATTATACAATCAGTTAAGGAATTTAATTGCTATTAGCTCTTTGTATTAGTTTGTCCTAATTATTCAATATTTAATGATAATTACCTTTGCTATCATTTCTGCCTTCGCTTCTTCATTTCTATTTTTATCAAATATTGATACAGATAATTTTGGAATTCCATACTCGCTTTTTCTGAGTTTTAAAAATTCATTAACCATTCTTTCAGCATCTTGAACATAAACTAATGACTGTTGCTCATCTTTCAATTGACGTTCCAGCAAATTATACAAATCCAATGGCTTCTCTTCAACAGCTTCAGGATTTGGCTAAATATTTAACGATTCCAAGTCATTATAAATTGTTGGATAATTAAATAATAAATGAGAAATGTTATAATTATTATTTACGTTGTATCCATAAGTCATGTCAGGATCAAATACCAGTTCATCACCTCTATCAGTTGGTTTGATGAAGGTCCTAGTAGCTCTAGTTATATTATAATCCTTATAATGGTACATCAGTTCAATTTTATTGTCTTTAATGCAAAACTCTCTGATTGCAATATCTTTTTCAACGGGAATGTTTTTATTCCGATTAAATTTTTCAATGATTTTCTGATTAAAAAAAAAGAATGTTTCATTCGTTAAATTTTCTGAATATAGCGGTAGTAATATATTCACATGCTTGGATATTTTAATTACCGAAACGTCACGATAATGTATGCCTTGACGAGATTTTGATTTTTTTTCTGATGAAAACTCGACATATCTTGAATAATGTATGTTGAAAAAATTATTTTCATGATTATAATCAAGACAATATAGAAGTCTAAAAGATACAAATACCGATAATAAAGAAGATCCTTTCGACCAACGTAGTATTGTATGAGATACGACGGGTGTATTTCGATTTTCGATAATCCATCGCCCCGCACGACATCATAAAACTCGAGAGTTCTTTTTTCTTCTAGTGTATCATTATCCGTTGACATATATTGATGCTCTAAATAAATAAACGGTTTCAATATTACATTACATATAACATTAAAATATAAGTAAATTTCATTATAATTGGAATTAATAATACATATTATTAAATAATTGAATGTATTTCTTGTGATCAAATAAAAATAATTAGCATTCAAACTCACCCTTTACTGCATCAGGTCTTCCTCGATTGTACCTATCAACTACAAGTCCCGTATCCAAATAATGAGTTGATTCTTTGAGCTTATCTCCTCGATTGATATATTTTTCATACACCCTAGTAGGAAATTGCCATTTATAATCATCATAAATTGTAATCTTTTCGATCAAACCATCCATTTGTATATAGGGAGCACACAACTCCACCTTAACTTTCTTGAAATACATAATCTTCCTACCATTCGGAAATCGACGTTCGTAATCTGTAACAGCAATCAGAAATAAATCAGTTTCATTAAATTCCTTTCACCGAACGATTCAATCGTTGTTAATCATAAACATCGATTAATTACCTAAAGTGTGAATGTCAATTTGTTCAACATAGGACATTGGCATATCTAAATGTTTGTCTTGCTGTATGTTCAAATCTTCATCAGCTTTGGTCTCTTCAACACTGTGCATAGTATGAGGTTCACCTGGAAGCAAGTGTTCCCAATGGCGGTTATCGGTGAGGTCCCAGTTAATGTTAATGCAAGCCTCAGTACACATTTGCATATTGACCCAGTAATTGCGATCGTTCCAAATGCTCTCTACTCCATGATACAAAAGATTGGTTTGATGATTGTTGACTGAGTAGCATTGCCCAGATGAGGGTTCGATAAAAAAAGGCTCGAGGACTTCCTGACGGCGAGCACCACCTGCTTCAGGCAGCACGACAACCCACGCGTGTACTCGATAGCCCCAGTATTCGTCTGGAGGAAGGCGTTCCTGTTCCTACCCAACCATATAATTAATCTTTAATGACATGGCGATTAAGAATTTCGCAACAATGAATATGCAAGAGTCATGTAGGTGAATTGATAAGTAAAAGTATAATTTACAAGAATTAATTTCCGACGTTTCTCTTCTTGCTGCTGCTCTTCTTCCTGCTGTCTTTGTACTTCCTCCTCCTCTATTTCCATCAGCAATTTACTTCGGAATTCAGGTGGTGGTTTTAGTTGGTACTTGGACACCTTTGGAGTTTCAGATACTGTTGATAATTCCTCAGATTTTGGCATGTAAGGACAAGGATTCATGGACATGTCATACATCGTTTGCTCCCTAGACGCGTAACCGCTAACTACGAATGCATTGTAACCTTGGCCTAGCAGAAGACTCACTAAAAAAGTAGCAAACTCAAAGCTATTCCCTCTTTGACTGTTCAGCATCCATGTAGGTGAACGAATGACATCTGGCTGAAATTGGATAAGAAACATTACTATTACTATTATCATTTATCATGTTTACAAAAATATCTCAAATTGTAAATAATATAAATAATCAATAATACCAATAAATATTACTACCACTGATTATTGAAAAAAAAACAATCCTGCTAAATCTTCATTTATCGATAAGAACGAAAAGTTCGTTGTATGATTCCAACCAAAGTAAGAAATATTTTTTAATGTTCCAAATAAAAAACAAATATTTACAACATTGTAAGTGATTGTTAACATTAATAATTATCATTACAGTTAAAATTGCTGCTGGAAATTTTTGATTAACTTTAAAAGCCATTTAATTACTTAAATAGTTGGTATGAAGGGATTGATCTTTTGTTGGAAAAACTTGCGTATTTACAAATTGCAGAATGTATAATTAAAGAGAAATGGATAATTGGGATAATGTTGAATGTACCTTCGCAATTACACGATCTCTATAATTATTAGTTTTCTATTGTTGGTTACACGTACAAATTTACAAGTAAATTTCTCTTTTACCAACACAGTTATCTACTTGAGATAATACAGAGGGAGAGAAGAAAAAATATCTACGTGGGTTTCATAATCATTTCTCTCGTATCTGAATGAGATACAGAACATAATAACAATAATAAACCGTAAATATAGCCATAGCGGTAGTAAATACTCGTGGTAGAAACTTATATTTGCGAATACAAGCCACATGCCACGTGTAGTTGAGAGAGTAGGCAAAATCTTGACCTACGTCTCTTCTCATCTTCTAACAGAAAATTTATTAATGATCTTCATCTTCTTCTTTCTTTCAACGACTAATAATACTCCAACCAATACACATCAGATATGACTACTTTCTTAAAGCTCCTTATGTAATTCGCTAATTGCTGAATATTCTTCTACGAAGAAGAAATAAATTTATGACTATAACACGTGAAAATTACACTGACATTTCCTTTTCTAAGAATTTTTCTTTTTCTCCGCCTCCTACAACTCAAGCATCTATTCTCTATTTTACCTATTTCCTTTCTCCTGAGTAAGAAAAGGACGCGCTTCGCAATTTTCCGTAACGCGACCAGGCAGAGAGAAGATGACGTCGAAGTGGCATAGAGGTTCCACCCTCGGTAGAATCTTGGAACAAGCGCAGTTTTTTTTTCTTACGAAAACACGTAGTCAGGATAGGACAAAGTGAAGGAGGGAGTAAGAGAAGATGGCCAGTGGGTGGTGTAGTGTTGCTTTCCCCCCTCGGGCCCTATTCTCAGCGTCGTTCTATCTCTCACTCTACTGCTGCTTGTTCGCCTCTCACGTTGCCCATCCCCGCACCGCCGTCACCCTCATTCCGTGCGACCCCTTCGACCGTCACCCACGTGGGACACAAGGCGAGGGTGTGAGGGAGCAGACAACGCGGAGATACCGCCGCCGCGGCAGCTGCGCTCAGTGGTTCTCAACCATATACTTCATTACATTTGCGTCTCAAAAATAATCTTCATCTTCTCTCTACTCCACCTACCTCGGCTCTACTCTTTCAGCACTAATTCATCAAGTTAACACACCACGACCACCGCCATGTATAACCTTTTTACATACCATTTTCTCTCTCTCCAATATTCCGATACATAAAAAGAACTCAACGTTCAAGCAGTAAAATCGTTATCGATATCACGCGGTGCAAAAATGCGTAGTTGCCGGATCCACTGTCCTTGTCTCGCTTATATTCTCTCTGTCTTTGCTTTCGCTCGAGCGCACGTTTGCTGTGAATTTCATTCGACGAAGCGTGCGTTCGCCTTTGCGAGATAACGTTGGTCGTGCGCGGCAAGCAAAAACACGCGAATCATCGCCTCAGGACTCGCGTTTCGCCACGGATAAAAGTATCTGGTTTGGAGTCAAGGGCGATCGTCGTGGTTCCTCTCTCTCATTCTGTCTCTCTCTCTCTCTCTATCTCTATATAACACCTATAAGCGTTGAGGAGTCTCGAAACATCTCCGAATATGCGAACCGCTATTTGGCGTCCAACGTGCACGGTATTACCGGGATACTAGATAGTCTCTCTGGCTATGTACATTGGGGATACGGCACATAGGTGTTTCTCGCGGGCGTACATAAGCTGTCGGACCCACATAAGTGGCAGTCGCGCCCGTGTTCGCGATCACGAACACAGAGAAGGAGGTGGAGATGTTGCCATAGAGCTGTGGAATAGATATATACATCCACACACACCTACATACATATATATATAACTGTCTATATATAGGGACATGTATGTGTTGGAGATATCTCATCTTGCCTCTCTCGCGACTCTGGCTGCCACGTACATGGACATCAGAGGAATACGATTAAACCTATATGCCATCACGACATTTGTCTAATCATGCGTTTCTTTTATCCTCTTACGACCCTACGCGTTCGTTACGTATATATTTACACACGATCTGTGTAATGTGTGCTCGTGTATGTATATAGCATTTGGAAAATGCTGAGTGTAAAACCCTAGGCTTCATTTAACGGACGATTTGCCACTTTATTTTTGATTGCTCGACCGCGAGATCTTTTTCTGTACTATAGCCAGAGAGACTCTCGCTTGTTATTTATTCTATGATGATATTATAGCACTGTGTATAACCTCCTCGTGGACATGACTATGTTTGTAACTGGAGTAAAGAAAAAAAAAATAACAAGAGAAACAATTTATTAGACTTTTCTAGGATTTCTTTCGAGTTGGTAGCGAGTTCGAGTAAACGGTTTTTAAATATTCAATATCAATAGAGAGATATAGTTTTCCGGGTATTGATTTATACTGATTCTTCGTGGGCATGTTTGTATTTAGACAACAAGCAATGTTTGGATGTTGTTTGTAGAACAGTCTTTTAGATGCTGAAAGAGTGCCATTATAGGGTTTTTTTTTGTTTTGGAAATAATGTGTGTATAAATGATTCACTAGGTTAGATAAAAAAATGGGTTTTGAGCTGTTTTTTTTTGTGTGTGTGTGTGTTTAAAATGCTTTAGTTTACTCATGCATTCATGCGTTTAAACCTCATTTTCGTGGATAATTAGGTTATGGCGATGCTCTTATCAAACTTTGTATTCATAGCATTTGTGAGCATGTAAACAAATTGAAAGAATTTTCGGAGTTTTTCGGGCGAAAAACAAAAAATTGAGTTTTTAAAAAATGATAAAATATCAATTTATTTATTGATTACGACTATTTAAGTAAAGTTAAAAAAGATTTTTTAAATAAATTTAATTGTTTACAAAATTAAAAACATTCTAAAAGATTATTAATACATTAATAAAATATAATTAAGATGAAATAAAATTGAATAAATAATAATAAACAATAAAATGTCAATAATTGTGGGAATCTTAATTTTTAAATAATTATTATAAATATTAAAAAATATTTAATATTATTTAATATTTATTAGTATAGATATTATTAATTGCAAAATGTAAATTAAAAATGAGTCGAATATTATTGAATCAATATTATTTAATAATTAATGATTTTTGTTGAAAATTATATCACTAATTAACATAGAGTGCACTAGTTTTTAACACTATCTAATTTTTATTATTTAAATAAAGAAAAGAAAAATTTGTCTGACATTTATTTCCATTCATAATACACCTTGAAAAAAATTATTAAAAAAGTTAGATCATAAATCTCCGGATTATGAGTGATCTCAGAGTTCATTAAAAACGAATAAAAGTAAATTTAATAAATTCATAAAAATCTATAAAGAGAAAATAGTCGAAATACATGAACAAAATGTTCAAAGTTGAATACAATAGAATTAAAAATGAGTTACTCATGATAATTGATTGTTGATGATAAATAATAAATATTAGATCAAAATTCATTGATTGATTATTGATTATGCAGATTAATATCTATTATTAAATAGATAAAATTTTCTACTCGGAATTTTTGGGATGATGAAGTATTTCCGGAGTTGAATATATCATCAATAATTATGTAGAAGCGCACACGGGTGTTTGAAAAAAAAAAAGAGTATCAAAAAGCAGTTTTGCTGCTGCTGCTGCTGCTGCTACGAATGAAGTAGATGTAGAGAAAGTACGAAGATGGTAGTATTGGCGTGAACTCGAGTCCGAATGACGTAAGTGCTTGTGTACCGCGAAAGAGTTTGCTTCTCTTACGTACCATGAGCACGCTCACGGAAACGTCAGAGCCGGTTTTCAATGAGAGATTCCCAAGCTTTCAGAAGATAGTGGATGAGGAAGAATAAGCGAAAGGGAATGGATAAGAGATGAAATAAAACAAAAGCCAACATCAAATGATAATAATAAAAACTTTTCAAGGCTTGTATACAAATAATAATATGAAATATTAACTAGGTTAAAAGAGTTATAAAAATAATAATAATAATCTTGCTAACCCATTAAACTTTGTACCACATAGCAAATAAGAATTCCTCAGCATGGAAGAAAAAATAGCAAACAAGTCGGAAATGAGTGAGAGTGCCGGAAATCTTGGAATAGCATCGAGCAAGAAGAAATGCAAGAGTCTCAATATAGGAGGAAATATCAGTGTATAAGAAAAAAGGGGTGGATAAAAGTAGAGGGAAAAAGCAGCTGGGGTAGAAAGTGATGGTGGACGTGGAGTTTATGAGGGTGCTTTTCGGACGAGAGTGCATCGTGTTGGACGCAAGAGCGTGTACATAGGGTTGGATGCAGTGCAAAAGGGAAGATGAAGAGGTGGGTGGGGTGAGCCGATGTTTGCGGGGCGACGACTACGACGAGTAGGATGAAGGGTGAGAGGGAAGCGTTACGGTTAGATTGAGGGTGGCTTAGAGGGTGGGAGTGGTTCTCTCTCGCTGATTACGTCGCGGAATAGTCGGAGGATGCCGGGACGTGAAAGCCGAGGTCGGTCGTCCTGTGTATGTCTCTGTCGCTCCTTTAGCCATATAGACGAGAGAGTGAATATATCCGCAATGTCCTAGCAAACCTGGATATGTCTTGCCCTCTCGTTCCCGCAGATGCCTGGGGGTCTAGAGAGATGCCTTTGGCCTCGCGAACGTCCCTAGAACACGACGATGCCACTGAGGACGACGACGACAGAGAGAGACTTGGAGGATATACAGATAGGAGGGTGAGACACACGAGAGAATAGGGTAGGACAGCATCGGATATAGGATGGCAGTGAGTGTCTCACTCACTCACTCTCTTGCACTCTGACCTTCTCCCTTGCGCCATGTCCATCCGGCGTTTCGTGCCTGCGTCCTCGTTTGCTTCAATTCTCTGTCTCTTTTCCTTTTCACTTGGCATCCTGCTCGCTCTCTCTTGCCAACACCCACCAACCTAACCGAGGGATGGAGGTTAGTTAGGGGTGGTATATTGACGGCTGGCGTCGCGAGGACGTCTATACTTAGTGCCAGAGAACCGACGCGTTTCCAAAGGCATTGGCTATCCTCTCCCTTCGTTCGTCCTCAAACCACCAAGTCCTCTGTCTGTCTTTGTCCCGAGTTTCTCTCTACTCATGCCACGACATTCTGGTCCTCTGCCACCGAGGGTAGTTGCCGAGTATATATGTACACGTGGTGCTGCTTTATATATGTAAACGCTAGGTATACGTACATAACCCAACATATATATACCTCCTATGTACCCTACATATGTATAGAAGGTACGCGGACTAAAGTGGCCTAGCTAGGATTCGCGGATGAACCTTTACCGATGCTCTCGAGTGCCAAACCAGTCGAAATGACGACCAGAAAAGGACCAAACTAACGATAGAAAAGGACTTATTTTATTCCATGCTGTTCAATTGTACAAAAAAAAAACAACTTTATCCCTTCAAACTTTTGTGGTTCAGTTTCCAAGTTTTGTTTCACTCAAATTCGACTTGATTTCAAAACTTTCTTTTTGTTTATCTTTTTTATTTAATCCCTTTATCAATATTTAATTTCTTTCAATTGCTCTGTTGTTGCCGAATTCAAATGCTATACCAATAAATCAAAATATCCCCATGTTATTTTCATTCGATTTATTTCGCGTAGCAGCATAAAAAAAAAGTGTAATGGAAATTCACAGATGCTTCTTTGCATATGCTTTTACTTTCATTTTGTTTTCATGACATTGGTTAAAGTGATACTTTTTTAATAGTTGGTGATAAAAAACTTCTATTATGCCATCGACCTTTGCTTCTTTTGAATAAAATCACAAGTCGTATTAAATCTTTATTTTTATTTATAATTTATCGGAAATTTATTTTATTTAAATATAATTGCATATATTTATTAATAAGATTATGCCAAATATTTAATATTTAATATTATTGAATTAATATAAAGATTATTTAATATGAAATATTGTACATGGAATAATAAAATTCCATAGTAAATGAAAGTTTTGATCCTTTGATTACTCTAGAGTTCATGTGATGAATGCATATAGTGTCAATTGTTAGAGTCAATATTGATTAAGTTTACTCAAGTATCGTCCTATTACTTCGAAAGATAAAAATGAATTATGACTAACCATACTTGTCAGTCACACTGATAATAATTTTTTTTACTGTATCAAACAAATATCAATGTATGTCATGAGCATGAATAAATGTATGTATAAAGTGTTGTGACTTTGGTCGGAATTATTTCTAATTTCCGGAATGAAGTATTTTGTTACACAAAGGGAAAATTGAACCATTCAGTATTGTTTATGTATTATGAAAAATAAATTGGATAATTAATTGAGGCAGATTCACACAATAAATTATTTTATTTCCGCACGTAAACTAAAGGTTTTAATTAGTGCAAATTGGATAATAACTGCTATTCAATTACAGCAATTTTAAAACAATTTAATGCATTATTTATTGAAACAAATATTTTTTTAACATTGTTGTATTTACTTTGCATCCAATTTTGGGTTTAATGATGTGTTTTAACTAATTATAACTTATCAATATTTTAATTTAATAAAATCATTTTTAATGATTGATGAATAATTGATATATTTTTAAATAATAATTTTTTTTTAGTTTTTATTTTTTTAGAGATGAATTAAAGATTAAAAAAATGGATTAGAGGCACTATGTTGTTTCCATTTTTCAAAATCCATAATTTTTTCATCTTTCAATTTTTATTATTTATTAAAAATTGCTATTGTTGTAAACAATATACAATTAATTAATCACATCAACATATTTATAAAAATATTTTATAAATATTTATCGAATATAATAATATTAATGATAATTCATTAATTTAAAACTATTTTAAATTGTTTATAACAAATTAAAATTTTTATAAACAATATATTATTATTTAGAGTCATGTAGAGTCATTGACAACCGTGTTGTACTGATATTGAGCTCAGTTTTCAACATTATTAATCACTCAATAAGTTGAATCTATTTCAAGTATCTTTTTTACGCAACTTATTTTACAGCCATTTTGTTATAAAAAAAAACTAATAAACCGAGTTTGTTTAAACTCCTTCCAGATCTTCTTCATTGTATTATCCTTAAAATGCAATTAGTCTAGGATCAATATCTTCAGTGATTCTCGAGATATCAAAAACGAAAAAAAATCGGGCATACGTACGTACAATTATACGTACGTATAAACGTAAATTAATTTTTAAATCTTCTAATATGCTTTTGAACGTCTCAAAACGTAAAGATATAATAAAACTACGAATTTAAAAAATCGACCTCATTGAAATAACTTCTTAATAGGAAGTTAAAAATTTTAAAAAGAATTAAAGAATTAATTTTGTAATTAATTTATGTAATTGAATTAATTTTTTATTGAAGGGTAATGAAAATGTAAAACAATGGCTAATTTCAGAATATTATAAAGTTCTTTTTAGAAAACAAAACATAAGCTTAAATATAATCAAATATATTGAATTAACCCAGATAGAAAATCATGATCGTCATGACATGATTGAAAGTCATGATTACAATTTTTTGTTAATTTGTATGCATTGTTATATATTAAAATATGTTCAAGCAAAATGTATACAAATTAAAGGCGTCTTTATAAAATTTTTTATGTAAATGAATAATATTGTGATATTAAAATAAACTAGGTTAGATTAATGTGTTAAGTAAGAGTTAACCATTTTTAATTACAAAAATAATATAATAGTGTTTGATTTTTTGTGGAATTTTATTATATCAAAAGAGTGTAAAGTTGATTTAATGGATGAAGCAGCATAAGTTTATGTTTTTGGAGAGCCAAGTGTACTTGTTACCTTCACAAGACAAAATTAGATAATTTTCATTTTTATTTTATCCTTTTGCTACTTTTGAGAGATGAAAAACAATTAAATTCACACGGATATAAGAGGATGGGAGATGATATCTAGTGTCTACTTAAAATAAAAAACTTGGCAATTTTTTTTTAGTTCTAATCTTTATCAGGTATTCATAACTGTATCAGAAAATCAATAAAGGTATTTAGAGCTAAAAATAATTAGAGTAATAATTGTTAACTACTCGTTGATTATTTGACAATGAATTGTTTTATTATTATTCTCAATTAGGAGACAGGTAAACACATTTTACATCTCTCTAAATAAGGGCTCTTATCAGTAAATAATAAATATTAAATCAAATTAGTTCATCTTAATGTCTTTTTATAAAAATTATTTTTAATTTTAGACTTTAGTTGATTGTTATTAAATAAATCTTAAGCTTTATTATTTATTAATAATTATTAATAAATGATTTTAAAAATATTAAAGAGTAATAAAAAATTAGTTGAAATCTTTTTTCAATGATTAATATTGTGAAATAAATAGAGATATTTTAGGGCATTAAATATTTTTATAAATTTTACCAGCCATTTTTCACTGTTAAATAATTCAACACCCTAGTAAATTGAATAATATTTATTGGAGATAAAATGCCGATAAACTCTAAACTATTTAAAGTGAAATCTCAATGTCTGAATGATCAGTAATATTATAATTTGATTGGAAATGCAGTTATTTAAGCTGAAAAATTAATCAACAAATTAATTATAATAAATATTAACATAATTATTAACTTTTATCATAAAAAAAAAACTTCTATCGACATTTAAAGTTTCTCAAAACATATTTGTTTTTTTTTCTTCGTCCTTTTCGACTTTAATCTTGCAAATAATGAAATTATTCATGAGTAATGAAATTAATCTGTATAGTAGAGAAACAATAAAGTGAATTCAATAACAGGGAGTAGCTTTAAAAGAATATTGAATTACGTTTATCACACATAAGGGACTATCTACTTTATGAAGTAGATTACAATAATAGGTCAAACGAAAACTGAAATGTTCTACTAAAACATTTCCACAACGAATGAATGACGAGGGTATATAAAAACATTAATGAATGACATGAATCTTCTGAAAAATTTACCACTTATATATAAATCATTACCGAACAACTAAATAGAGATAAATATCGAGCAAAGTTGAATAAAATAAAAAGACAAAAATGCAATCGAGTAGTGGTTAGCAACGAGACTTGGGGTAAAATAACTCAAAAAGAGAAAAGCGAGAAAAAAAATTTGTCGATCGATCTGGTCTTTCGGCGTTCAAGTCCGAAACGAGCCGAGAAGAGGAAAAAGCATCGTGGCAGGGGATGTAAGGGTGGAAGAAGGGAAAAAAGTGGATGGGGTCGATGCTGCAGGGTGAAAAAGGGAGGCAACGAATATAAGAGGGAGAAAAGAGGGTGTCGTGAGAGAAAATCCGCGGTGTCGAGGAATCGCGAGCTACGACTGCTGTGTAGCTTGACGTGTTCCCTTTGGCAATGCTATATATAGGGTGACCGCGGTGGAAAATCCAGAGAAGGAAAATCGTCCGATCGATCTGCCTTCGGTCTTCAGGTCCGAAACCAAGAGACCGGAGAGGAGTAAGGGGTGAGGAAGGAGAGAGCCGTCACGGACGTGTGCAACGTGGCCTCGCGAACACACGAAGAGCCGGCGCTTTCGTGTCTGCGTGGCGCGGGTGGGCGACTGGGGCCTTAAGGAGCGTTCACACCAGCAACTAGATAATTAATAAAAAATTTTCAACCAATTCCATCACTTTAAACATCTAAATTATCAAAATCCAACCCACTTTCATAGAAAATAGAAAAAAAATTTTTTTTACTTGAAATAATAATTTTAATGACATTGTTTTTATTTCTCTAGGGGCTCTAGTTTTTACTGTTGGATGCACCGGAGTAATTAGTAGAGAAAAATGAAAGATTAGTCCAAGTTGAATGGCTTGACGTGGAATTATTGGGGATTTTCCATACTGTTGGAGCCATCAAGTATCTAGAGGTTTTTCCTT